AGTCAGCGTCTGGTCTTAGGTCTCCCGCGTGTCTTGCCGTCGCTGCCGCCGTCTCTTGCACCACCGTGCGGTCCTTGCGTCGAGGGTAGGCTGCGTGCCACCCCTCACTCCTCCTCCCTTCGTCCGGCCACCGAGCCTTTTGAGACGCTGCACTTGGACGTCTGGGGCCCCTCTCCTCGCCCTGGCCCTGAGCGTGAGCGTTTCTTTTTGGTGGTCGTTGACGACTACTCCCGCTACACCACAGTGTTCCCCCTGGCGAGGAAGTCTGAGGTGACTTCTACGCTGATCAGGTGGTTGCTTACCACCCAGGACACTCGTGGTCGTCGTGTCAGCTGTCTCCACTCCGACCGCGGGGGCGAGTTTCGCTCCGGCATTCTCGCTGGATTCTGTCGCGAACAGGGCATTCGTCAGTCCTGGACGCTTCCGGAGTCCCCACAGCAGAATGGGGTTGCTGAGCGTCGCATAGGCCTGGTCATGGAGATTGCCCGCACCTCCTTGACTCACGCCCGTGCCCCCCATTTCCTGTGGCCATACGCAGTCAGGTACGCCGCGCACCAGCTGAACCTCTGGCCACGCATCTCTTGGCCGGAGGCTTCACCGACCAGTCTTTGGACAGGGTCCCCTGGTGTCGCGTCGAGGTTTCGTGTCTGGGGGTGCTTGGCTCTTGTCCGCGACACCTCCGCGGACAAGCTCTCGCCTCGCGCCGTTCCTTGTGTCTTCCTTGGTTTCCCTGAGGACTCCTCTGACTTCACCTTTTACCACCCTCCCTCTCACCGGTTCTTTGACTCCCGTGACGTCCGTTTCGAGGAGTCCACCCCCTACTACGTCAGGTACCCCAGTCGAGGTCTCCCGGTTCCTCCTCCCCCCCTCTTCCTGACAGCCGCTCCCCCGCCTGCTCCCCCGGTACAGCCTCCCCCCCCTGGTCCAGCCCCGTCTGGTGTGTCTCAGGCTAGCCCTCCCCCTTCGGTAGCCCCCCCTGTACAGCCTCCCTCCCCACAGTCTTCCTCGCCGCCTCCTGCAGGTGCTCCCTCTCGAGAGGTTGGTCCGGCGACTGTCCCTGTACAGGTCTCTGGTTCTGGGGGTGCTGGAGTTGGAGCTGAGCCGCGGGTTGCAGAGGACTCTTGTCTTCCGGGGGCTGGTACTGGTCGTGCGGAGTCTGGGGGTACTACGTCTGGGGGTGAGGGTGTCCCTTCGGTTTCTGGAGGGCCTGGGTCTGGAGCTGGTGTTGGTGCTGCCTCTGGGGGTGGTGTGCTTGGTGCTTCGGAGGTCGACTCTGGGGCTGCCGCTGCCCCGGACACTACTCCTTCCCCCCACCCCTACCCGACCAGGTTCCAGGCTCGTGTTCGTCGTGCTCGTGAGGAGCAGCTGGAGTTGGAGAGAGAGGAGAGAGAGTTGCAGCGGCTCGAGGAGCAGGAGCGACAGCAGCAGGAGCAGCAGCAGCAGCAGCAGCCGCAGCAGCCGCAGCAGCCGCAGCAGCCGCAGCAGCAGCAGCTGCCGTCTCCTCCTCCTGTCTCGGGTCTTCGGACCCTTGGTCTCCCCTCTCCCTCTCCTTCCTCCTCCCCCTCTCCTCCCGTCTCTGGTCCTCCGCTTCCTCCTCCTGACCCCTCTCCCGCTGTTTTCCCTCGTTCTCAGTCTTCGTTGTCCCCTCCTCCTTCTCAGACTTGGGCCTCTCGTCGCTCCCCTCGTGCTCGTCCCTCGTCTCCTGTTCCCTTCACTGACCTTCGTACTGCCTTACTTCGTTCTAGTCCACCTCGTCCGTCTCCGTCTGTGCTTCCGTCTCCTCCTGAGTCGGCTCTCACTGCGTCGCTCCCTACTCCTGTCACTGACTACTACCGCACGTACCGTCCTCTTCTCTCTCGTGTTCTCGCCTCACTTGTTACTCACCCTCGTGCCTCTGTGTCCTCTGTGTCCGCTCTTACTGCCGCAGTCACTGAGTTTGCCTCTACCCGCCGCCTTGACTTCGCCACCGCTCTTGTGGCTGCTCCTCCTTCCAGTCCTCTGGCCGTCGGGGGTGTGTCTGCCCTTGGCAGTGACGCCCTAGAGGACAGGCAGTTTGAGCTAGAGTTCCTGGCGGCCGCTTCCCCTCATCTCTGTGCCATGCTCCTCGCCCCTGAGGGTGACCCCGACGCCCTTGACATTCCGACTCCTCGCACTTACGCTGAGGCAGTGTCAGGGCCTTGGGCCTCTCAGTGGAGAGCTGCCATGGACGCAGAGATGGCCTCCTACAGATCCACAGGCACCTACGTTGATGAGGTTCCCCCTCCGGGGGCGAACGTAGTCGACGGCATGTGGATCTACAAGGTGAAGCGGCCACCGGGATCTCCTCCGGTCTTCAAGGCGCACTACGTGGCTAGAGGTTTCAGTCAGCGCGAGGGAGTTGACTTCTTTCAGACCTTCGCGCCCACCCCGAAGATGACCACTCTTCGGGTGTTACTACACGTAGCAGCACAGAGAGACTACGAGTTACACTCTCTCGACTTCTCTACTGCTTTCCTTCAGGGCAGTCTTCACGAGGAGGTCTGGTTGCGTCGTCCCTCTGCCTTCACTGGCTCTTTCCCTCCTGGGACCCAGTGGAGGCTGAGGCGACCGGTTTACGGTCTTCGTCAGGCTCCTCGTGAGTGGCACGACACCCTGCGTTCTACCCTGTCTGACCTTGGGTTCCAGCCGTCTTCTGCTGACCCGTCGCTGTTCGTTCGTCGTGGCACCACACCTTTCTTTGTTCTGGTCTACGTTGACGACCTTGTTTTCGCCACCCCTGACAGGGTTGCTTTGGCACACGTGAAGTCCGAACTGCAGAAGAGACACACCTGCACTGATCTTGGTGAGCTGCGCCACTACCTTGGCCTGCAGATCACCAGGGACAGAGCTGCTCGCACCATTACACTTTCACAGTCGCACATGGTGCAGCAGGTCCTTCAGCGGTTCGGGCTTCAGCACTCCACAGTACAGCGCACACCTCTTGCTGTTGACCACAGACTCACTGGACCCTTTCCTGACGAGCCGTTCGAGCCTAGTGGTCCCTACGCAGAGCTTGTGGGTTGCCTCATGTACCTGATGACTTGTACTCGCCCGGACCTCGCCTTCCCTCTCAGCGTTCTTGCGCGCTTTGTTGCGCCAGGGAGACACCGTCCTGTTCACTGGACAGCAGCTGTGAGGGTGGCGAAGTACCTAGCGACGACGTCAGGCGTGGGGCTAGTTCTTGGAGGGCAGCAGTCTGTCGTACTTACTGGTCACTGTGACTCCTCTTACGCTGACGACGCTGAGACTCACAGGTCTACTCAGGGGTACTGTTTCAGCCTGGGTTCTGGAGCTGTTTCCTGGCGGTCCACGCGCTCCTCTTCGGTCTCGACCTCTACAGCTGAGGCTGAGATCTACGCTGGTGCCATGGCGGCACAGGAGCTGCGTTGGTTGACCTTCTTGCTCACCGACCTTGGTGAGCGGCCGAGCTCTGCACCGACCTTGTTCACTGACAACAAGGCGTCTATTCTCCTTTGTCGAGAGCCACGACTGGAGAGCAGAGTGAAGCACATTCACGTCAGGTACTTTCTTCTGCGAGAGTTGCAGAGGCGTGGACAGGCTCGCTTTGAGTTTGTGGAGTCCGAGGCCAACACTGCAGACATCTTCACCAAGGCGCTTCCGCCTTGTGACCACCAGAGGTGCTGTGTGCAGTTAGGCCTTGTTGACACTGGTTCTCGTGTTGCTTAGACTTGAGTGTACTGTTTACTTTGCTTTCTATATATCTCTGTTACTTCTTGGACTGGCCTTGTGGCCACTGTTGTTTGTGCTCAGACTGTGTGGTGACGTTGTGATCCACCCTGAGCTTTGTTTCTTGGACTGGTCTTGTGACCGTACTCGTTTGGTTCTGCTAGACACCCCTCACTTAGGCTATGGGGGTGTGTCAAATGTTGTAGCCTATAGTGAGGTTTGTCTTAGGGGGTACAAAACTTAGGGTTAGCTATATGTACCCCAACCAACATCAATGCACCATCCATTCTTCATTCTGACACCTCAAACCAATCTGAGGGCCTGGTGGTGAGACACGTACTGGTGGTACTGTAGAAATAAGGACGAGTGGATGGAGGCTTATGTGCGCTTCTCTTTTGATATTTCTGAGCATTCGTTAGCAATGTAATGTATGCAAAGCTGCAATCAACTGAAGCTCCTGACCTTTATTGGATAAACAAACCTATGAGAAGACTACAAACTTGGCACCATTTTTACGATTTATGATACCCCCTTTTACCCTACTTCCTCCTCACCACCAGGCTTCAACTCCCTCTCAAATCTCTTCCCTTATGCTGTGTGTGGCAACGCAACACTCCATGCGGCCAGTGCTCCCTTTCCCACTCACACACCCCCCATCCCTCCTCCGGTCTCGCTTTTCTCAAATCCTTGCTCTCACTGCCCATGCCACGCCACATCATATCTTATCGATGCTCTCCTTTCCTGCATGTGCAAATACATCTCCCGGCCCCTTGTGTCATCAGCCCTGGTGAATACCCCTTGTGTCATCAGCCCTGGTGAATACCCCTTGTGTCATCAGCCCTGGTGAATACCCCTTGTGTCATCAGCCCTGGTGAATACCCCTTGTGTCATCAGCCCTGGTGAATACCCCTTGTGTCATCAGCCCTGGTGAATACCCCTGGTGTCATCAGCCCTGGTGAATACCCCTTGTGTCATCAGCCCTGGTGAATACCCCTCTAGCACCCTTGCCTCTTCCAACCCCTCCTCCCTCTTCAATTTCTTCCTCCCTCCCCCCCCCCCCCTCCTCACTGCTGCCTGCACTGGCTCTGCTGCCAATACTTCACCCATCACCATCCCTCCCCACCCCACTCTCACATCATATCCACACCTTTCTCTCCTCCATGTCAAAATAAATCCCTAAAGCCTCATGTCTCGTCAGCCCTGGTGAATACCCCTCCAGCACCCTCGCCCCTTGCAACCCCTCCTCCCTCTCTACCCCTTGCTCCACTGCTCGCTGCACCTCCCCTGCTCTCACATCATACCCACACCTTTCTTGCCTCCATGTCAAAATACATCTCCAATGCCTGCTGTCTCGTCAGCCCTGGTGAATACCCCTCCAGCACCGTCGCCCCTTGCAACCCCCCCTCCCTCTCTACCCCTTCCTCCACTGCTCTCCGCACTTGCAATGCTGCTGCCGCTGCATCAAGCTTCAAAGCCCCTTTCACTGCTGCTGCCTGCGATTCAAGCTCCAATAGACCTGTAGCAGGCGTCTCGGGTTCCGATATATTACACGCTATCTCAACACACTCCTCCCCATGCATTAAAGCCATACTATGTACCCCAACTACTCCCCCTCCCCTCTCACTCACACGCCTAGCCACCCTTCTAGCCGCTGCCAGGGTGGCTTGGGTGACTCGGAAGGGGGTTTGAATGGGTATGTTGTAGTTATACACCCACGGAGCGGCGCCAACTGCAACTCTGCCCTTGAGAGGGTTTGGGTGGAGGGGGCCGAAGTCGGGAGGTGTGGACGGAGGCTCGGGAGGAGGTATGGAGGCGGCGGGAGAGGGTGAAAGAGGGTCCAGGGCTCCAGAGGAATCCGGAGGCGGGCTGGGCTTGAAGTAACCCAGGTTGCGACGAATGGCGTCTAGGGGGCGGTTGGTGGGGCTCGCAGCGCCGTACAGATGCACGGGGACTGGGGGGTGGGAAAGGGTGGGGCCGGGTGCGGAGCGGTGGGGAGCGGTGGGGAGGGGTGGGGAAGGGTGGAGAGTGGTTGGGACGAACGAGTTATAATGCAGTTATAAGAAACTTGAGAGAACTCTAAAGAATGCTCTGCGTATTCGAAGATTCTGCGTTCTTTCGTACCCCCGTGATGCTGTCCCAGATTCCGCCCGATGTTTCTCGCTGACATGGCAGCGTCTGCCAGCTCAGCACGCAGCAGTGGCCGGAGTGCCACGTGGTCCACCGCGCCGATGCACGGGTGGCTGCCGACGTGGCGACTCAGATCAACGGTCTCGATCGCACGGCCCGAAAGCTGGATCACCGTCCGTTCAAGATCCGGAGGCGGCCCCGCTAATGTCACACCCGTTCGCGCGTACGGCTCGTCTTCGAACACGTGGAGGATTCTGGTTGGCGCGCGGGAGGCGGCGAGAGAGGAGGCGAGCGATTGGAGGAGCGAGGCGCAGCGCGCGAGGGAAATGTAGACGTTTGCGGCGAGTAACGGGGAGGACATGGCTGCAACTGTAACGAGAGCGAGGATTAGAATAGAGAGGAATTTGCTAGGCGGTGCGTGGGTGGCGCATGCAAATCGACGCAGCCTGATAATGTAAGGTACGCGATAATGGAACCTCATCCTATCCTCTCCACGCAATTTTGAGTACTACGTTAACAAGTTGAACCAACTTTATGTATGTATAATGATGAGCGCATTCAACTATTGATAGCATGCTGCAGCTGGCAATACAGGTTCAGAAAAAGGAGCATTCAACTATTGAGAGTGTTTATATGAAGCATGTTCTTATAATAATACAGCATACTACATGGGAAACCTCAGATCAAGCCGTGCTACCACCACCGACGCGGTTGGTGGGGATGATGATGAGTGTCATGCTCATGCTCATGGTGTGAGTGATGATGGTGGAACGGGAAATGCATGAGCCACACAAACGCCACCCACAAATGCAACACCACCAAATACACCCACAAACTCGTCCTCGCAACCACATTGGTCCGCAACACACCGCCCGCACTCCCCAGAAAAAGCGAATCAAATCCCAAAACCGTGTCCACCACTCCCACCACAATCGCATTCCCCGACGGCCCCAGCCCAAAATCCCTCTGGGCCAAAGTCAATTTTCTTGACCGGTTCAAAATGGCCTCTCTTGAAAACCCCGGGTCCCCCTCTATTACCTCCTCCCCTCCCTCCTCTAAGGCCCTTGCTTCCGCTGCTGACGCAGCAGCTGCCAGGTCAGCAGCTAGTGGGCCCGGCGTGCTGGCGAGGAATCGCGCAGTGACAGCTGCCGACGCGGGGTTTCGTCCGCTTCTGAGGAAGGTGGACAGGCGGTGTTTGTCCTTTTGCAGGCCGGCGGATTCTGTCTCGATGCGGAGGGAGAGGGTTGACTTTTCGATCTGTAGGGACTCTACTTGCTGTTGCTTCAGTATAAGCCTCTCCGTTAACTGTTGTAACCTCGAAAGGAGGTTTGATTCCACCTCAGATTCTGCCTGCTGCCGGGCGGCTGCTGACTCAGCGTCCTCTAGTTGCTGACGCAGCAAAGCAATCTGTTGATGGGCGTGAAGAGGGAAGTAAAAAGTTCCAGCAAATGGGGAAGGGAAAGTATCCAACCACTCACTCACTCAGCCAACTTCCCACTCTCTCGCTCCACTCCCTCCCTTACTCCCTCCCTCACTTACTCCCTCACCCACTCCCACCCCTCTCACCTCCTTCCTTCTCTGTCGGAGAGTCCCCTCCAGCAGCCCAACAGATGCTGTCCCACCACCATCACTCCCTCCTCCCGCACCTCCTGCCAATCCTGCTCCCTCTCCCTCCCCCCCTCCCTCTGCTGCCCCCTGCCTGAACGCTACTCCTCCTCCTGCTGCTGTGCCCCCTCCTGCATCCACAGCCGCCCCCTCCCCCTCTCTCCCTTTCTCCCCCCTTCCCACCTCCGCGCCTTCGTCTGCTGCTCCCGCTGCCTCTCCCTCGGCCTCTGCTCGCTGCACCTGCTGCTCCAGGTGCTCATTCTCCTCTGTCAGCCGCTGCACTGTCGCCCAATCAGCGGCCAGCAGCTCGACCTAGGGCGCAGAGTGGTGCAAAGGAGTGGAGAGGGGTGCAGAGAGGAAAGAGAAACAATGAGAGTGAGAGCCATGCTGCCTGCTGCACCTGCTGCTCCAATAGTTCGATCTCCTCTGTCAACCGGTGCACTGTCGCCCAATCAGAGGCCAGCAGCTCAACCTAACGGGGGCGCAGAGGGGTGCAGAGGGGTGCAGAGGGGTGCGGAGAGGAACTTGAAATAGTGAGAGCGAGAGCCATGCTGCTTGCCGCATTTGCTGCTCCAAGCGCTCTAGTTCCTCTGTCAGTGTCAAATGATGCACTGCAGACCAATCAGAGGCCAGCAGCTCGACCTAACCGGGGATCCATGAACAAGAGGGGACGGAAAAAAAGAAAAGTGTGCTAAATACGGGAATTACCAAGGGGTGGGGGTGGGTGGGGGGTGGGGGGGGGGGAACGAAACTGCCTTCAGGGTTTCGGGTAAAGGAAACTCTCTGACTTACAGAATAAAGGGGAAAGTTCAACATTTCTCCTTGACACAGTCCCCACTCACCCACCCACCTTCTCCTCCAGAGCTCTCTGGGCGGAAGCCAGTGCAGCCATGCCACTTGCCGCCTCCGTCTCGTAGTGCGCCTCCCGCGCCGCCCGCTCCTTGCGTGTGGCGGCGTGTGATTGGCTCTCTGCTGTCACCGCCTCGAATCCTCTCCTCACACGTTCTCTCAGCTCCTCTGCCTGAATGCGTGAGGATACAGGGAGGGAAAGGAGGAAGGGGAGGGAAAAAGGGGGAGGCGGAGAGGGGGGGGAAAGGGAGAAATGATTTTGAGTTGAATAAAATTTTATCCGCACACGCGCTCTCAGCTCCCCTGCCTGAATCCGTGAGGATACAGGGAGGGAAAGGAGGAACAAAGGGTTTTAGTGGGCGAAGGGAGAGGGGCATGATTTCAAAGTCCTCCTGCTCACATGCGGTGCTGTCAGCTCCTCTGCCTGAATGCATGAGAGCAAATGGAAAATGGGGAAAGGAGGGGGCCAGCAGTTAGTCGACTTACAAACAGCATCGCACACACCGCGCGCCCTCAGTTGCTCTGCTTGAACGCCTGAACTCAGTTCCGCATTGCTCTTGTCCACGCACCTTCTGTCTGTGCTCTCTTAATCACCATCAGACGTTGCTCTAAATACTACCTTCTGCCTGTGCTGATCACCAGCTCGCCTTCTTCCTCTGCTGCTCATTCTCTCATTCTCGCCTCAGTCTCCCTCCTCCCGCCCGAGCCACCCGCAAACGTACCTTCCATCTGTGTTCCTCTATTACCCACCTTCTTCCTGTGCTGTTCTGCTGATTCTCTCATCCTCTCCTCAGCCTCCCTCCTCTCCCCTTCCAGAACCCCCACCAACTGACTCCTCTCCACCACAGCAGCCCGAGCCACTCATGCAAAGTCAAGCTGAATTCTATGTTCCTCTGTAACATACCTTCTTCCTGTGCTGCGCTGCTGCTTCTCTCATCCTCGCTTCAGCCTCCCGTCTCTCTCCTTCCAGCACCCCCACCAGTTGACTCCTCTCCACCACAGCAGCCCGAGCCACCCGCACCGCCGAACCTTCCCACTCGCGCGCCCGAGCCTCCGCTGCAGCCTCGGCGGCTAGGCGCTCAGCTTCGGCACGTTGTGCCTTGGCCTGCGCGACGCTAGAAGATTGCTCATCCTCCTCTTCCTCTTCCTCTTCGTCCTCATCCTCATCCTCTGTATAGTCTGACCCTGAAAGGATATTACACAAACAGAAGTTTGAAACGTGTCACAGAAAACTCAATTCTCTTTGTAGTCTGACTCTAAAGCGGATATTGTGGGAAGGAAAAGAGAAGGAGGCCTGCCATTAGAAGAAGAAAAAGTAGAATGAGTGGGAGGGAGGAAAGGAAGAGAAGGAAGGAGAGTGGGGTTGGGACGAGGTGGAAAGGTGGGGAGTGGGGGGTGGTGGGAGGACGAGGGGTAAGTTCGAGGTTGAGAGGAGGGTGTGATGCGGCCCTACCTGTGCTCGAGTCTGTACTGTAATCGTCATCGTCGTCAAAATCATCATCCTCCTCCTCACTACCCTCGTCCTCCTCACTACCCTCCTCCTCCTCATCTCCCTCACTCCCTCCCTCACTCCCCTCGTCGTCAGCATGTTCATCAGCTGAAATCTCGCCCCCTCTTGGCCGCCCCTGCATGTGCGGACTCTCAAACAGCTGTTTCCTTTGGCTCGACCCGACCCTCTGCCCTTGGCTCGGCCCGAACCTCTGCCGGTCTGGGGTGCTGGATGCCGAACCTCCGCCCTGAGGGATGGCATGTGCTGACTCGTTATAGACCTTCACAGGGGTTCGTTCTTGCGGTGTATCAAAACCATCAGAGCTCGTTTCCACTTTTGCCGCTTCTGTCGCTTCTGCTGTCCCTTCTGCCCCTGCTGCTGCCCCTGCTCCTGCGTTTGCTACGCCTTCTGCTGTGTCTGCTGCTGCTGCTGCTCCTTCTGACGCTGACCCTGCTGCTGCTGTCCGTGCTTCTCCTTCCTCTTCTTTGTTCGCCTCTCCGCCCCAACTTGTGTCGCCATGTGCATGTCCATGCCCATGCTCATGCCTCCCCTGCTCATTTCCATGCGCAATCTCTTTCCTCTCCCTCTCATGCCTCTCATGCCTCCCCTCATGCCCATGCTTATGCTCATGCCTATGCGCATCCCCATGCGCATGCCTATGCACATGCTCACCACCATGCGCGGGTGCGCCATCCCTCCCGCCCTCCGCACCACCCCCCAATTCATTCCCCCCTCCGCTTCCGCTTCCACTTGCACCCTGTTCCCCCGTTGCGCCCAACTCCCCGCCTCCGCCTTTCCCCCCGCGTTCTTCCCCGGTTACTTTCCCCCCAGCGCCGTCCCCCACTACAGTGGCCTCCGCGGCAGCTTTCCCCCTGTCTTTCCGCTGCCGCGCGTCCCTCGCGGATTTCTCAGACCCAGTCCCAGATGCCGCACTCTGCCTTTGCGGTTTCCCAGCGCCCGTTTCTCTTGCAGGAGATCTCTCAGGAGTAGGCACCTTCCGAGAAGCTTCGGCAGCCGAGCCCACCTGACTAGATCCATCAGAACCGATTAATCCTGCGACCGGAGAGGCTTCGCCAGCTGTCACTCGCGCTTCCTTCCGTCTCCCTTTGTGGATGACTCGTTTTAAGTACGCATCCAATAAGTCGTCCGCACTTGCTGTCGCTTCGCCTGTCTTCGTCTTTGTGTCCCCTGAATTCGCCGAGCTCGCCGAATTCGCGAACGTCGCCGTCTCCGTCGAAGATCCCGTCGGATATTCCGTTAACTTCTCCGTTTCGTTGACAAGGCTCGGTTGGGCAACTGTCCCGGTTGGCACTGAAGATGTATTTCCGTGTTGCGATGTGTCGCCCTTTCGCAATGGGTCGCCTGGACCGTCGCCTGTCATGACCGAAGCGACGCTGCTCTGCGACCTCTAAATACCACTGCAAGCCTACACGAACACACAGTGCATGAGAATAACGTCTACAATAAGCCGACGCAACAGCCGTGATCGACGACAATTCGCTGATTCGAATCTCAGGAAATTTTCATCGTACACTAACACGTATACTGCTGCTATAGCCAGTCACAACTAGATTCTGTCGGCTAGAAAGGTCGCCTCGTTTTCGTCGAAAGTGTCAGATGCTGTTACCTGCCTAGAGTATAGCTTTCGCCAGGTGAGCATCGTCCGTCGCACAAGTCTGGCACACGCCTCTCGCAAACAGGTCAGCCCACGCTCCGCGCGAACAAAGGTGAGGCTTGTTTGGTTCGAATGTAATACCATGTACCTGCTTTGTTGAAGATGGTTTACATGTATAAGTTCTTCTTTAAAACATAATTATCTGTAACACTTCGCAGCACACGTACTGCATCATGATTGGTTAGCTCTGCATGTAGCACGTACCTTCGGTGCCTCACACGTGTTGGCGAAAACAGCATTCCAGCATTCCCTTTCGTCGAATCATGATCCAAGTTCGCACTCCCACCGTCCATTTTCCACTGTCGAGTCGCGGCCGTTTACTCCTCCATGACGGTGATCATACACTAGTTCCTCCTATCACTTCAAGTCCCGAAATATACGCTACTAGTAACTCGTGTACAGCCTGAAGCTCCGTCCCATACTTCCCCGAAGGCTCTAGTTTTTCAGCAGTCCATCCACCTCATCTTCTCGTCATATCACTCAAGTTACGGTGGCATCCCGTTGGCTTGCTGATCACTGTAGTTTAAGAAATCTTGCTTTCGGACCTCTTGCCAAGTGCGCTTCACACTCTAGTTTGTGCACTTGCACGGCAGTCGGTCGGTAAGGCGCCGGCTTTAGGCTTTTCATTCATTTGCGTCGCGCTTGTCTTTCGCGGAGTTTGCCACGTGGCAGTTCTCTACGCCGGCGTCGCCATGGCTCCTGGAGAGCTGACCAATCGCGATGGTGCAGATTCCGCCTTCCCCACTCACACAGACGCAGCCGAGTCGCGCAGCAGTGTCACAACAGAGACCGTTGACGGCGAGACTCGCGTCAACGAGGGTCTTCGCCTTAGGAAGCTGCGGCTCGGCAAAGACGACCAGAAACGACAAACTCTCCACGTGCCTAGGCCGCACATGCGCTCCGCGGCGGACTCCGCGAATTCATCCTCGTTACAAGCAACCCCAGAACCGGTGTCGCCCGTCGGCCGACTGTTCTTGGACGACGGTTTCTACACGACGATTCTATGCGTGCTGGAGTTTAAGAACGAAATGGAGATTAAAGAGCTAAGGGACATCCTGCAGCACACGCTACTGCAACACCCGCGCTTCCACAGCCGCCTGGTGGGTATTATCAAGGCGTCCTTAGATGATGTAGTTTCCTGGTGCATTATTTCAGGCCCCTCGTCCTTCTCCACACTCTCCCTCCGAGGGTTTAGGGGGAGTCCCCCGGTCCCCCCTTTCCCTTTTTTTTTTAACCTCACCTCCCTCGTCCTCATCCTCTTACCCACCCAACCCGACCGCACCACATCCCTCCTTGTTCACCCTCACTCTCATCCCGCTCTGCTCCCACAGGTCTCTAGCCCTGGTGGCGTGCCAGCGTGGGTGCTCATGGATGCTGCTGACGTGGATCTAGAGTACCATGTCGTGGAAGAGGGAGCTGCTGACGTGGATACGTCTCAGTGCCACGTGGCAGGGGAGGGGGGAGGAGGAGGAGGAGGAAAAGGAGGAGAAGAAGGGAGGGAAAGGGGAGAGGAAGGCGAGGGAGCATTGGAATCTCACGTGGTGCGATTGCAGTCTCTGCCTCCGTTCGATCCCAACCGTCCGCTCTGGCAGGTGGGCACTGCACAGCTTTTCTCCGTTAGTGGTGGTGGTAACTGTGTAACACTGACACATTTGTCAGTTTCAGCAGCATTCCGGCTTGCATGGTTTGTCCGTTTATGCTGGGGTCTCAATGCTGGCTGAGCTGAAAACGCGTCTTCTTTGCGTCCTGTCCCCTCGGATGTCATGTGATTGCTCGTTGGTTTGCTCTCACGTTGACTCTCGTTGACTCTCGTTGACTCCCTTGACTGCCTGGCACCGCCCCTTGACTCTCCACATCAGGTGCATCTCATTCACCTGCCAGCTGGCAGCCGTCCAGGCGAGCCACCTCAGCGCCACTCTGCAGCTGTGTTCAGGTGAGTTGTCAGGTGAAACTTATCTTCTGGTAGATGCTTAAAGCCGGCGGCCCAAATTGTTCATGCTTTTTAAAAGTTGACCAGAGGGAGTTTTTCTTGGTGTGGGCTTTTGCGAGAGTTTCCAATTTCGTCTAGGTTCGTTTTTTTCGCGAGACCAAGCCAACCCTCGTTTTTCCCCCTGGTGAGGGAATGTGTCTTCAAAAGTCTCAAATTGCAGGTGCGTGACACGGGCAATCCGCAATCTGCAATCCGCAATCGTTGTTGTGGTGCGTCTCAATCCGCAATTTGGGACACGGGCTTTAAGTAGGTCGTCAGAGGAGGCGTCTATGAATCTTGCCGCAAGTCACAACAGTATTTTGAGTGAAATCAGTTGTGATCGATGAATCTTGTAGGCTTAAAGGATGCCTGTATCCATGTAAATTGTCTTGAAGATAACATGGTTGCATTTGTCTGTCTGTCTCCTGCACCTCGTGTCCGTCTCTCCTTGTCGCCCCACCAGGATCCACCATGCATTGGGTGACGGAATATCTCTCATGTCACTGCTGTTAGCCGCCACCAAAACCCTCCTCTGTTGTCCCTCACTCGCATGCAACCTCTCCTAACACGTCCCTCTCTCCTTCTCGCCCCACCAGGATCCATCATGCACTGGGCGACGGAATATCTCTCATGTCTCTCCTCCTGGCCGCCACCCGCCAAACCAACAATCCGGACCTTCTTCCGAGCCTACCGGGGAGCTTGGGTGCGTCCGCCAGGCAAAAGAGCAGCAGCAGCAACGGCAGTAACGGCATCAACGGGGGAAGCAGCAAGGAGAAAGAGGCACCGGCAGAAGTTTCCAGGAAACCGAGGTCGTTCCGAGGGTTATTGGCGCTGCTGTGGGCTGCGCTTGTGCATGTGGTGCTGGCTGTGTGGCGGGCAGTGCAATTGGCTGTCAACACAACAACGCAGGTGCGTTCAGTTTTGAGACGTCTCAAAACCAGGTGTGTTTCTGCCACTACAGCTTCCATCAATAGAGGGCCCCACCCCACCAGCACTGCCACGCCGTTCCCATCCCAAAGCCTCCCACATCACCTGCAATTCCTCCCTCCCCGTGTGCTGCAAATGAATGGTCGCTCACGCCCCTCCATTCACATCATGGAGTATCTGGCAATGCTCGTGTGCCTTTCCCGACACACCAAATCCATGAAAGGAGGGTCCCACCTGCACTGCCACATGCTGCTCGTTTGAGCATGGGGAGGGGAGGGACACTCTTTCCCTCCCCATCAGATCATGGAGTACGTGGCAGTGCTCATGTGCCTCTCTAACACACCAACGCCCATCAAGGGAGGAACACACAACGCCCATCAACGCCCTGCCATTGCAAAGCCACACTCATCCCCCTCATGTGTGCGGCGCGTATATGTTCAATTCCACTGTCCGTTCACCCTTTCGTTTTTCAGATTCTTGAGTACCTGGCAATGCTCGTGTGCCTCTCCCGACACGCCAACGCCCATCAAGGGAGGGCCCTACCTGCACTGCCAGTCTGGTTGATGCCCATCAATAAAAAGTCGGCTCTTCCACCCATCCCTCCCGCCTCTTCAGATCATCGAGTACCTGTCAATGCTTGTGTGGGTTGCCGACACACCAACGCCCATCAAGGGAGGGCCCTACCTGCGCTGCCAGTCTGGTTGATGCCCATCAATAAGAAGTCGGCTCTTCCACCCATCCCTCCCGCCTCTTCAGATCATCGAGTACCTGTCAATGCTTGTGTGGGTTGCCGACACACCAACGCCCATCAAGGGAGGGCCCCACCTGCACGGCCACGCCCTGCCGCGCTGCTTCGCCGTATCGGATGAAATGAGCCTGGAGGATGTTTCAGCCATACGCAAGACAGTGAACGGCGCGGTGAGTTGAAGGGAGGATCAATTACACTAATTTGAATTTGTATGTGGGGAGGCTTCTTGCAGCGGCCCACCTGCACTGCCACGCCCTGCCGCGCTGCTTCGCCGTGTCCCCGGAAATGAGCCTTGAAGGTGTTTCAGCCATTTGCAAGGCTGTCTGGGGAATGTTGAGTTCAGCAGTCTTGATATGATTTGATTCAATTCCACCTGTGCGGCAAGGTGAGCTCCCACCTGCTCTGCCATGCCCTGCCACGCTGTTTCGCCGTGTCCTCTAAGTTGAGCTAGGAAGATGTTTCGGCCATTTGCAAGGCGGTGAAAGGCCTTGCAAATGCAGAAATGATGCAGAAAGAATTTCTCGACAATGCCTTCTTTGTGATTTCTCGCTTCAAGCGAGAAAGGCTTGACTACTTGAGTGGCTTCAATGTTGAGACTTTAGATTTGGTTGAAGCATCATATTACTCTGCAGTGCGGCTGTTTGTTGGCTTCGATGGTTGACCAAATTCTTGATTGTAAGTTCTCTATGAGGAACACGTAAGTGTAAAACTTACAATCGAGGATTTCGTCAACCACCGAAGTCAACAAAGAGCTGTATAGCAGAGTAGTATGACGCTTCAACCAAATCCTTAAGTCTCAACATTGGAGCCACTGAAGTTAGTCAAACCTTTGTCTCTTAAAACGAGAAATCACAAAGTAGCTATTGTTTCTGCATTCACAAAATAAAGTGCAACGTCGTGAATGGGCATCCGCAAGGCCTTGACTCCATTTGCAAGGAGACAAGGGGAAGGCCCAAGGTAGTTTTGCCGTGTCCCCTGAAATGTACCTGGAGGGCGTTTTGGCCATTTGCGAGACTGTCAAGGGCGCGGTGAGTCGAAGGTCACAGAGACGGCCAAAGGTTGAACACAGACACGCACACACGCATACCTGCACGGCCACGCCCTGCCGCGCTGCTTGGCCGTTTCCTAAAATGAGCCTAGAAGATGTTTCGACCATTCGCAAGGCGGGCGCGGTGAGTCACGGGGAAGGCCACACAGACAAGCATGCACGCACACGCTCACACCTGCACCGCCAGGCACACTCTCACACCTGCACCGCCACGCACACTCTCACACCTGCACCGCCACGCACACTCTCACGCCTGCATTGCCACGCACACTCTCACACCTGCATTGCCACGCACACTCTCACACCTGCATTGCCACGCACACTCTCACACCTGCATTGCCACGCACACTCTCACACCTGCATTGCCACGCACACTCGCACACCTGCATTGCCACGCCCTGCCGCGCTGCTGTGCCATGTCCCGCTGAGAGATGAACAATATAGCACTCCGTCACGCGCGCTCTGACTCCCCTTGAGACAAGTAATATAGTGCGCATCACCCTTTCAGCATGCTGCCAGTCATCCTTGGGGGCGTCAAGTGGTACGTGTCCCTTGTCAATGTTGTAGATGCTTAAAGGAATCCCTTCCTTCCACCTCCCCTTCCCCACCCCACCCCACCCTTTCCAGACGGTCAATGACGTCATGCTGACGGTGATCTCAGGTGGAATAGAGCGCTACCTTGCTCTTGTCAGCTCCACAAACGGAGGTAAGACACTTTCAGAGTACACTCCTTTGATTTGCTTCAAGAGCCATATACTACCCTTTGAGACGTCTCAAAAGCTGAGCGGTACCGTGATTATGAAATCCACGAAGGCCGTAGTGAAGTCATCCATAACGAAGACCGTGACTAGGAAGAGTTGGCTCCACTCCCCCTCTTTCTCTCTTTATCCTTTCTATCTTTTGGTGAACTACCAAAAGGGCAGTTTTTGTTTTGTTCTCGTGCATAAAAAATCGGATCCAATCTCATTCCACTATCTCTCCTTACTCATTCCTTCCCCATCCACCTCCCATATCCCTTTCCTTGCCTCTCGTGTCTCCCTCCTCCGCTCTGCTAACTTCTTTCAAAGTTCCGCTTGCCTCACTCGTTGCATGTCAGTGCCTTTCCGCCCTTCACTCCAGCTTCATTCCTTCATCCCTCGTTCCCTTCACTCACCTCTCATCTCTCATCCTTACCGCTCTTACTTCCCTTCTCTCCTCTCAGGGTCTCCATTGCCTCTCCGGCTGCGGGTCAGTGCATTGGCGCTTTTCAACCTGCGACCAGCACCGGGCCTGCAGGTAAGGTCCGGTTGCTGCTGGTACGATGCGGTATCATGCGGTACCACGTGGTGCTGGTAAGGTAAGGATGGCTGCTGTTGGTACCATGTGCTGTGCTATGGTGAGGTGTGGCTAGCACAGGAGTTCTGAGACGTGCCGTCAGACACTTGACTGTCATGAGCATATGGCGGGTCAGTGCCTTGGCCCTCTTCAACCTGCGAGCGACCAGCACAGGCCCTGCAGGTGGGGCCTGGCTGTTGCTGGTACGGCAAGGTCACGGAGTTGCAACGATGAGCGTCGAGCGATAGGTGCAATGATGACCCATGTCTCATTCTCATCCACACATGATCCACACATGATCCACACATGATCCACACATGATCCACACATGATCCATACATGATCCACACATGATCCGCACATGATCCATACATGATCCATACATGATCCACCGTTTAGGAGCTGAATGAGCTGATGGCAGTGGAGAGTGGGACAACCACCTTGGGAAGTGCTTCCTTCCTAACCTGCACTTCGTCCCCACCTATTCTTCACTCCCCCTCACCCACCCATCCTACCCCACCTTCACCCACCTTACCCACCCATGGCTTCCGTCCTGACCCACACAGCATCCTCACCCATCCCTCGCCTTCCCTCACCCTCGACCCCCATCCTTCAGGAACTGGGCGAGCTGATGGCTGGCCAGCAAACTACCTTGGGAACCACCTTGGGAACATCATGCTGCCACTCGCTAGCCTTCATGCACATGGTACAATCCTCACACACCCCTCACACACCCCTCACACACCCCTCACACACCTACCCCACCCCTCACCTCCCCCATCAGGAACTGAGTGAGCTTATGGCCGGGCAGAGATCTCAAGCACGGTGGGGCAACCACCTTGGGAATATCCTGCTGCCACTGCCTATCTTCAGCAGAGTGCAGGGACGGAACTACCGGCCGAGCCAACAAAGCGATTCAAACAAGCCAAGCTGCAGGGGGGGAGAGGGGGAATGCGAGGGGAGAGGGACGAAGGAGGAGGTGGAGAGGCTGGGAGCAGTGAGGGCGCTGTGTGCTTCGAGGAAGGACTCTCTGATGGCCCATTGGACGTACCTGAACGGGCGTTTATTGATGCCACTCGTGGGATGCAAGGTGAGCTGCTGATGCTGTTTGTGGGATGCAGGTGTGATGGTGATGGTGCTGTGTGCTTCGAGGAAAGACTCGCTGATGGCCCACTAGACGTACCTCAATGGCCGCCTGCTGATGCCGCTCATGGGATGCAAGGTGCGATGGGGAGGGTGTTAGGCCCAATGCTCGTTCTCTTGGTGGGCACCAGCAGCGCTGTGTGCTTCGAGGAAGGACTCTCTGATGGCCCATTGGGCGTACCTGAGCGGGCGTTTATTGATGCCACTCGTGGGATGCAAGGTGAGCTGCGCGATGGGGTGGGATGGCTGTACAGTGCTGCTTTCTTTCCTTTGCTCCCTTGCCTGCCCGTCCTCCCTTCCCCCACCACCAGCCAGTGGTGGCACCAGACCACCCTCTCTCTCTCCAAAACGTGGTGGGGCCTCACTCTGCTGGCCCCTCCCTTGCTCCCTTGACTCTGCCTTCGCTCATCCCTCCTCTCCCTTCTCACCTCCCCCACCACCAGCCAGTGGCAGCACTCACCCGTCGCAGTTTGGATCAGACCACCCTCTCGCTCTCCAACGTGGTGGGGACTCACTGTGTTGACCCCTTTCCCTTGCTCCCCGTCATACCTCCCCTTCCCCCCACCACCAGCCAGTAGCAGCACTCACGCGGCGCAGTTTGGATCAAACCACCCTATCGCTCTCCAATGTGGTGGGGCCTCTAGAGGAGGTGGCACTGCACGGCCATCCCATCTCTGCCATCCTTCCTTCTGTCTACGGCAGTAACCATGTGAGTATTGAACCCCGCCCTTCCCTTGCACGACTAACTCATGTCTGAGTTGACTCAGCATAGTGGGGCCTCTAGAAGGGTGGCATTGCACGGCCATCCCATCTCTGCCATCCTTCCTTCGGCCCTTTTCCTTGCACGTCCATCCTGATTCCGGGTCTTTTCCTTTCACCCCTTTCTGAGGTTGCATTGCATATCATATCCTATCATATCCCACATCGACTCCATGGTGCTTCAACTGTTAGTGGATTCTAATCTCGTTCTTCTTATCCTTCTGTTATAACTTCCCCTTTTTAAATCATGATATCCTTATCATTATCATGCATCCGAAACATTTGAATCTATCCTCGTTGTTACCATCCCCATCAGGCACTAACCTGTCACATCCAAACGTACAAGGGTGCTGCTCGCATAGTCGTGTCTGGCGTGAAGCAGCATGTGCCCAACCCACACCTGCTCTGCCAGTGCTTCTTAGAGGCCTTTCAGCAACTCAAAGAAGAGGCAAAGACGACCGTCTAGCTTGACTGTTCAGCACATGCTCATATGTCACCTTGAGACATTCCTTGTACAGAGCAGAACAGCGTGTATAGTGTTGGTGTAAGCTGTGAAGCAGCATGTGCCGTAGCCAAACCTGCTGTGTCAGTGCTTCTTAGAGGCCTTTCAACAAAGAGGAGGCAAAGATGTTCAAATATCTTACCTGCTCTGCTATGCCTCTGAGAAGCATTTTAGGAACTAATGGAAGAAGCTAAGGTTATTGTATAAGCTAAGATAACTGTGTGAAGGGTCAACTAGCGCTGCACTGGATGCTGCACTGCCGCGTATCAACAAGTGCCAAACCCCGTATGCTCCTGGTAGGGGTATTTCAGCTTCACAGCCTTACGTGGAACTAGTGCTTGCTCATGTCTAGCAATGAAAAGGACTAAACATTAGATGATTCAAAAAGAATTTTATTTTTATGTTGGAACTACGAAGATCAGAAAGAATTCCACTCAAAACAGCACAAGTAACTCGCCATTGCAGCTGCGCCTAAGGTGAACTCATTCCTACGCGGGTTTGGCGCTTCAATGCCAGGGCCCACTGTTGAGCTTGTGACCTGCTACTCAATCTCCTGCTGCTGCTGCTCCTGCTGCTGCTACTCCTACTGGCGCTGGCAATTAGCTATACTAAGAGAAAGCCCTAGCGCGAGAGGCGGAGCCAGGAGTTGACTTGCGTGAACGAGTTGGCGTCGTATCCGCTGACGCTCGTGATGATCCCAGGGTCCACCCAGTCCGCGCGGGACGACGCGGCGCCCGGCCCCTTGCTGCCCGCCTCCGCCAGAAACATGCAGCTGCCCTCGTTCCACGACAGCCACCCGTCCTTCTCGATCACCGCGGGGAGATACGCGTTGATGAACACCGTGAACGCGCACTTCTTCCACGGACGGCCCAGATACACCTTGGCAGTGCCGCTGTCCGCTGAGACAACCGCGTCGCGAATCACGATCCCCGTCGGGGTGTCCTTGGCGCGACCCGACGCCGTGAGAGTGCCGAAAGAGGGGCTCGGGTGAAGCTGAATCTTGGGCGCGTCGATAACCACAGCCGCGTCGCCGAAAATGAAATCCTGCGAGCCGCCAATCTTGCAGTTTTTGTAGTACTGCCGGCCCGCGTCCACGTACAGTGTATCTTGCGATCCGTCGAACTCGCAGTTGAAAAGAGCCGTTTGGTCGCCGGTGGCGCGAAACGCAACTGCTTGGTGATTCTGGGGGCCTGCCGTGTTGACGAACTTGATACCGAAGGCGACGAACCTGTTGTGTAGTTACCAGGTGGGTGGGTATATGATGAGGCGACGGGGGAAGAGAACAGAGGAAAGCCGAATTGAATGAGAAAAACGGGGGAGATTGAAATGGGCAGAAAAAACAAGGGAGGTAAGGACAGTAAGAGGAAAGGGCGGCATTACCTGTCGCTATCCACCCCAACCGTAGCCGACTCGAACGTCCCGGACCCGCTGCCGTAACTCGCGTCGCCCGTGATGATCGTCTTACCCGCGCCCGCGCCAATCAGAACGATATCCGTCGTCGAGATAACCACCTGCTCCTTGTACGTTCCCGCGGGAATGTAAATCACGAATCGCGTGCCGCCAGGAGCGGCGTCCACGGCGTCCTGAATCGACTTGTATCCCGATCCGACGGTCGCGCTCGCCGCGAGAGACGCGCTCACGACCATCGGGCCCTCGTTCGGAGACGCCTTCTTGCTGCTCTTGCTGCTCTTGCTGCTGCTCTTGCTGCCTTTGTTCTTCTTATCCTTCTTGTCGTTGTTGTCGTTATTATCATTGTTGTCGCCGTGGTCGTGGTGATGGTGGTGAAACAATTGCCTCCTCGAGATAGAGCCGTCCTCCGAATCCTCAGCGACGGAAGCGGCGTGTTCGGCATTCAGCCTCGTTTGAAGCTCCTGCAGTTGCTCGTACAAGCCCGGTTCAAGCCAATCCATCGCGCCGTTCCCCGCGCTGCTGGATCGGACGGCCATGCGGCGACCGCGCACGGGAGCCACGTCCTCCTCCGTTGATGCGACGTCGGTAGCGGCGGATGCGGCGGCTTTGGTGATGGATAAGAGGGCGTCAAGCGTGCTTCCCGCCTTCTTAGCCGTATACTGCGGAGGGGAAGTGGAAACGTGGAGAAAGAGGGGGCGGGGTTCAGATTGATTAGTAAACCAGTGCTGCTGTTGCGCGGAGTGAAGTAAGGCAAGTGCGAGCAAGGCAGCCGAATGCCATCTATTTGAACAACGACGGTAACGAACCTCGAGGTGGACGTAGGCGGGGAAGCCTTGCGCGGCGGGCGAGAAAGTCTGGAAGCCGTCGACGCAGTTGTCGATCTGCGTGTCGGCGGCCGCCAGCCAGTAAGGCACGTCGAGCTGATTCGTGCCCGCCTCCACCGCATCCCCCGCCTGCCCCAGGTACCGCAGCGCGATGGCGGCCTGGCGCGCGCAAGTCCTCGCCATGACGTTTGTGAAATGGTCTTCCCGCACGTTGTTCGTCTTGATCTCGTCGGCCGCCTCGATTAGCGCCGCGACTTGCGCTTGCACCGATGCGATCATGGCTGAGGTCACTTGCTCCGGGGTCTGCGGCAGGACGCTCAGGGATCGCCGCGCCACGCGGAATTCTGCCGCGCAGTGGGTGCCGTTGGATGAAGCGATGCAAGCGTCGGGGTGGATGAGAACGAAATAGTTGTCGGCCATCTCGCAGCAGGAGATGACGGCCAGCGCGAGTCCCAGCCCAGCGAATGCCCATATGGCAGCGCGTTTAATCCGAGCGATTTCCATCTTCGCGAAGAGAAGGAGCTCACAAAGTAACGTCCAGTCGACTACTCGCAGGATTTAGGGGACGTAAGAAACGTAGTGGCCGGATGAGGCTGCCTCAACAGCACTGCAACGATGACACGGTGAAGATGAGATGCACAACTGATGGCTGATGGTAGTTCAACTGATAACTTATGGTAATTTGAGACGCATATTTATGTTAGTTTCTGTCAGGAACTGTGACTGAGGTAGGGCGTAGGGCGCGAATGCTTTAGCGAGGGCCAATCCGATAGGAGTCGCCACGGGTAGGTAGGGAGCTTATCGCGGCTCGATTTGATAGCTCAAGAAATCGACGCGCGAAAAGTTCAGCCCAATCATTGGCTGCTACGGAGCGCAGAGGGGCCGATTGCCCCGCAGCGATCGCGACTAGAGGGGTGTCAAGGAGCCCCTCCTACGAAATTTTTTTGTTACATTCGACACTGTCATCAGAATACGCGAGTGTTCCTTTCCTGGTTCTTCTCGGTTCAGTCGGGGATTGTCCAGTAAGCAAAAAGCATGGGACGGCCAATTCGATATATTCACGCCGCCCAGCGTTTCGGCCCCCCAAACCGACACCACGTGGCAGATGGTAACTCCAGAAACGTGAGGCGACGCGAGACACTGTGCTTGTACCGATACATGACTTGACTACTCCGAAAGCTTAGGTGATTGTCTGGGGAGCTAGCTAGCACTGTACTACTGTCTGCTGCTCTGCTCTGTTGCAAGCGATTTATGTAAACACCTATCAGATTATCTTCCAAAGAAACGCTTTCTGGTATGTGGAATATTATGCTCAGTAAGGTAGGTAACATAACATCAAACGCATTCCTATGCAGTCTTTACCCTCCAAGTACCAAACGATTACTTTAGAGGGACATTCTTGAGTCATTCAACATCAGTGGACTAAGAAATAAACATTGTTGGGAGCTGTGATTATAGCTGACAAACCAATATGACAAACTGTACTTAATCCGTATAGACAGCTGACATTACTCATACGGAGAAATCAAGATCTACCCAGCGCGTGTAATGTAACAGCCCTCAGCCCTGATAAAAACAAAAAAGAGTTAACAGGCACAACAAAATTTCAACTACCGTGGATACGAAATTGGATGAAATCCTTTCCGCGGAAGGAGAACCAAGGCTGATGCAGGCAGCAAGAGCAGATAGCCACCACCACGGTTGTTGGGGCAACCGGAGCGCATCCAGCCGTTCGTATTATGTAAAGCGAGGAACAGTAGGTGAAGAGTGGAGATGTGGGGTATGGAGTGGTGTAGAAAAAATGCTCGGAGGTGCCCCAGGAACAGGTACCAGAGTTGCGAGGAAAAGCCACCCGCAACCCTTATTGCAAGTCATTGTGTTCATTGCCAGTGATTGCAAGTCACTGTAGGTCACGCGGCCTGGGAGGGAAAACCGAGGCGGGAGCAGCCACAGCCAGCGGCTTCCTGCTCCTCAGATTCACCCGCCCCTTGCGAATGAACGAGTAAACCGCCTTCCCATAGTGCTCATTCCTCACTATCCTAGTGCTTGCCCTCCAATCACACGCCTCCGCGTCCCGCAACCCCGCCTCAACCATCGCCTCTCGCGTTTTCTTGGACGTCACTAGCTGCCGAAGCTTGCCAACCGCGTCGTCCACATCCCCTGGCGTGAACAGGAACCCGTTCTGCCCCTCTCTGTTGATGATATCTGGGATTCCTCCTGCCCGGGCGGCAACCACAGGGACGCCTGATGCCATTGCTTCTAACACCACGTTTCCCAGAGTTTCTGTCTCCGAAGGGGTGATGAAAATGTCTCCTGATGCAAATGCGCGGGAGAGGTCGGCTCCTTGCTTCATGCCGGCAAAGACCGTGGGTGTTCCAGCAAACAGCTTCTCCAGCTCCCCCCTGTGGAACCAGCAGCAGCAGGGAAAGAGGGGGAGATAAAGGGATGCAGCAAGTTAGGTCAGGCAACAGTTCATCTAATCTGGTAAGACCGAGGGTGTTTCAGCAAACAGCTTCTCCAGCTCCCCCCTGTGACACCAGCAAGCAGCAGGGAAGAGAGGCGGAGAGCAAGGGATGCAGCAAGTAAGGTAAGTATCTTGGTCAGGCAACACTTTATCTCATGTGGGCAGCAAAGACTGGGTGTGCCAGCAAGCAGTCTCTCCAGCTCGCCTCTGTGGATCCAGCAGCAGCAGGGAAGAGAAAGGGAAGGGATGGCGCAAGGGATGGCGCAAGGGGTGGCGCAAGGGATGGCACAAGGAGTGGCGCAAGGGGTGGCGCAAGGGGTGGCGCAAAGACTGGGTGTGCCAGCAAGCAGCCTCTCCAGCTTGCCTAATTGCACAGAAGGGAGAGCAGCAGGGAACTAGGGAAACCCATCGTTGCTCCCCATCTAAAAGAACAGGGGAAGGTCCATATGGGCGAAAGAGGGTGGTTGGTGTGGGGACGAGTGGGCAGGGGATGGGAAAACTTCAACTGTTACAGGGCAGTAAGGCCGGTACGATATAACTAGCAAAATATTGGTCAACTGTAGGTGAACGTTTTAAGGTGCCTCAGAAGCAATGAGACGCAGTCACGTACCTGTGCGGTCCATCCCCAATGAAAGCAAGGCGTGCCCCTGGAATCCTATCCAGCATGCTGCATGGATGGAACAAGGGACGAGCGACGAAGCATGGGGGGGAGAGGAAGGGGTGGGGAGAAGAGAAACAGTTTGAGCTAGGAGCGGACTTTTGAGTCAACTCAGCATCCAAGTGAACAACTCGGGTTAAATTGAAGTTATTAAAGGCTTCAAGAGCGAACTCAGGTTTTCATTAATCTACTCATATTCTTTATCACGATTCTATTGATTCACTCATGGCTCGATAGAGCTACTCACGGCTTGAGCAGATGAAGGTTCTTCTCAGCGCCTAGCCGCCCCACGTGCACAATGAGAGGCTTGTCCACCTCTCCCCCGCTGTTGGGACAAGAAAAAGAGCATGACGAGAGCACAGGAAGTAGCAGAGCGAGCGTTTAACATGATAATAAGACGTCTAGACCACAATCAGCCCCCTCCTTGTCAGAACTTTCTTTACTCTAGCACATGGTCCCAGGTGAAACACTTAACTTTATATCTTGAGAAGCAAGGCAACTCGCACGTATAGTGTGAACATATGGGGGCTTATGACGGGCCCTTGTGCCACACACCCATCTGCCTGCCTCAAGACGAGACAAGCCCACCAAACCCGTCCATGGGTCACCACAGCTAGCTATAACACCTGAGTAGCTTCCGCGTATACTGGTCTCGAAACCGCGGGTTGAACTTGTGAGAATCCAATGCCTTGGGACACAACACCCATGTGCTTGCCTCAAGACAAGACCAACACATGCCGTCCCATAAAAATCGCCATACCTGATCAGTTTCCGCGTCTCCTGGTCTCAGAACCGTTGGGTTAAAACTGTGGGAATCTACTGCCTTAGGCCACACGCCCATCTGCCTGCCCCAGGCAATACTAACCCATGCCGTCTCATACATTCGCCTGCCTGAGTATTTCCGCGTCTCCTGATCTCAAAACCGCGGGTTGAGCTTGTGAGAATCCTCTGCCTTAAGCCACACGCCCATCTGCCTGCCTCGAGACGAGACTGATCCACCTAACCCTTGAGAGTCACCACAGCTAAGCTAACACACCTGAGCAGCTTCCAGGTTTCCTGGTCTCGAAACCGAGGGTTGAACTTGGCAGAATCCACTGCCTTGAGCCACACGCCCATCTGCCTGCCCCAGAGGAGACCAACCCATCCCGTCACGCACCTGAGCATCTTCCGTGTCTCCTGGTCTCGAAATCGTGGATTGAACTTGGCAGAATCCACTGCCTTGGGCCACACGCCCATCTGCCTGCTGCCTCCTGCACGAGAAAACAGGAGCGCAGGGAAACACGGAGAGTGGGTTGCCTGAAATCTCTGACACCGCTTTGGCACCGTCCAGCTATCTGAGGCAGTGAGCTGTATAGATAGGACTTCCAAGGGCTAGACAGAGGCAGCAATACCCACTTTTTGTGGCGTTGTGTGCTGTTAGTTCCTTAACGAGCTCATGCGACGTCGTGATGGCGTGGTCTGCCCCTCGATGCAGGAAGAAGATATGACAGAGGTAGCAACACCCACCAGCTGTGGCGTGGTGCGCTCTGAGTTCCTTTGCCAGCTCATGCGATGTCGTGATGGCGTGGTAGGCACCTGACTGCAAGAAGCCTGGAAAAGGTGAAAAAAGAAGAAAGGACAAAGGCAGAAATGCGTACCTCCTGTGGCGTTGTGCTCTGTGAGTTCCTTTGCCAACTCATGCGATGTCGTGATGGCATGGTCCGCCCCTCGATGCAAGAAGCCTGGAAAAAAAGGGATTGGAGGAAACAAAACGAAGAGATCGAACGCAACTGAACTTGCAAAACGAACCACAAACGAACCAATGGAAACAAAGAAAAAACATGAGAAGAGTGAATGCAGACCACACCTACAGTCTGAAATCGGGAGGCAGGAAAAGCAGGAAAGCGTGGTGTGCATTGGACACGCAAGGAGGCGAATGCTGGAAAAGCTGATTGGAACAACTTACGAATAACTTTCCACATGGGCTCCACTAGTCCTGGGAAAGTGTACTTGGGTATGTACCTGCGAACAGCACAGCAGCCAGCAATAGACCACAAGTTCTGAGGCGCCTTAAGGTAGCCATGGGGATACAACCACGGACAACTTCACTGCTGGTGGAGCAGAAAAGTTGAAGGGGAATCTTAGGCTGGGCCCGGACGTGTGAGTGAATGATATGAGGGCATGCATGGCGTTAGTGCGAGCCTAGAAATTGACGAGCTTCAATACAAGGAGAGTGCCAGTGGGGAATGGGAGGAGGGCATTACGCTGGGACGTGCGTGTGATACGAGAGCATGAAGGGCGTGTTTGTCATCTTCGCAGTTGCCATGGCTCCAAAGCACTGCCAGTCAAGGGAACGGGATGCAGTGATACGATGAATGGATATTTTCACAGAAATTCTGCACAATCAGCTTCGCTGTTGCTGCTGGTACGAATGCAGTGAAATGCACTCAAGCACGGCGCTTTCAGACTGTACATTCACATTGCTTTGCTTGTGTCAGCCTTGTGACCTTTTCACCTGCAATCCTGCAAACCTCCTTTTGACTTTCAAAAAAACCACTCTCTTTGTTTGTGAAAACTGAAACCACCATGATTCCAGGAGATGTATTTAATGTCACGTTTGTAACCTTCTTCACCTGCAATCGTGCAACCCCTTTCTGACTTTCAAAACTAACTCTCTTTGTTTGTGCAGAAAACCCACCATGATTCCTGGAGAGGTGGAGTGGATAACGCCAGGCTTGTAATTTGGTTCACGCCTTCAATCCTGGAAACCTGCTTTTGACATTTGAAGATACCATTCTCATTTCTAGTCTGAAATGTCACCATGATTCCTGGAGATGAGTGGATAATGCCAGGCTTCTCGGTTGTTTCACCTTCAATCCTGCAAATCTACTTCTGACACTCAAGGACAGCAATATACATTTTCAGGTTCAATAACGCACCATGATTCCTGGAGAGGTAGAGTGGATGATGTCAGGCTTAAAATTGGCCACTTCCGAAACGATCCGCGGGCTGAATCCCAGCGCGAGAGGGACATTCATGTACCACGGGCAGGGGAAACTGGAAACAACACAGGAATGAAACGAAAAAACACACACATATGCACGCACGCAGGCACGCATGCACGCACGCACGCACGCACGCACGCACGCACACGCACGCACGCACGCACGCACGCACGTACGCAAACACACACACAACTTCAGACTTCGGTATCAAGTTCGGTGATACGATCCAGCAGAGCAGATGCCGACAATGATACCTTAGAGAAGGTATTACTTTTGCTCCAAAGAACTCCTTGGGAGCTCCCTTGTGAGTGGTCACCACAAGCACCTGCGCAGCGCCACTGATACACCATTAGCATGACGGCGGAAGCACGAGCGGAGGGTAACAGGCGGGCTTAAAGGTTGGGTGGCGCAAAGGGGACGGGAGGGGAAAGAGAGAGCAAAGTGCAGATTTATCGGATTTTCTAGCAAACATTAACTCTCGCTTGAACTTACCTCGTCGCCCATATCCCGTAATTGGCGAATGAAGTTCTGGAACCGCGTCTTGTAACCGCATACGTATCTGCACCATCAGAGAAGTGGGAGCCGTGAGTGTAATAAGACAAAGCTTGCTATGCCGTGGAGCCGAAAAAATACGAAACCGTGACACGTGACTTGATAGACGGTGACGCAGCCTTACGCGAATGGCGAAGGTTCCACGAACAACGCTATTCGTCGCTTGCTTCGCGACCACTGCTTGCTGAAATCGTCGCATCCCGCATCCATTCGTTCTGCTTCACCATTTGTCATTTCTGCCTCGAAGCCAGAAGGCACCAGTCTCTCTTCCACTTGCAAATCCGGGTTCGCTCCCCAAGGTATGGCCTTGAGTAATCGCTCCGCAACCATCGCGACCACAACAATCAGAAGAGTAAATCCCTTCGAAACGCTGATCAGAATTTCAAGCCTGCTAACCGTACAAAATCGCCAGGTTGATATAATACCGTCACTGCTGAAGAGAACCATTCAATGGGTTCGATGAAAGCTTGAAAATGAATGGCGGAAGTTGAAACTTGCGCTGCGTTGCAACGGAGCTCGCAGCTAGAAGCAGTCAAGCAAGCCAGACAGCCCTAAAAGGCAGGGATGTGTGAGGCGAAAAAAGTGGCGGGAAATCGAATCCCGACGCTGGATTGGGCAGGGAGGCGGTGAGCCAGCCTGAGGAGCTTTCAGCCGTGTTTCTTGCGTGTCACCCTTGATATCTCCGCCAGAGCCACCAATGGCAGGAAATCTGTGGAACGAATTCATCTGTGCTGGAAATTTTGGATGTTCAGTTGTTACTTTCCTGCTTGCGTGTTCTCGTTACGAATATTCCTTATCTCGGGATGAGAGATGCCGTTCTTTGAATCGAGTCAAAAACAGTGCTGAGCTGTCTACTAATTGAAGTTCGCAGATAACGGTTCCAATAATCCAACAGGCTTCATTACCTGGTCTACTGAATGTCAGTACAGTAAAAAACAAGTCCTTTTTATGGAATAATAAATGATAAACAAAAAGCGAATACAATATTAGCTTATGCCAATACCACAGCTTACAATGCATGCAATTTGTAACCAGATAAAATACAACCGTAGACACCGTGTGCAGCTTGGAATGATTGCGTCAAACAGCAATAATAGTAGTACGATACATTCTGGCTACACCTACAGAACAGACAATAGGTGGTACTATTATATGTAATATTGTGATCCTGCACTCGTACGGTAGTAGACAATATTTATTCTGTATGAGGCACGTACAATTGAGCTCCAACAACAACCCTTGTTACCATAACGGATACCGCAGTTGGAAAAAGAGCCTAGGCCACGGCCACCTTTTCTTCCTCTGCTCCGCCTCGCTCCCTCTCAGCCTGCAGTTGTGAGCAGAACTCCAGAATCAGCTGTGCCACGTCAGCAGGCCTCTCCACATGGGGGATGTGCCCACACCCCTGCAGCTGCACCACCCCCCTGCAGTCCGGTAGCTCCTCCTTAAAACGCTGTAGCACGGAAAAGGGAAACAGGTATAAATAATGAGATGTGATAAGGACATGTCATTGTGAGTGCTGGGATGTGCCCACACCCCTGCAGCTGCACCACCCCCCTGCAGTCCGGCAGCTCCTCTTTAAAACGCTGCGCACAGGAGAGGTAAGGGAGGGGTTACAAATGGGACAAAATGCCCTGATGCATGAGAGGGTGGTTACCACATGCGGGATGTGCGCCCGTAGCTCTCCAGCTGCACCACCCCTCTGCAGTCCGGCAGCCCCTCCTTAAAGTGCTGGAAGGGGGACAAGGGCAAAGGAGAGTGGAGGGAGGGAGGTTGTGGAGCTCTGCCTCTCCAAATAGGGGATGTGTCCACACCCCTCCAGCTGCAGCACCCCGCTGCAGTCTGGAAGTTCCGCCTCTACGTTGTAGGGTGTAACGAGGCAAAGAAGGAGTGGGTTTGTGAGAGCGACGTTGTGGTGTTGCGTCTCTCCACGTGGGGGATGTGCCCCCACCCCTCCAGCTGCACCACTCCCCTGCAGTCCTGCCTCGAAGCGTTGCAATGCAATCGACAAGCAGCAGAAACAGGCAGATGACAGAAGGGGAGGATGGGCCTTTATGCCGCATCTGATGACAGGTTTGCAGGCACATTCCCCATGCGGTACACATACCTCTGCCAGGCTAGGCTCAAGAATTTCATCCTCGCTCCCCCATACCACTAGGCATGGCTGGGATACCTGCACATGAGCGTTCACATGCGCACACCACATGCCCATGCCCATACCCATCGGATGCAACAAAGAAACAAAGAATGTTAAGAAGTTAGAGTCAAATAAGAGAGAAAATGCTTTAAAAAAAAACACATTATTAGACAACAAATTAAAGGAATCTACACCTAACCTAGACAAATATCTTGAACAATTGGTAAGTGCATGAGCAAATGCCACCAGCACACATCCTTCGGATTGGCTATGCTTTTATATTGACGGAACCCAAAGCATCATCTGCTCTCGCTCACCTCGCCCACTCTCCTGGACACGTCGTAACCGCCCGAGCGCATAAAATTAACCAACCATGCATCTGTACCAAGACAGCCCAAAGCGACATCAGCGCTCACCTCGCCCCCTCTCTTTGATACGTGGTAACCGCCTGAGCGGATGAAGTCAACCAGCTATGTCCCCTTATTTAATATCAGCACTCACCTCGCCCACTCTCTTGGACACGTGGTAACCGCCCGAGCGCATGAAATCAACCATGGCGTCGGCCCAGTCAGGCATCAGGCAGTGCAGACGGCCGACCTGCGATAAGAGAGAGGAGGTGAGGAGAGAGGGAGTGGAGAGTGGGGAGAGGGAGAAGAAAGAAGGAGCTCCTTTGCATGTAAATCGCTACCATAGCGTCAGCCCAGTCAGGCATCAAGCAGTGCAAGCGACCGACCTGCCATGGGGGGAGGTGAGGAGGAAAGAGAGGAGAGACGGGAGATCAACTTAGCAGCTGGCATGCTCAGCAGCAGTGTCTTTTAGAGGGGTGCCATGGCATCAGCCCAGTCAGGCATCAAGCAGTTCTGATGCCTCCTGCAACAGTCTCATGTTGCAGGTATCAAGCAACAGTCTCATGTTGCAGGTATCAAGCAACAGTCTCATGTTGCAGGTATCAAGCAACAGTCTCATGTTGCAGGTATCAAGCAACAGTCTCATGTTGCAGGTATCAAGCAACAGTCTCATGTTGCAGGTATCAAGCAACAGTCTCATGTTGCAGGTATCAAGCAACAGTCTCATGTTGCAGGTATCAAGCAACAGTCTCATGTTGCAGGTATCAAGCAACAGTCTCATGTTGCAGGTATCAAGCAACAGTCTCATGTTGCAGGTATCAAGCAACAGTCTCATGTTGCAGGTATCAAGCAACAGTCTCATGTTGCAGGTATCAAGCAACAGTCTCAGCCCAGAGCGGCATCAGCAGGTCAGCCGACCTGCAACATGAGACAGGAGGTGAGGAGAGAGGGAGCGGAAAGCGGGGAGAGGGAGAAGAAAGAAGGAGCTCTTTAGCATGATGATTGCTATTATGGCCAGCAGCACACTCCTTTCCAAGTGCTACCGTGGCTTCGGCCCAGTCAGACATCACGCAGCGTAAGTGACTGACCTGCAATATGAGAACTTTAAGAGAGGGGAGAGAGCAGAGAGAGGAGAGAGGTGGGAGAGAGGAGAGAGAGGAGAGGGAGGAGAGAGAGGAGAGAGACGAGAGAGAGGAGAGAGAGAGGAGGAGCTTAGCAGCCGACAGACACAGCAGCAGTGCATGATATCACCCACATGCTACTGGCACACCCTTGATGCTCCTTCTGTCGACTCAGCCGTGTCATCTTCTAGCACTCTCACTCTCTCTCCCTCACTCTCTCACTCACTCACTCACTCACTCACTCACTCACTCACTCACTCACGTACATTCATCGCATCCTCGGTCGATTGTGTCTTGTCATGGAATGCCATTTTAATGGCCGACATGCGCAGCTGGACACTCCTCAGCAGAGCCACCTGCTTGTCACTCTCCCCCTCTTCCTCACTCACATTCATTGCGTCTTCAGTGGACTGGGACTTGTCATGGAATGCCATTTTAATGGCTGACATGCGCAGCTGGACACTCTTCAGCAGAGCAACCTGCATGCATTCCCAATAGCCATCAAACATGCACACAGCCACACAGGAACAAACACAAAAAAAGCACACACTTTCGTCAGAAGAGCTAATTGCATGCGCTCCCAGCACCCATTCATTCCCAGGAGCCCTTAATCGCACTACATGCCCACGCCCACAGGACCACAGCCCTGCATAGGCCAGCGTCTATGGCAGCGCCTTAAGCCAGTCAAGCAAATAGCAGGGACTAACTACTCACGCCAGCGTACGCCAGGAACTTTGGCAGGGCGGCGAGAGGGCCCACGCCCTGTGCGTCTGGCAGGCAGGCAAGCAGATGCGCGTGGGCCCACGCCCTGTGGTGGCATCTGACAGAGCAGGTAGGAAGACAGACTCACCCCAGCATAGGCCAGGAACTTTGGCAGGGCGGCGAGCGGACCCACGCCCTCCTGAAACGCCTGTGCGTCCAACAGTAGGAGACCTGCTGGCTGGCGTGGTGGGCGGGAAAGGGGAGAGAGATTGGAAAGAGCATGGATGGTGGGCGTGACTGCGCAGCAGCGAGAGGGCCCACGCCCTCCTGAAACGCCTGTGCGTCCAACAGAAGGAGACCTGCTGGCTGGCGTGGTGGGCGGGAAAGGGGAGAGAGATTGGAAAGAGCATGGATGGTGGGCGTGACTGCGCAGCAGCGAGAGGGCCCACGCCCTCCTGAAACGCCTGTGCGTCCAACAGAAGGAGACCTGCTGGCTGGCGTGGTGGGCGGGAAAGGGGAGAGAGATTGGAAAGAGCATGGATGGTGGGCGTGACTGCGCAGCAGCGAGAGGGCCCACGCCCTCCTGAAACGCCTGTGCGTCCAACAGAAGGAGACCTGCTGGCTGGCGTGGTGGGCGGGAAAGGGGAGAGAGATTGGAAAGAGCATGGATGGTGGGCGTGACTGCGCAGCAGCGAGAGGGCCCACGCCCTCCTGAAACGCCTGTGCGTCCAACAGAAGGAGACCTGCTGGCTGGCGTGGTGGGCGGGAAAGGGGAGAGAAGGCAAACAGGGCGAAGGTGGGAACGAGCAGAGCCAGTGGTTGCATGGCTGTATAGAAGCGAGAGGGCCAACTCCCTTGCAGGTGTGGTGAGGGCAAGGGTGAAAGAAGGAGAAGGGAAGGGAGACGAGAATGTGCTAGCATGAGTGCTGGAATGGTAGCAAGGCTGCCTTTCCAAAACAAAGATGATAAATCTCTTACTGCACTTATGACGAAGAATTTGAATTGTAACAAAACGAGCAACAACGAAAAAGAATAGTGGAAATACTAAGACTCTATAGCAGTTTCTACCTATAGAAGTTTAAGTCTATAGCAGGTTCGATCTAAAGCAGATTTGAACCACATATCAACCTAAAGATGCACAGCCAGGTCGATGGCAACAGTAAATAAATGACGACCTGTGTGGAAATAAACAAGGAGTGAACTGTACCACATCAGGATGGTTCACAGCCAGGTCGATGGCAGCAGCATCAAAACGAGTGACAAACGATACTAACATGAGAGACTACGGCAAAAAAAGGAGTGAACTGTACCACATCAGGGTGATTCACAGCCAGGTCGATAGCAGCAGCACCGCCGAGGCTAGGACCAACCAGCAGGGCTGGGCGCCCCCCTAGGTGTTGCCGCCAGAACTGCAAGCAGAGGGGTGGAGAGATTTATAAGTCGGTATTAGTTTGTCTTGAAGGACAAGTAGCAGAGACGGACGCCCCCCTATGTGTTGCCGCCAGAATTGCAAGCAGAGGGGTGGAGAGATTGATAAGTCGGTATTGGTATGTCTTGAAGGACAACCAGCAGAGCCGGGCGGCCACCTAGATATTGCCGCCAGAACTGCAAGAAGGGGGGTGGAGAGATTTATCAGTCGGTACTGGTTTGTCTTAAAGGACAACCAGCAGAGCCGGGTGGCCTCCTAGGTGTTGCCGCCAGAACTGCAAGGGAAGGAAAGGGAGGCAGAAGATGCGGGTAAATAGATGGTTTATTTTACAGGATTCGCCGCAGAACTAGGAGCCACCTAGATGTTACCACCAGAGCTGCAAAAAAAAAGAGAGAAACGTATACAGTGACATTGGTTCATCAGAACATAGTACCTAGAAATGAGGGCCAACGGCTTTAGAGCGCCAAGGCTCATGGAAAAGAGCAGAGGGATGATAGGTACCGAGTTCAGGTGGAACCTGGGTCCAGGTAGTACCTGGTACAGGCAGTACGTGATTCAGTTCCTGCAGTGCCTGGTGAAAGGCTTGCCGTCTGTTTCCTGCTGTGAGTGGTGCAGGCAGCACCTGGTGCAGGCAGTACCTGGCAGTACCTACCTGGTATAAGTGCTCCCTTTTGGCATCCACGGAAAAGGACTGGATGCCCCGATCTGCATGCACACGTGGTGGTGGGGTGGTGGGATGGTGGGATGATGGGATGGTGGTGGAGAGAAACAGAGGAACTGTAATGAACAATTTCATCTGGAGAGAAAGAGAGGAACAGCGAAAAGAGAGGGATGATGAAGCACCGATGCTTTGACAAAAGAACAAGAAAAGAGGGAGGAAAAAAAATAAAAATAAATAATAACATGGACTCTCCTTTGATGGTTCACTGAGAAGCCCCAGCCCAGAGTGTCCATGGCCCGTCTCCCAGAACGGGGTCAGTATACATTAGATACGACAAACATGAGATCCTCAACTCACCCTTAGTGGAGTCTTCGAAGCCCCAGCCTAGAGTGTCCACCACCCATGGCTCTGCTTCCTGCTGCTGCAACATTGCCGGCAGCAACCCAACGTAACCCCTCCCTTGCACACCATACTACTTTCGGTGCTGTTCAAGTCTAGTTTTGAAGCGCCTCAAAACTAGACCCCTCCCTTGCACCCCGTACTACGTTCGGTGCTCTTCAAGTAAGCAACCCCCTTTTCTCACCCTTGGTGGTGTCTGAGAAGCCCCAGCCCAGAGTGTCCACCGCCCATGGCTCCACTCCCCCCTCCTCCAGGCGCTCATACACCCGCCGCCACTCCAGGCATGAGCTGCATGGGAGGGAGGGAGGAGGGGGAAAGGAGTGAAAGATCTTGACTGAGATAAAATGCTCCTCCTTCCTCCAGGAGCTCATACACCCGCCGCCACTCCAAGCAGGAGCTGGAAGGGAGGGGGGAGGAAAGGGGAGGCGAGGGGAGGAGGAGGGTAAGAACCTACTGACACGACAGCACATGGTCCCACTGGCTTTGCTAACACGTTGAAAACCGATCTCATTGAATCAGATGACACGTCAGCTGACAGCATCTGGCCTCAAGAACTTGGCTGACCTGTCGAATCCGTGGAAGAGCAGGATGGGGACGGCTGTCTGGCCGGCGTTTTTTGGCACGATGCAGCTGCTCATGATTGGCTCTGAAGCCAGGTTGGTCTGGAAAAGAGGGATGAGGTAGTGGAGAGAGGAGAGGAGAGGAGAGGGGAAGCAAGAAGAGGCAGGAGAGGGGGGAAGTGGAGAAGAGGATGAAATGCAAGAAAAGGGGAGAGAGAGAGAATGGGATGAGGGGATGAGAAGGGGGGAGGGGATGTGGGGAGGGACGGGAGGCAGGGGATTGGGGACAAGAGAGTGGGGAGAAGGGAGGGGAGTACGAAAAAGAGGGAAGGGGATGGGAAAGGGAGAGTGGGAAAAACGGAGGGGAGAACGGGAGCGGAGAAGGGAAAGAAGGAGAGGGCGGAGGGGAAGGAGGAGAGAAGGGGTCAGGAACGGAAGTGGTGGACATCACAAGAACACAGCAAGCAATCGTGTAGACTCCAGTAGCATGCCTCAAACGTAATGGAGTGCTGCCCTTTCTCTATCTACGCATTCCACCACCTCTTCTCACCTGCGATCTGTCTCATCACCTGCACCAACGGCAAATCCTCCCTCCCCCTAACCCAAGAACAACCGTCAGAACCTCAACACTTCCGTGAACAACCGTTCACCCAATACCTCCCCTCAACTGCAGCGATCCTTATAAGCATCTACGTCAATACCTCCGCTTAATTGCGGTGGTTGTCAGACCGCTGATGCGTCAATACCTGTACAGGCAGCCTCTGGATGCGCCGTGCCAGCTGAAGAGCCGCCTCCTCCTCAAGCTCCGCCACTTGCGGCGGCAAAAACGCCGGGAATTCCGTGGACGGAAACGTGGCAACGCCATTGCCGCTGCGCGCCTCGGACACGCATACTCTCCTGTTGCCGCTACTTCTGTTACCTCTGTTACCCGTGATTGTGCTCTTGCTTTTGAGAGAATGGCTTATGCTAAGCAGATGGAGAGCCAGTAACGGAGATGTCTGAAACGGTGACTGTAACGAAGCCCGACGAGACTCGCAATGTACACCTTGTCGCACAGCGAGCCTGCTCGCAGCAGCAGCCTGCGAGCACGAAGCAATCGCGTGTGCGAGACCGCACGCAGCCATAGTTATGATCGGATCCAATAGTAAAGGCTTCTAAGAAACCTGGTATAGCTCCTGACCCGAAGATTGAGCGACTCGAGACTGCCAGCAATGGATCACACACAGATTCTGTGGGAGGGGAATAGCTGCAAATTCGTTTGTGCTGTGTTGTGGAGTCCGGTGACACCGAGCTTCATCGAATGGAAACGAATGCAACCGAAAAGATACTAGCTGCGTTTCCTGATCACTACACTGTCATCGGCAAGGGGGGTGCATTTCGACATGTGACTATAGTGAGGACCTTCATGATTGGTGTCTTAACTGGAACCGCTCATCAGTCGCCACGTCAGTGACCCCCATCGGCGACACTGTGGGAGAACAGAAACCGCAACGGTTCAGGCCTGGGTTGGGAACGGTTCAAAGTTACTAAATCAAGTCGCCGCGGCAGTCTGCGTATGGTTGGGAACCCTACTGAACCGCATATAACAAATGGAAACCGAACACGCTGGACACTACGGAATTCCAAGGCGGGTGCAAGCGATCTCTCCCACCAATCAGCAATGTTCCCGCGCAACCTCGGGAGTTCCCACTCATCCCGAGGAAATTCCGCCGCCACCACGGCAAACCGCCTACTGCCTGTGCGGGGCATAAGCACAATACGCTTCCAGTGCGTTTCAGTAGGTTTTACAAAGTAAGAAGCGGTTTTCTGAGATTACCGCTCCGGAACGGTTTGCGCCGAAACGAAACCATTCGCTCCTCTCATCCTCATCCCCCATCTCTCCCAACTCCATTCCCCATTCAGTTCGCTTCTGCTCCGTCAATTCATCTGTAGTCTCAAATTCTCCAGCTTCATATTCCTCACCACCTTTCACTTCCTTTCTCTTCTCTTGTTCGCTGCTACCGTACGCCTTTAGAGCGATGCGCGCTTCTGATTACATCCTTTAGGGTGTTTCCACATTGCGTTGCCGTTGGTCACTGCTCCTCTTACCTCTTGTGGGTTGCTGTTCCTCATGGCGACTTCTAGTACCTTGAAAGAGCTGGTTCGCGTTTCTCATCCTAGACCTCTATCTTCTCAACGCCCTAGCTTAATTCATAATCGCAACGCTCTAATCCGCTTCACCCGTAGCCATAAATGTCCCAAAACCTATCATGTATCGCTGTCGCACCGGTACGGCTTGAAAAACGGAACTCCTAGAAAACTTTCAAGAGATACATCCTTTGTTCAGGCGACGACATCGCATGTGAGATGCCACGTAACGGTTCCTGCGGACTTGACCTCCGACAACGCCTCTTCAACTTCTCCCGAATCTCGACGGAATTTGTCAGTCATCGACGCCGATAAAGATTCACATTGCCTCGCCGGGGGTTTCGCCGTGCCAGCTCACGAAACAGAGGGAATGATCGCCAGCTCTCCTCATGCCCATGACGAGAGACTCGAATTCCATGGCGGAAGGCTGGCAGCACGAAGCGTGGTGAGCAACCCGCGGGGACCTCGATCGCACGAGGAGATTCGCGAGCGGATCGCATTGGAAAGGGCACGGCGGCGCGCGACGGACCGGCAGTCTACCGCTCTCGTCCGCGCGCTGACGTGGGCTCTGCGTGGCGTGGATGATGTGGCAGCGGTGGATGCGGTTATGGCTGTCGCGGAGGAGGAAGGCGAGGAGGTGAACGCGCGGGTGGTATCCTCCGTGATGCAGAAGCTCGGGATTGAACGCCGAGTTGGTGCTGCGCTGGCGCTTTTTCATTGGCTGCAGCGTGCTTCTGGTTCCGAGACTGTCAGAAGCGGCACTACAAAGACCGGTACGCCTTCTGAGGGTGATCTTAAAAGAAACAGCCACGCCCAGGAAGAAACAAATTCTGAAAACGAGGAATCAAGAAAAGGAGAGACTAATGTGAGATGGAAGGGGTTATCTGAGCCGAATGTGTACACGTACAACAGCTTATTGGGAGCACTAAAGGCCAGTGGGGAATGGTCACGGATGGAGGAAGTAGTGGACTGGATGTCAGCCAATGGCGTGGCGCCAGATGTCGTCACTTTGAACACTCTCCTGTCTGGCTTAGAAACTCAAGGCAAGGACGAAGCAGCGTGGAACCTTATAACGAAATTCGGCATTCAGTACTCGTTTCACAAGCCACGGCGACCCGCAGATGCTCAGAACAGGCCAGTGGAGAGCAAGCCTTCAGAGAGCAAGAAACATGAGCCGAATCCGCATAGCACGTTACGTGATGCCGCTACGGTCCCGCAGCATCTAGTAGCCGCGTCCGCGCCCACCAAGGCAGCAGATACCCTGGAGAAATGGTCTGTGCGGCCGGACCTGTTTACTGTGCGCACCGTGCTGCCTGTGTGCCGCAGAGGGCGGGTGGTGGAACGAGCGCTGGCGCTCTACTCTCTAGCCCTGGAATTAGCGGGCTCTTCTAGTGGCAGCAGTGGTGGCACCAGCGGCAGCAGCAGTGGCAGCAGCAGCAGCAGCGGCAGCAGCAGCAGGGGCGAGGGGAGCAGCGGAACTGTAGCCAGAGAAGGTGAGCGGAGTGGGAGCACCCGGCAGCAGCAGCAGCATCGGGAGGTGGCAGCGGCGCTTAGGTTCGCTTGTAACGAGGAGATGAAGCAGATAGTCGCCGCGCTGGAACGACAGGTGGACGGAAACCGTCAAGCAGACGGTAACTGGCAGGCTGACGTTCACGTGCAGGTAGGGAAGGCCGAACAGACAAGGACCGGTAGGGCAGCTGTATTGGCGCAGGATGCAGCACAGGGAGGCGTAGGTAGGGCTGTCACTGGAACGAAGGGGGTAGCCGTAGCTACAGTTGCAGGGGCAGCGCCAAGTTTAGAGGAAAGAGAGGGAGGGGCATGGCGAGAGGTAGCCGCTATTGGTGCAGCAGCGACAGCGGTAGGAGTTGCCGGCGAAACAGCAGCAGCTGGCACCTCCAGGCACGAGTCTGCTCTGGGGATGGATGAGGAGGAGCCGGAGCAGGAGGAGGAGGAGGCGGAGGAGCAGGAGCGGGGGCAAGGGGAAAGAGCAGGGAGTTCGGGGGCAGGGCACGGGATGATGAGGCATGGCACGGCAGGTGCGTCTAGGGTACTGTGGCTGCTGGATCAGATGGAAAGGGTGGGGATAAAAGCTGATGCGGAGACTTACCGCTTGGCCCTGCACGCTTGCTGCCTTGACGACCTTGTGGGTTATGCTAAGCCCATGGGCATGGGCAGTTCTAAGGGTGCAGGCATGGGTCACCGTAAGCATGGGCATGCGCATGGGCACTGGCATGGGCACGGGCACGGGCATGGGCATGGACATGGGCAAGGAACTTGCAGGCAGCGGGAAATCCGCACTCTCTTTGCTGCCATGCGCAGCCATGGGTTCGTCCCTGGCCTGGACACGTGTCACCAGGTGATTGGCGCGCTTGGCAGGGCAAAAAAGTGGTGGGCAGCACTGGAAGTTTTTGAGTCGATGAAGGCACAGGGGCCTGCACCGACCGCTGCCACGGAGAGGCTCATTCGCGGGCACTTCAACATTTTGCTGACTGCTGCCCGGAAGCGTGGGCTGTGGAAGTGGGCGGTTTCTCTTCTTGCCAAGATGGAGTCTGCAGGGATCCCACCAGATGCCCTTGCATGGCGCACGGCGCTTGTAACATGTGCAAAGGCGAATGAAACCGCCTCCGCTATTAAAGTTTTCGAGGATATGGTGGAGACGGGGGTACGGGCGGATGCAGTGGCGTATGGCGCTTTGCTAAGTGCTCTGGAGAAAGGGGATTTGTTGGAGCCAGCAGAGGCAGTGTGGGGGCATATGAGGAAGATGGGTGTCGAGCCAAATTTGCAGGCGTACACTACTATGATTGTTGCTCTGGGGAAGAGAGGGGAGTACGGGCGAGCTGCAGCCTTGTTTGAGGAGCTTCAAGGGACGGCTAGCAGCGGCAGCGGCAGCAGCAACAGCAGCAGCAGTGGCAGCAGCGGCAACGGTGACAGCAGCAGCAGCATTGGCGAGTCTGCTCTGACTGGGCAGGGGAGAGCGGGGGAGGAGTTGGTTGCTGTTCGGGTGCACAAAAGGCAGGATGGAACACCAGCACCAGCCGCTGCTGCGTACAGAGAACGTCATCTGGGTGCTGACGTGGTGGCATTCAATGCGATGGTTACAGCTTGTGCTCATGCTGGGGAAGGGCTGAGGGCTCTTGATTGGCTGCAAAAGGCAAGTGAAGTGTTGTTTTTGCGTTTGTTCATCACTGAATGTTTCTCACCATCCCTCCTTATCGCTTCCTCAAGTACCATATTATGCTTGCACTTGAATTCACAGCACTTGTGTCACGAAGGAGGTGATTCATGGGTACCCTCACTTTATGAAAGAGGTTCTGGTACTCTGTGTTCCCTCCCAACCCAATCCCCAAGCAGCTGCCCACTGCCCCCTTTCAACCAGCCTGCAACACTACATGCTCTTATCATGTGCAGTTCCCATTCCATGTTTTTATTATTATTATTATTTTTTCTTCAACACATTCCTTTTACAGATGGAGGTATCCTCTGCCACTCCACCAAACGCCACCACTTACCAGCAAGCTGCCATCGCGCTTGCTGATGCCAGTCACTGGGAGGCTGCCCTCTCACTCATCCCACGAGCGCGCTCTCGGGGAATTGAGCCCACACCTTTGATGTTTGAGGTGGTGCAGCGAGCCTGTGCTGCTAATGGGGCGGACTTCGCGTCACAATTGGTAGCCGTGTCGGCTTCTCGTGCAGAGTTGGTTGGTGGTGCGAAGAGTTGATGCTTATACAAAAGTCAAGTTTGGTTTGCAGCTGGAAATTACAACCCAAGTTTTTGCAAATGTTGGAAACACATTATAGTTCAGTTTTATCTCAAAATCTCAGATTGTGTTTGCCAGGCCTAGGTCACATTCTTACAGCGAGTCCACAATACGGATCTGCCTTCTTTCCAGCAACAGAAGCCGCTGGAATCACATCACACGATGGGGTCACAGCACAACCACCACCTCTTGCTTGGGATAGGTGCATACCAGCTATTGCTGAGCTGGACAGTCCCTCTTGGTACTGTAGTCACCTAGGCCAATTCCTGCAGAAAGGAACGTCACTCAAAACCTCGATAATTTCAGTAAAGTTTCGGCTCTGACGCGAAAAGCGGTTGCGAACGTCGTTGTAGTTGTAGGCGTCGGCGGCTGATCCAGTCACTTCTGTCGCTTTCTGGTAGAGCGGTGCGTAACCGTCAAGTGCTACCGTCAACGACACTTACCGATGGTGTGCGACGTGCTATCGCTCTGTCGCAAAGAAACTTTATTGCGAAGGCGACACTTCTCGCCAAACTGATTTGGACCATGTTCATCCAGCATGGCCTCCCCGTCAGCCAATCAAAACACAGTACTGGGTTTAGGTGCTCTCTCGAGGCTCGTCTTTCCCTCCGCCGATGTGACAGCCCACCGCAAACTTTCCCGCCGTTCCGCCATTCTGCCCTAGCTTTCCATCGCCGTGTGTTCCGTACCGCGCATCCCGGGGTCCTTCCGCGTGAATCTTCCGCCCCGCCAACAAGTACCAAACCCAAGGCTGCCTCGGTTTTGGCTGGTTGGCATGGCCATGGCCATGGCTGCCTGACCGACTTATCGAGTGCGATGGATCATGGATGGTTGGCGGTGGGACTTCCCCAGCCAATCCCTGTGCAATCCAAGTACGTGTGCACGCAGCAAACGTCAGAACGGAAGGCCAGTCACAGCCTCACTGGTCCACCTCAGATCAGATGCTCCCCCGAGAGAGCAGACAGAACAGAAGGAACCCTGCTCGACGCTTCTTTGTTGTTAGGAGGTTCTTGCGCCACCATTCACCCTGCACCGTTTACCCTAGCCTTTCACGCACGCCGGGTTTCGAAAAGCAAGTGCACCTATCCAGCAGCATGTTTGTCCTTGGTTCAGTCCTTAGTTTCTGCCAACTTCGACTGTAGCTCACAGACTGAACAGCGTTAGTTCGAACAGCCGATATTTGTCGAGGTCCTGACAGACTCGAGTCTTATGGCGATTGCGGTGTCTCAAATCAGAAAGGTCGCCGCGGCGGTAGCGGACGAGCAATGGGGCGACGACCCGCCGCCGCTGAATTCCTACTTACCTCCTTACGCCCCGCCTCCCACTCCCGCGCTAACGTCCAAATCGGTATTTTCTCCCAGTATACCGCAACGAAGCTTCCCACCTCCGTTAATGTCGGAACTCGCGTTCTCTCCTCGCTCCCGTAACTCCGACGGCTTCCCTCCGGCGTTCCTCGAAACGCAGTCAACCGCGGCGAGCTCCGTCAAGACCGCTCCAAACTCCGAAGAAGCGCAATCGGAGCGCCCGCTTCTCCTTCTGCGGCCAGACCCTAACGACGCTGAGCAGATGAACGAGGACCGGCAGCTATGCGACAAGGTGCGAGCAATGCAGCTCCAGCGATTCCTCGACGACTGCCTTGCGAGCGCCGTCGCGTCGCAGACGCCAATCGTCGGTGGCGTTTCACACCCCGCTCCGCTTCTTCCGGGTCTCCCTCCCGTTGCCTTCAGCACGTCCAGCTGTAACAGCGAGCCGTCGGATGGCAGCCGCGTGTCGCTCCAATCGCCGTCGCTGTCGCACGCTCCGTCGCACGCGCCGTCGCATGCGCCGTCGCAGTCGCACTCGCAAGCGTCGTCCAGGGAGAAGCAGAAGCAGGGTGGCGGTTCCTGGCCGGTGTCGCCACGTCACGCGCACGGCGAGTCGCTCATGGATCAGGTCGACGAAGATTGGATTCGAGCGCAGGCCGCAAAACAAGCGCGCGCGTCTTCCGCCACTGCAGATGACGACAAAGAGTATGCTGCTGGTGGGGGGGATGGTACTTGTGGGGAAGCCGAAGCGAATGGAACGACTAAAGAGAAAGAGGAGAGCATAGCAGGTCAGTCGACGTGTCAAAAGAAGGAAGTTTCCGGGAATCTCGTGCACGAGAGGCCCAACCATGGTAGCCGCGCGAGCAGCGTGAGTAGCGGAGGAGTCGGCGCTATAGACTGGGTAGCAGGCAGCAGCGTGAACGCGTCTAGTAACAAGTCTTCCCCCGAACTTCCCGCGGATGACTCCCCGCATCCCGCCATTCCCCCCTCCGCCCCCGCCTCCGCCCTCCATCGCGAAAAGCCCTCCGCTCCCCCCGCGTTCGCCTTCCCCCAGGCGCAGCCTCCCCCAGGACTCGCCGCTGGTGACTTAAAACCGCTCCGCCCACCCCCCGGCGCGTATAGGAGGTCGATGTCGATGGCTGACGTGGACAAGGGCGCGTACAAGCGGTCGATGTCGATGGCTGACGTGGACATGGGGAAGAGCCACGTGTCAAGCGCTAGGGTAGCTGAGCGGCAAAGCTCGCTGAAAATGTCGTCGTCGGTTGAATTTCCAGCCCTGAGGCGATTCGCAGGCGTCGCAGGCGACGTAGGCGACGTCGCGAGGCCCGAAGACGTGATTTGGAAGAATCTTATCGCGTCCGCTCAGGTTCACAACCGCGAGCTTTCGGGGCTACGCGAGGCGTCTTGTAACGCGAACGAGCGAGTCAGAAGCGGCAACAGCGAGTGTGACAGTAGCGAAGGTCTGGGCTCGTCGAGCGTGAAACGGAAACCGGTTACGGTGCTCGAAGGTTTAAAGGAGGTGGAGGAAGAGGGAAATGCGCTCCAGGTGACACCCCGAGAGGAAGCTTCGCGCGAGATAACGCCTCGACCTTCCACTGCTCGAGAGGAAACTTCGCGAGAAGTTACGCCTCGTCCCTCTACTGCTGCTACTGACGTCGCCTCTACCCCTAGAACTGACGTTCCTTGGACTCCCACCTTTGAACGAGACGGGTCCATGCCGCCTTCCACGCCGCAATCGGCGGCGGAGGCCGCGGCGGAGAGGGCCGCGCGGAAGGCGGCGCAGGGGTCGTGCATTCTGCCGAAAGTGGCGCAGTCCCCGCGGCGGCGCAACAGCGGGCTGTTCCGCAAGCAGGGCTCCGGAAGGCTTGATGGGCCGCAGAGACAGGGGTCGGGGAGGGGGCTGGATGGGGCGCAGAGGCAGGGGTCGGGGAGGGGGCTTGCGGGGCTGGCTTCCGCGGCAGCGGGCGCAGCAGCGGGGGCAGGCGCGGGGGCGGGTAGGCGGAGCATGTCGCGCATGTCTTCCGTTAAGAAATGGCGGGTGCTAAACGCGCTGGTTAAGCAGATGAACGTAGACGATGCGGAGAACGAGACTGCTGACGACGGGAACGGCGGCGGCGGTGGCGGGGGCGGGTTTGCAGCGACTGAAACGCACTCCGGGGCGATAAAGTCCGAGTCCGATAAGAGCGGGTGGGGCGCGCCGAGCTTCTCGGGAATGAGCGTTGGGGGGGATACGGAGGGCGGAGGGGGCGGGCAGACGGAGGAATTCAGCGCCCCCTGGAGTTTCGGCAGTATGGGGGATGTAGAGCGGTTCAATAGCACTACAGGGGGTGGATTCGCGGATTATAGCGTGGCGGCTGCGAGCGTGTGCCAGGTGTCCCCCGCAATTTTCGAGGCGCACTTGCATTTGGCAGAGACAATGGCACGTGAGGAGATGGAGCGGCAGCAGCGGCAGGAGGGGCGGCATGGCAAGGGGCCTAGAACGCCGAGAACGCCCAGAACGCCGAGGGTGAGTGGAGGAGGTTTGGTGTGATGCAGTGCGGTTGGATGCAGTGGGTTTGTGGTAGAGGGGGGTTAGGTGCGGTGTGGTTGGGTGCAGTTAGGCTGCTGCGCATTGTGTTTTGGGACGCGGCCGAACACTTTCTGTGAGATTGCGGGTTACGAGGCACCATGTTTTTGGTGCATCACATTTCTGTTCGCGGGGATGGCAATCTCGTTTCCCAACCCCTGCTCTCCTTCCTTTGCAGTGCTTCCACATCCCCAAACCCACATCCCTCATCTTTCACCCTCTTTACCTCCCCCGGACATTCAATCTTCGTCTCTATTCCTCTCTATCCCCCTCTGTTCCTCGCTCCATCAGGGCATGGGCTTTCGCAGCAACTCGCGCAGCAGCTCCATCTTCACCCCCTCGAACACCTCCCAACCCCCCACACCTTCTCCCTTATACTCTCTCCCTCTCTTTCTCTCCCTCTCTATTATGCTCCGTCAGGGCATGGGCTTCCGCAGCAACTCGCGCAGCAGCTCCATCTTCACCCCCTCGAACACCTCCCAACCCCCCACACCTTCTCCCTTATACTCTCTCCCTCTCCCCCTTTTTCTTTCTCTCCCTCTCTTCCTGGCCCCATCAGGGCATGGGATTCCGCAGCAGCTCGCGCAGCAGCTCCCGCCGTCACCAAAAGAGCTGTAAGTGCTGAGAGCGCGGTGTTTTGCAGAGAGTACTGATGTAGAGCAATACGTGTTGAGAGCGCTCAGAGCCTCTGTTCTGACCCTCATTTGCCCATCGCCAAGCATGCACCGCATGACTTTGACACCTACTTTGACCCACGTTTGACCTCCTCCAACCCTCCTTTGACCCACCTTTGACCCTCCTTTGACCTACCATTGACCTCCTTTTACCCACTTTTGACCCACCGTTAACCCCACTTTTGACCCACCGTTTGCCTACCTTTCATTGACCCACCGTTGATCCTCCTTTGACTAACCTCTGACCCTACTTTGACCCACCATTACTCCTCCTTTGAACCTCCTTTGACCCTCCCTTGACCTACTTCTGATCCTCCCTTTATCCTCCTTTGATCCTCCTTGGATCCACCTTTGACCCACCTGTGACCCACCTCGGACTCCCCTTTGACCCTCGTTGGTGCCTCACCACCTATGCATTTACCCCGTCACTCTGCCCCACTTTTCTTCCCCACCATACATCATCAGTGCCGCCACTTGCGGTCAAGCATGCCACACCGCTGGTCATGCGCTCTGTTGCACTCATCCCTTTCACTCTCTGCTTTCCAACCTCTCCGATTTCTCTCCAGCTCCTCCCATCGTTTCCCCCACCATACATCATCAGTGCGGCCACCCAAGGTCAAGCGTGCCACACCGCTGATCATGTGCTCTGCTGCACGCAGCCCTTTCACTCTTTCCTTTCCAGCCTCTCCCCTTTCTCCAACTCCTCCACTCCCATCAGCTTCCTCGTCATCCCCCCCATCCCTCCCTCCCAACCCTCCACAGCCTCAAAACCCCCACCATGTGTCAGTGCAAGCAGCCAATGTCAAGCGCAGCATATCCCACATACCCACCAGCCCACCCTTGGGTGATTCCTTCCAATTATATTTCTAGTATCTTCCTTCCCATTCCTGCCAACCCCCTTCCAGCCTGGGACCCCCACCACGTGTCAGTGCGGTGTGGGCAGCCAAGGTCAAGCGAGCCATCGGCCACGTGCCCTGTTATTTCCTCCTCTTACCTTCCACTTTCTCCTTTTGTCTCCCCTTCCCATTCCCACCAACCCCCCACCAGCCTGGGACCCACACCACGTGTCAGTGCGGGCAGCCAAGGTCAAGCGAGCCATCGGCCACGTGTTTCGCAAAATCACCGCCAAGCCATTGGGTTTCCTGCGCAAGTTCAATCCCGGTAAGAACTCCCCACGGAGTGTGGCACCCCTGATGGGTGCTTTGATCATTCATTGCCAAGTCCCCGGGTTTCCTGCGCAAACTTCACCCCTTGTGTGTGTTCCGAGAATCACCTTAAAGCTACGGGGCGTTCTGCAAAGGCTCATCCCTGGTAAGCCATTTCTCCTCATTTGTTCCCTTTGTTTTCCTGGTCATTGTTATGTTGCAGGCTAATGCTTTGTATAACGATGCTTTAATTGTGGCCTTGGCCTCCATTATTTGATCCTATATGGGGCAATGTGTGAACTGTCCTGCCTGTCATCACTTCCTTTTCTGCCCCTCATTCTCCCTCTGCCCCTCCCTCTCCCTTCCCCTGTCATTGCATTACATGGGAATTAAATGCTGTATTTTTTTATCTCCTCTTTCCCTGAGCCCACCCCTGAGCCCACCCCTGTGCCCACCCCTGTGCCCACCCCTGTGCCCACCCCTGTGCCCACCCTGTGCCCACCCCTGTGCCCACCCCTGTGCCCACCCCTGTGCCCACCCCTGTGCCCACCCCTGTTCCCACCCCTGTGCCCACCCCTGTGCCCACCCTGTGCCCACCCCTGTGCCCACCCTGTGCCCACCAGCGTGCCGGGCTCCATGAAAGTGCATCCCTGCATTTCTCAACGTGGTTACAAGTAACACTACAAAGCAATGCCTTGTTTACTCCATCCATACATACTGTATCATGGCATGGTTGGAAACTGCCATGGGTTAGTTTTTTGACAACTTGCGGTACACTTCAATATGGCAGCGTTAGGCAGAGTGGTAGTTCAGAGCTTGTGGTTTGGCTGCAATGGCACTCTATAGGGCTGCAATACTTCTGCACAAATTTGGAAGGAGGCAGCATGTACACTGGTTCATCTTTTTTGTGCCTTCACTTTTATCCTGAAAAGCAACTGTTCAGCGTAAAGTTGTACTCTGTTTCCAGTGTACATTTCCAAAGTATTTGTGACTCTTCTGTTCCAAAGATCAGGACAACTGCCAAAATGCGGCTTTACATCAACGGTACAGTAATCACGGTCATTTACCCTGCTTTATAAATGGTACCAAGAGCACACTGTGTTATATACTCTAGCAAATCAAGCCTTGTACTTGCAAGCTGCTCTCTTGGCCCTCATGCACTGCCCCACAGCATCCCACCTCGCCATGCCCTGCTGCTTGTACTGCGCATACACACTCTTGTTCACACACTCCTTCCACACATCATCACACCCTGCAGGCTTGTGCAGGGGGCAGTTGGCAAAGGGGTAGCGAGGGCCGGTACCGAGGGCATAGCTGCAGAGGTTGGTGTTGAAGCCGTGAGCGTTGCTGATTGCACACATGGCCTGATGAGAGAGAGGGGTGGAAGAAAGGGGGGAAAGCAGGGGTTGGGGTGAGTTTAGGGTAGGTTTACAAAACTTTGTGCAGAGGTTGGTGTTGAAGCCGTGAGCGTTGCTGATTGCACACATGGCATGACGAGAGACGGAGAGAGACAGAAAAAGTGGGGAGAGAGGGAGATGGGGTGACTTTGAGTTGACTGGAAAGCCATATTGCAAAGGTCAAAGTTGAGGACATGGGCATTGCTGACTGCACACATGGTCCATGTAAATGAGAGGTGGAAGAAGTGGGGAAGAATAGAAAGTAAGTTCACTCTCACGTAGGTTGGTGTTCAGGCTTTAAGCATTACAGGCTACACCAATGCTCTGGTTAGAGGGAGAAAAGCGGGAGTGCACGCTGAGCTGCTTCAGAAAAAAACATCACGTTCTTGCTCTCACGGTGAGGGTCATTTGACCCCCACCTCGTGCTTGACTAATCATATGCCAGTAGTACTGTGTTTGGCTGTCCGCACAGACACCACAGACTGACCTGTGGGAACGCAATGCCGTTCACTTGACCCGCAGACGTGCCCCAGAGCTCCTTATACTCGATAGAGAACACAGCCTTGTTGCGCAGAATAAACTCGTTGGCGTAATCGCACTGGTACTTGCCGCTGTACCACGCGCTGTTGCTGAAGTCGCTGAAGTAAATGCAGCTCTCGATGATCGCCCAGTCAAAGAGATCTGCCATGGAGGAGGGGGCGAGCGCGCCAGGGTTCTTGAGACCCACCGACATGCCGTACCTGGTGAGGAATGGGGGAAGGTGGGAAGGTCGGAAGGTGGGATGGGAAAGGAAGCGTTTGTTAAGGTTAATGATCTGGGGTTCTTGAGACCCACTGACTTGCCGTACCTGGTGATGGAGGGGGTAAGGTGGGGAGGGAAAGGAAGGGTTTGTTAGAGATACAGCACTGGGGCTCTTGAGACCCACTGATATGCCGTACCTGATAAGGAAGGTGTCGGGAATGGGGATAGAAGGGAGGAGGCCGGAGAGTTGATTGTATGGGAGAATGCAACAGACTTCTTGGGACCCACTCACATGCCAGCCGGGACAAAGGGTTGGGGGGGAAACGGGGAAAGGGGGGCATAGAAGGGGATTTCTGCTGGTGTTGGTTGAAAGGGGAATGTCTAAAATGATTGAAATGAGAATGAATGAATTCGTGTAACAATGGGAGGAGGGAAAAAGACACCTGATGATATGACTGACTCACTTGTGAACAGTGTTGGCGATCCATGAGTTGTACTTGAACTGGTCATCAGCAGTGATGGTGAATCGGCTGATGGGTTGAGCCATGATGTTGTTTGAATACGCATTGATGTTGTCAGGGTCAACCCCATCGCACCCCTTGCTCTTCGCCAACTGACATGAAGTAAGCAGAAGAGGATGGCATAAACAGATTTCAGGAGCTTCAAACAAAGATTACTGGCACAAGTACCTTACATTAGACTTAGCATCAGTGCTGCTCCTAGAGTTCAAGGAGTTCAATATAATATGGCTCAGCATGGCACACGATACATTGGTAACCAATACAGTGATCGCTTTTTGACAGGCGCTTGACGGACAAGGGATACCTCACCTTGGCAAATGCCTCACCTTGATTCGCTTCTCCATGATCGTCTTGACAATGGGGCTTTTGATGTCCAGCCACCTCTCCCCAGGCCACACCTCCGTGCACTGCTCGTCCTGCTCACACGCAGCAAGCAAATGGTCGACACAAAGATGACGAAAACAAAAAGAGTAATCAGAAGATTCCAAGCATGTAAAAAAAACTCTAGTTGCTGGAGAACGCAAGAAAAAAAGCCATAGCGTCTGCAAACTGATAACAAATATCAAGATCAGGTACCATACCATGCAAACGAGCCCTCCAATAACGGAATCCGGGAACTGGGTGTAGTCGCTGCGGTAGTCCTCGGCGGTCCCGAAGCTGATGTAACAAATCACCACCTTTCCCGCGTTGCGAAGTTTGGCGATGCTCTTCGCCGTCAAGCTGAAGTCGACGGTGTAGACCTTCGCCGGGTTTGTTGGATCAACGTCTAGAGGGTTCCGGAAGAAAAATAAGAGCGAACAATAATGAATTAGACGTATATGATGGTACATTGCACGACCAATAACAGGTGACCAACCATGCGAGGATATCTGGTCTTGAGACATTATAAAGCTAATCAAGAACAAGGTTTCAGGAAGACGATCACGAAAAGGGAAACGAAGAGTCAATTGTACCAGCGTCTGTTCCGCTTAGTTGCCAGAAGAACGTGGTCCCTGGTTTCGGCACATACCACCCGTTAGCTCCCCCACAATGCCACATCGAAAGCACGGCAAGGAGCGCGAGGATGCTAGGATAAACGCGAAATAGAGCCATTGCAGTTGTTTCGTACGTATCAGCTTAGCAAGGTGCCGCCAGCGCGGTAATTATCTGGATTCCTTGCAAACACAATGAAACTACAAACCAGGATATAAACACTTTCCGGCCTGTGCCGTCGTGTGGAACGAGTCGCACGGGAGAGTGAGCCATGTTTCCTAAGCTAAGTAACGTCTTGCCACGTGGCGAACGGAAGCGTTTTTCAAGGAAGCTGTGCAAGAAGAGCTCTCTCCGCCCGTTGACTTGGGACACTCATCGATTTCAGACTCTAGTCCAGATAATGAGGTAGGAAGAAGCGGAGCGTATGCCTTGATTATCTCGGGGTGTAGAATGGTGACCTCGGAATTCAGGTAGTTGTTTGCTCGCCGTAGTAAACTTTCGCGAAAACTCGCTCAACGAGCTAGTCGGAGCAAATATGATTTCGCAAATGAGTTTTGCTGGTTTGTCTCGCATATCGCGAGTCGTTATTTTTCCGCGGGCAGCTTCGAGTGGGCTACACGAAGATCAAGCGCAGCACGGTTCTGGGGCGGGGAGGCAAGGAAACTGTTGACCAACAAATTTCTCTTGTAGGTCACATCGATCCGCTATAGGAAGAGGTTGGGTGGGAGGGAGGGAGGTCACATCGATCCGCTTTGGGGGGTGTTTGTTGAGCAATTAAATCAGTTGAAATTTTGTACCACTGCCACGTTCACACTTCTTGAAAACAGGGTGATATTCTCAGTTTCCACAACCACGAGGATGAGGATGAGTAGAAACTGCTGTAGGGGATGATGATTTGGGATGTTGAAGACTTGGTGCATAAGGGATGAAGCTGTGAGTAGTAGGTAGCTGTGAGAAAATGGGAAACACTACTTTACTATTCTGTTTAACGTATTTTTCTCCGATGTAGCGTTTCCCATTTTCACATGTTTCGAAGACGCAACAAGTGGAGCATCTCTGTACTGACAAGCGTGTGGTCGGAATTCACGAACCTCGGGAACTCCGACTGCAAAGCCGGAACGCCTGGAGTTTCCCAAGAAAAGCCTGGCCCATTGGACACGGAACAGACACCACACACTTTCGTCTAGTCTTCAGGTCTTTTCTGAAGTACTGACCGTTGGTTTTTGTAACACCTCCCACCCTGCTGGTATCCCCGCCGCAAAACTGGCTTGAGGGGATCTGCACAAGAGCAGAGTGTGATGTGAACGTGTAATCAGTGCCGTGAATTGGGGATATCTGCCACTCCTGGACTTATGAGAGCAGTACGCATGTAGTATCTGTGTGAAGATAGTGTGCGAGGGTGGTCTCGCAGCGCCACACGCTCAACCAGGAAGTAGCGATGGCCGTTGGATTAGTGAAACGCCTCGGTAACGTGGACGGACGGAACGTTGCGACTGGCGAGCGGAGGCGATAACCGGATCGCTCGCAGTCCGTTGAGTTCGCTAAACTTTGTAAAGGTGTCTAAGCACTCCTTATATTTGCCTTCCCTACGCTTCAGTGAGGATAAGCGAGACACCGCTCGAGGCTAAGTAGAATCATGGTCTGAGACCGTCGGATTCCTACCTGATCAGCTCGAGCACCCAAAAGGCTCGTCGAATTCGAGACGAACGTACGCGTTTCTAGCAGGCGCCATGTCCTTCTCGCAGGAAAGGGACTCCAAGGTGAGTTCCAGCTTCAAGTGCAAGTCCCTAGGTGGTTCGCACTCTGTGGTTGTGGGACTGGTCGCACGTCGTGAATTACGACGACGTGCGCCTTGATCATTCTGCGACGGGGCTTGAAAATGCGACACGTTGTGACTGTGCCCCTCCTCTTCTTTCCCGTCCGCACCCCTCCCCATACAGGCATCTCTTTCCCCCGACTGGTCCGCGCGCCTGCGCCCAGTCGCAGGTCCCCCGCTTTCCGCCATCCACAGCCGGGTTACGTCAAGAGCCGCGCGCATTCCCCCAACCCGCGCCCGACTCTACCCCACGCCGTGCGCTTCCCCCGCTGCGAGGGGGGATGGGAAGGCGCACGTGTGGCTGCCGCTGCGGCTGGGGATGGGTCCAGGCGGGCTGGGTGGCATATCTTGGCAGCACGTGACTCTGCATGTAGTGCAAGTGGCGGTGGATTGTGCTACTGGGATCGGACGGTCATCCGTGCACGATCATAAGCGCCGTAGACAAAAACGATCATCAAACGTGGCATCACAGTCCCCCTCATCGCCATCAGCAGCAGCATCCTCGTTATTATCCGCCTCGTTGTTAGAATCTTCAGCACCATTGTCAACGTCTGGCGTTGCGAAGCTGCTGCAGACAGGAAACGCGGCAGCGCTGCTTCTCCTCTGCCAGGTAGTATAGCGCGCCGAGCTGAGTAAAGATGGAGGGGGGGGAGAGAGAGTAAGGCGGTAAGCTGTGTTGGCTACTTTTCTTTTCATGCCACGTGTTCATTGCTATCCAGGCACGTGCCACGTGTTCAATTCGTGTGATGCGAAAAGAATCGCCATATGCCACATGTCCAATGCCGGCCATGTCTTAACTGACAGACACACCATAACCTCATAGGTAGTCTTGATGCAGTGATTTGAAAAGTCGAACAACAGACTCTCGTCGTTTCTCATCCCTCAACCACTCCCTTCCCCTCCCTTCTCCTCCCTTTCCCTCCCTTCCCCTCCTTTCCCCTCCCTTCCCCTCCCTTTCCCTCCCATCCCCTCCTTTTCCCTTCCTTCCCCTCCTTACCCTTCTCTTCCCCTTGCTTCCCTTCCCCTCTCCTTAATTTCTCATATCTCCCTCTCCCTTTTCCCCTTCCTTTTCCCTATTTCCTTCTCCACTTCCCCCGTTCCCATTCCCCTCCCCTTCTCCGCTCCCCCCTTCGCTTTCTCTGGGCAGGCACTCTTCCCTGCGTCCTTTTCTGTTGCAACACCCACTCTCGCTCTCCTCCACCTCCTCTCCTCCTCGCCCCTCCTCTCTCCCCTCTCCCGCCTCCTCTCCCCCCTCTCCCGCGCCCTCGCCCCCCTCTCCCGCCTACTCTCCCTCCGCCCCCCCTTGCGCCCGCGCCTAGCCAGCAGCACAGGCGGGGGAAAAGGGGAAATCAGCCTGAGCGGGGATGGGGGGTCGGAGGAATTGGGGGATGCTGATTTGAGTGGTTGGGGGAATCAGGAGGATGTGGGGAGTGGGGGGGATGGTGATGACGACGGGGATGAGGATTTGTGGACTGAAAACAAGTCGGCCATAAACGGGGATGGAGGTTCTTGTAGTGCTGATGGCGATGTTTATTATTCTGATGATATAGATAGCGTTAATTATAACAACGGTGGTTGTAGTGATACTGTAGCTGAGTCATCTGTCATCGTGCGTGACCTGGCTGATGCTGACGTGGAGCATGGTTGGGGAAGGCACCTGCGCCAGGTGCACCTGCATGCGCCAGGGCAGGCGGAGGGGGAAGGCTGGGGGGAGAATGGGGGAGGCGGGGGGAGCGGAGGCGTGTTTGGGAGGGCGGCTGTGGTGGTGGCAGTGGGCGGGGCGATTCTGAAGAGGATAGCGCCTAGATTGCATGTGAGTCTGACTGAGTTTTATTGCCGAGACTCGCTGTGAGTTTGAGTTTTGAGGCGCCTCAAAAGATTGCATGTAAGTTTGACATGTGTTGCCGAGAGTCGCTGGGTGAATTGTGAGAGGTTTCAGTTCGGATCAGAGTGGGTGTGGTAGGTGGGAAAGACGCAGGAGGTGATGTTTGAGTCGACTTCTAATCAGATTTGCTGTGTGCATTGTGAGAGATCTCAGATCAGATGGACGTGCTAGGTGGGGAAGAAGCAGGAGGTGATGTTCGAGTCAATAAAACATCACCACACTGGGTGCATTGTGAGAGGTCTCAGATATGAGTGGGCGTGCTGTGCTGGTCTGTTCGGCGCGCATCCCTCCCAATAGCCGTGGAACATGAGCGAGTGTAGGTGCGCACACGCAGATCCAGGTGCGGGTGCAGTGCAGGAGGGGAGTTGCCGCCCTCATACTCCCTCCCTTGCCCCCTATGCGCCTTCTCTTCCTCTCCCTCTCCCCCACAGCACACGCTGGTCTGCCTGGGTGCGTCCCTGCCAATAGCAGTGGAGTATGAGCGAGTGCGGGTGCGAGTGGGGAAGGGCCCTGCAGGGGCGTGTGGGAGGGAGGGCGAGGCGGCATGGCGGAGGGCGCATAGAAGGGCGGCAAGCCGAGTGGCAAAGCTGATCAAGACGTACCACGAGTGAGTGGCTTGTGATGGGCTGTCTTATATCGAGCCTGAGAGGTGTTTGTGAGGGGGGGGGGGGAGGCAGCATGGCAGAGGGCACATAGGAGAGTAGCAAGCCGAGTGGCAAAGCTGATCAAGACGTACCATGAGTGAGTGGGTTGGCTTGTGATGGGCTGTTTTGTATCAAGTCTGAATAGTGTTTGTGGGAGGGAGGGCGAGGCAGCATGGCGGAGGGCGCATAGGAGGGCAGCAAGCCGAGTGGCGAAGCTCATCAAGACGTACCACGAGTGAGTGGGTTGTGATGGGCCTTGTGTGGGACCATTCCGGTATAGAGTCTGAAGGGTGTTATTAGAAGGGGAGGGAGGGCGAGGCAGCAAGGTGGAGTGCGCATAGGAGACCAGTGGGCTGAGTGGCGAAGCTGATCAAGGCGTACCACGAGTGAGATGGGATGTGTCTTCCCCTCCTGTGTTGCATGAGAGTGGGTGATGTGATGTGCATGGATGTATGTCAAGGTCACTTTTGAGCGTTTCCTAAAGCAAGGAGTACGTCAAATGAAATGCAAATAAAATTATGAATACTTTGCATATTATGCATCACACATCAGTGACTCTCGTGAGTGTCCTTCACTTGCATTCTCCATATATCCTCTCGCCACGTGGCAGCATCCCACAGGCTGGTGGCGTCTTGGACCTGACAGAAGCCGCCACTCTGCTGCACTACAGGACAAACAGTGCCGCCCCGTACATCATGCCAACTCCCATCCTCCCCCCGTCATTGGTTTCAGCAGCAGCAGCAGCACCACCCTTCCCATTCCCTTCCCCATCCCTCCCATCACCCCACCCTTGGCCTTCCTCTCACACTCTGGTCACTCTCTCCTTTCCTCTCTCTTCCCCCTTCCGCTCTTGCAAACCTCAACAAGAGGAGATGGAGAAGGGGGAAGTGGGGCAGGCAGTGGTGCGGGGAAAGAAGGGCGTTGAGGAGAGAGTGGAGAAAGGGAGGGCCATGAGCAGCGGCAACAGCGGCAGCATCAGCAGCATCAGCAGCAGCAGCAGCAGTTTGGACAGCAGTAGTGATATGATAATCAGTGACAGCAGCACTTGGAATGGTTCAGACACCAGTAGCAGCTGCAGCAGCCCCACCAGCAGCACCAGTACCAGCCCCACTAGCAACAGCCTTTGCAGCAGCGAACGTGCGAGCAAAGGGAGCAGCTGCAGCGGCGGCAGCAGGAGCAGAAAGACTAGCAGTAGCAACAACACCAGCAGCAGTGCAATTTCGTTATTTTTCAGGCGGCTTAAAAGCAGCAGCAGCAGCAGCAGCAGTACAACCAAGAGCATTATTGCCGTTCCTTTAGCAAGAAAGTGCCACCAATGCCAGGGCTTACCAGACCCTTTACCCTTACCGAGCGTGACTATAGAAGGAGAGACTCACGTACCCCCCTCTAACAGCAACCACGCCCTCTCACAACCCCAGCAGGGACACGTGGCGTGCTCTGATTGGCCGCTGTCTCGCTGGCAGCAGGCCTTCTCTCTCTTCCTCCGGGCTCTCTTTCTCGCTCTCATCTTCTCCCCCCTCCTCCTCCTTGGTCCCCTCCTACTGCTGCTGCACCACCTATTGCCAGACGGACAGTCAGGCGAGGAGAAGAAGGAAGCACGAGAAGAGACAGGGGAGAGCAAGAGGGCAGTGGTCAATCCAGCGCGGCAGGTCCAATCCACACAAGGTTCCTCAAACGAAGCTCCTTCAAACGAGTTTTTCCCACAGCAAGCCGCCACCGCGCAGGAAGATTTCCGAACGGAACCTTCCATGAAGCAGCAGTGCCGCGACACCATCCACCAGCTACTACTCTTCGCCCTGCGCCGCGGGGGAGCAGCGTTCATCAAATGGGGCCAATGGGCCTCCACCAGAGAAGACCTACTGCCTCCCTCCCTCTGCCTCGTCCTGGGGTCCCTCCAAGACCACGCCCCCACGCACTCCTTCTCGCACACCCGCCGCGCCGTGCGGAAATACCTCGGGTGCGAGTTGGAGGATTTGTTTGTGGAGTTTGAGAGGGATGCGCTGGCGTCGGGGAGTATAGCGCAGGTGCACAGGGCGAGGGTGAGGGGTGCGTGTGCGCACGTGCCCGAGTGGGTGGTGGTGAAAGTGCGGCATCCGCGCGTGGGGTTGCGGATTAAACAGGATTTTGAGGTGATGGCGGGGGTGGCTGCGGTGGTGGATCGGGTTCCTGGGCTCAGGTGGATTCGACTGCAGGATAGTCTCGAGCAGTTCAGCCATACGATGAGGGAGCAGGTGAGAAAGGGGTTGAAGGCACAGAAGGAAAGAGGTGTGGAATGATGTGGTGAGTGCGTTATGGGGAATGAAGGGGCTCAGATGAATTTGGCTGCAGGATAGCCTGGAGCAGTTCAGCCACACGATGAGAGAGCAGGTGAGAAAGCAATCAATGGTTAGAGAAGAGTCACTCATTGAACGGATTGCTAGGGATTGCATGACCGGGGCTTAAGTGGATTCGGCTTACCTATCTTCCTCTCCTTTCCCTCTCAATCATTCCCCTTCCCCCCAGGCTGACCTAAGAGCAGCAGGCATACCACACCACGGGCACCGCCTGTCTGCACAATGACTTCTATTCTATCTCATGATGGAAAGGGTGATGATCTCCCAGGTGCTGCCGCATGTGGTGTCGGAGGGAGCGTGATTGTGGAGATCTGTTTATTCTCTTCCTTTCCACCATAGATCATTTCCCTCCCCCCCAGGCTGACCTGCGTGTCGAGGCATATCATGCTCACTGCCCTGACTTCTATCCCATCCGGGAGAGGGTGGTGATCGCTCACGTGCTGCCACACCTGTTGTCCGAAGGTGCTATCGTGGAGATTTGTTGAGCTCCTTCCCTCTCCTTCCTCTCACTCATTCCCCTCCTCCACAGGCGGACCTGAGGGTGGAGGCATACCACTCGCACCGTCTATATACACCGACTTCTACCCCGTGAGGGAGAGGGTGGTGATCGCTCAGGTGCTGCCTCACCTGGTGTCCGAGGGAGTGATTGTGGAGAGCTGCTCACCTATCTTCCTTTCCTTCCCCTCTCAACCATTCCCCTCCCTTGCAGGCTGACTTGAGGGTGGAGGCATACCACGCGCACCGCCTGTACAATGACTTCTACCCCGTGAGGGAGAGGGTGATGATTGCACTGGTGCTGCCTCACCTGGTGTCAGGGGGAGTGATTGTGGAGAGCTGCTGCCAACCTGTCTTCCTTTTCTTCCCATCTCAATCGTCCTTCTCCCTGGCAGGCTGACCTTCGAGTCGAGGCCTATCACGCCCATCGTCTGTACAATGATTTCTATCCTGTGAGGGAGAGAGTGGTGATCGCTCAGGTGCTGCCTCACCTGGTGTCCGAGGGAGTGATCGTGGAGAGCTTTGAACGAGGGGAGCCGCTGCACCGGTTCCTGCACTCAAAGGAGAACAGCTCGCTCAACACACAGGTGAGAATGTGGGGTCTGAAAGTCAGTTGGGGGTGCATGCATATGGATGGGTGATGCACAGGGGAGCCACTGCACCGGTTCCTGCACTCCTAGGAGAACAGCTCGCTCAACACACAGGTGCGTGGGAGCTGGGAGGGAGATCATAGATCTAGGCTCTAGTAGCGGTGATGCATGGGGCTGTGGCTTGTGCATCTATACACGCCTTCCGAAGAGCTTTGAGAGATGGGAGCCGCTGCACCGGTTCCTGCACTCAAAAGCGAACAGCTCGCTCAACACACAGGTGGGTGTGATGAGACGCGTATCTCAAGATGCTGCTACAGGACAACCACATCCACTCGGACCTGCAAATCGAACCGACCAACCCCTCTCAGCTGCCACATTCACCGTTCCTCCCCCTCTGCCCTGGCAGATCGCAGCAGTGGGCGTAGACGCCTACCTGAAGATGCTGCTACAGGACAACCACTCCACTTGCACCCGCACACCTCTCAGCCTGCTCTCACTGACTCGCCTACCCCCTGCTCTCCCTCTGTTCGCCCCTCTTGACAGATAGCAGCAGTGGGCGTGGACGCCTACCTGAAGATGCTGCTACAGGACAACCGCATCCACCTGGACCTGCACCCCTCTCAACATCCCCTTCTCTACCCCCTCCCGACCTACTGCCCCCCCTATTCTCTGACAGATAGCAGCAGTGGGAGTAGACGCGTATCTGAAGATGCTGCTACAGGACAACCACATCCACTTGGACCTGCACCCCGGGAACATCCTGGCTCGCATGGCGGCATCGCCACCAGCACAAGCCACAGCGGAGGGCGTGCTGCAGACGGGGGCGCTACAGCAGGAGGGGCAGGAGCAGCAGGGAGCGCTGCAGCTGGTGATTCTGGACTATGGGCTGATGGAGGACCTGTCAGCGCACGTGCGCTCCACCTTCCTCTGCTTCATCGCCTCCATCATGTCCTCCAACGCCAAGCAAGCTGTGAGTACTGTCTCCATCACACCATTCGTTACTTGTACCTCCTGTTCCCACCGTTCCACACCCGCATTCTCCCAACTTCCTCTGCTTCATCGCCTCCATCATGTCCTCCAACGCCAAACAAGCTGTACGTCCATTCCGTCCTCAGAATCCTCTGTACTTGTACATCTTCCTGTTCCCATCGTCCAAGCACTTGCACTGTCCTGCGCCCGCACTGTTACAACTTCCTCTGCTTCGTCGCCTCTATCATGTCCTCCAACACCACTCAAGCGGTCAGTGCTCTCCCTGCTTCTCTCCCAACAAGCATTTTATACTTGCACCTCTATCATGTCGTCCAACGCCAAGCAAGCTGTACGTGCTGTATACCTTTCCCCCTTCCCGCTTCCTTCCCTCTCTCCTCCTTCGCCCCCCTCTCACCCACTCTTTCTCAACCTTCATCGCCTTCATCAGGTCATCCAACGCCAAGCAAGCGGTTTACATATTCCCCATCTCTTGTTTTCCTTATTGTCTCCCTCCTGCACCTCTATAAGCAGACCCATTTTCTGCTTCGGTTCGCGGCACCGTTCCCCCAGCGCTGCACCAACCGGGATGCGCTAGAGGCTGACATGCGCGAGCTGTTTGCCAGAGACTGCCAGCTACACCACCGATGCATGGACCTTAATGATGTGCTTAAAAAGGTGGGAGTTATAATTATTGGTTTGCATGGTACCACACACATCCAGTGTGTTGCATTTGTGGACAAATTTATTAAGGTGCTTTATGTTTCGTTTTTTGTGCGCAGGTTCTCCGGATATGCTGGGTGCACCATGTCACAGTGCATTCCTCGTACGCCTCGCTCCTTATCGCCATGTGTATTCTAGTGGGGTTTGGCCAGACACTCGACCCCGAATTGTCCATCCTGGATGCAGCGGCTCCGTGCTTCTTCCTCTACAATCTCACCGGCCGCATTATTGGAAGAATATATGGCTAGTTTGGTTTTTTTCCCCCTTTTATCACTGAATTGGCTCCACTAGGCTTGGAGCTTTCAGGTGACATGGTTTGCTCGTTAGGCCCGTTAAAGTGTTGCTTTTATATGAACTTCACTCATTTTCAGTTTGCAAGAGGCTAATAGGGCGGACAGTCACTGTCCATTTATAACGTCAGCAATTCGTCGCCTGACGCCAGCGACGCATCACAGTTCTCTTTCACAGCTCACGTGCCTCATTAGGCAATCAATGTTCTACACGTCGACACGACTTTGACGAACCCAATTCGTTGTTCTTTCTTGGAGGGACCACTCTGACCCCACCCCTTCGTCTTCTAGACCAATCACACTTATCTTGCCTTTACCAAACCATGCCAGGCCTCCGCTTCCCGCCTTTCAGCGCACCCCTGTCATCCCTCCCATTCGAAATTCACACTGTGGTTCACACTGGTACGGTTCAAGTAGGTTTCGTTGCGCACCAGAGAGTTTTTATAGAAAACCAGAGCGGTTGAGGCTTCAAGAAGCAAACTGTAGCTCATCAATGCTCCATGCTTTCTCAGAATTTTATTTTGCCACACAATTCTTCGTGAGCTGACATCATTTAGTGGCTCCGTTGGGGCCCTTAGTCTTCTAGCAATAACTCGCAGGGCTCGGCACGAGCTAGGTTACCACAGAATTCGCCGGCGGATCAGCTTATTAAATATCACGCGCTGCGGTTCAGAAGCCGTTTCTCCCTTTCAGCATAACATAGAGGCGAATTTTGAGGTACCTAGGAGTCTTTTAGCAAGCCTTTCCGCGGCATGACGTAGAGGCATTCGGTGCTACACCGCGATGTTTTCCCCGTCGTCCAATCATGGCGGCGCGGGCCGAGCCTCGGGATCATCTCCGTCGTTAAGTGCGTCCCTTAGTGGCGGCGATGGCGACTCGGATGTGCTGGATCACCGGCAACTGCTGGGGCTGCTGCAGGTCGAGCGCAGGGATGCGCGGGGGGACGCGCGGGGGGATGCGCGGGGGGACGCGCGGGGGGATGCGCGGGGGGACGCGCGGGGGGATGCGCGGGGGGATGCGCGGGGGGACGCGGGGGGGGATGCTGGGGGAGCGGGCCTGTGGAGGCTGGTGCCAATCGCCAAGGAGCTGGTACGCGAGTGGGTAAATGTTTTGAGACGTTTCAAAACTGGTACGGGGGAGCGTAAATCTGCATAGTTATGCGTGTGCGTGTGCTTTATGGTTGGCTCAAAAATAGTTATGTGAGTGCGTGTGTGTGTCGATGCGCAAAAGGTGTCTAGGGAGGGAGGAAAAAGCGTCCAGCGTAAGGTTGAGGGGGGGAGATGTCACGTAAATGAGGCGCAGAATCTTGATGGTGCGTATATGTTGTGTTGTTGTATCTTAGCCGTAGGAACCGTGTCAGGATGGCCGAGTTGGTCTAAGGCGCCAGTTTCAGGTACTGGTCCGAAAGGGCATGGGTTCGAATCCCATTCCTGACATGTTTTGTTGGACTGTGGTGCATATCGTTCACATGTGGTTCTGAGAAACGTTCAGACAACTTGGCTTGGAGCATTTTTGGAGAGATCACCCACGAACGAGTAATTTTTATCGTAATGTATAGCTCCTGAGCTGTACTAGCAATATTACCCCCAAAGTTACCTCCACCCCCTCCCTTGGCCCCATTTCCCTCCCTCATCTTTGTCCTCATTCGCTTGTGGCACTGCACATGAAGCGTCAGCTCCCCATTCTGACGTTCCCTCAACTTCAAGTGCTATTCAGGAACAGAGGGACCGTCAGCATTTGATGCTCCATGTCAGTTCTCACATTCTTTCCCCTTCTCCTCCCCCCCACCCCGCCTTCCGCTCTGTTTTCTCTTCCCCCTCAATGCGCAATCCCTATATGCAGGGCACGTCATTGCCGTGTGTGCCTTTCAGGAGATGAAGAAGCGTCAGGAATTGATGCTGCATGTGTGATAATGATCCCTACACTCCCTCCCCTCCCCCCTCTCTAATCCCCCGTCCTCCCAGACCCTGGATGCGGGCCATTTCATTGCAGTGCGGGCCATTCAGGAGTTGAGGGAACGTAACCGGAGCTATGGGAGGGAGCGGCCGCTGCTGGTGGGGATTGGGGGGCCGTCTGGGTCTGGCAAGTCAAGGTATGCTGACCAGTGCACGGCATGGCATGGCATGGTTAGCATGGCATGGCACGGCATAGTTAGCATGGTATGGCACGGCATAGTTAGCATGGTATGGCACGGCATAGTTAGCATGGTATGGCACGGCATGGCATGCCATGTCACCTTGCTGTGGCATGGGGGAAATCCACCAGAGCCATGGAGGGAAGAGACCACTGCTGGTGGGGATTGGGGGGCCGTCTGGGTCTGGCAAGTCAAGGTATGTCAGTATGATGAGTGGTCACACGGAATGGTATGGCATGTACTTGGAAGTGCACTCTATTGCAAATCGAAGTATGTTTGTATGATGAGTGATCACACGGCATGGCATGGCATGGCATGGCATGGCATGGCATGGCATGGCATGGCATGGCATGGCATGGCATGGCATGTCGTAGTCATGGATGTAAGCATTGCCGGGCTAATTTCTGCCTATTCTCAATCTCCCTCACTGCTGTTGTTTTGCACTCTCCTCCCCTTTCACTCTGGCGCATCGCATTGCGAGCATGCTGGAGGGAACGGTGATAGGGCACGTGAACTACATGCATGCAGCAGCTTCACAGCCCTTCCTTGTTCCCCTTTACCCCACCCTCTATTTTCGTTCCCCTTCAGTCTTGCGCATCGCATTGCCAGCACGCTGGAAGGAAGGGTGATAGAACAGGTGAACTACATGGATGCATCCTCACTCATTCTTCACCGCCCTCCCTATCCGTCCCCCTTCAGCCTCGCTCATCGAATTGCGAGCATGTTGGAAGGAACGGTGATAGAGCAGGTGAACTACATGGACGCAGCGAGAGGAACGGGCGACATGCATGATGTGAATACCCTGGACATGGAGTTATTGCACCAACACATGCAAGTGCGTGCATACATGCATGCAGGTGAATGAGTCAGGACCCAGGGGTAGGTGCATGCGTACATGCAGCTAGGGGGACGGGCGACATGCATGATGTGAATGCTCTGGACATGGAGTTATTGCACCAACACATGCAGGTGCGTGCATACATGCATGCAGGTGCGTGTGTGTGCGCATGCATGGGCTTAGGAGAATGCAGCTGGGGGGACGGGCGAAATGCATGATGTGAATGCCATGGACATGGAGTTACTGCACCGCCACATGCAGGTGAGTGCCCGAGGTGTGGGCGCATGCAATGGGGACGCGCGTGCAGCAAGGGGGACGGGCGAAATGCATGATGTGAATGCTCTTGACATGGCGCTGTTGCACCGCCACATGCAGGTAAATGACATGGTTAGGCGCGTGCATGCATGGATGGGGTAGGCGGAGGCAGCAAGGGGGACGGGCGACCTGCCGTTCTTTCTGCGCCCACCTACTGTAACGCACATCACAGGACCTGCCAGCAGGCTGGCCCATCAATCGAGATGCCTCTCTTTGTTTCTGCTGACCGCCTCACGGTCCTAATTCAGCAAAGCTGAAGCCCCATCCTCGCTTTCTGTGTGCGCCTACTGCTCTCGTCATCACAGGACCTGCTTGCCGGGCGGCCCATTGAAATGCCCCTCTTTGACTCTGTTGACCGCCGCCGCTCAGGGTTCCGCCTCATCACGCCGTCGCCCTCCGCTGTGGTGCGTTGTGAATCGGTTCAGAGCCACAAACAAGAGAAAGCAAGTGTGGTACGATGTTTCTTTGGCACTGCATCAAGCACACTCCGCTCCCTTTTCTTTCTTTTATAGTACCCGTCCCGTCTTTGATTATATAGCTCCTTTCGCCGCCGTGCGCTTTCTCTCCCTCTTTGGGAATTGTGCACTACTCTCCTTTCTCCCCCGCTAGCCCACCATCTTCCTTTCCACATTCATTTTCAGGCCGGCATGCACCCTCCACGTTCTTTACTCAGGCCTACATCTCCTCCTGTCCCCAGATTATTCTCAAGGGCGTATACGCACATTGCTCACGTCTCCACCCGCTGCTGGACCTTGGGATTGCCGTGGGTGGTGGGGGGGGTGCACTACACGCTGCTAATTTGAACCCACATTTTTCACCATCCCTTCCAGATTCTCCTCAAGGGCGTGTACGCACTACACTCACGCCTCCGTCCCCTATTGGACCTTGGGATTGCCGTGGTGGGGGGGGTGCACTAGACGCTTCTGGTTTAGGCTCACTTTCCTCCACCCTCTCTTTCAGATTCTCCTCAAGGGCGTGTACGCGTTACATGCACGCCTGCGGCCCCTGCTGGACCTTGGGATTGCCGTGGTGGGGGGGGTACACTACACGCTGCTGCAGCGGGTCAAGTCTGACGTGGCACAGAGTGGCCTCCAGCTGTCACTCGCATCCGTCATGCACTCGGTGTTCCCCGCCTTCCCACTGCACATCGAGCCCACACTCGCACACGCTGAGGTAAGTCACGGCGCAACCCCTTGTTCTAACTCTGCTGAGTGTGCAATGTATGCAGAATGAGTCCCTGTCCTTTGTGATGCCTGTTTTCGAAAGACTGTTGAGTCTTTCCAGAGCTGTTGAGTTAATTCGGAATCTCCTGTCTTTTGAGCCCCCAATTACTGCCTTTGTTCTCTCGCCTCACCTGCTGCTCCCCCCATTCAGATCTTTGTTCTCGTCATCAGCAACATCTTTGTGGCGGACCCTCTCCGCCACCCCTTGGCTTGGTTGTTGAGCATTGGAGAAAAAACACTAGGAGCATTGTCGCCAATGCTCCAGCATTGTCTCCAACATCAGGAGTTTTCCTCCCTTTGGTCCCTCAAGCCGCCCGCTGTTCCGTCCCCCCATCAGATACGCATCAGCAACAGCTTTGTGGCCGACTCCCTGCGCCACCCCTTCTACATCCTCAAGTCCGACCAAACGGTGAGTCTTGCCCGCACTCCTGCCTTGCTTCTGCTCACCATCTACTCTCCGTGGCTTGTAAATCGACTCAGAAGTCGCTTTGTGGCCGACTTCCTGCGCCACCCCTGGCTTTGTAAATTCTCAAGTCCGATCAGACTGTGCGGGATACATTCCTTCTTCTCACCTTCCCCACTCACCTTTTACTTCTTACTTCCTCTTCCTTTCACTCCCTTCCGATGTGCTGGTTTTCACTCCCCATAGGTTATAGTTACTGTCTTCACATCAGCTTTCAGTTATCTCCATCCCTTTACTTGCCTCGTTCCACCGTCTCCCACCTACCTCATCCCCTCATCAGCACTTCCTTCTTCTCACAACCCAGTCCACTCCCAACCACGCATCTTCCTGTCCCGTGCCTCTGCTTGGTGTCTATCGCTGACGTGTCATCTTGCCTGCGTGCCAGGTGGCAGAGGACAGAGTGAAACAGGTGCTGGGTTCGACCCGCACCACACGCAACGAGTACCGGTGAGCTGCGAGGAAAAAAAGGGAAGTCCAAGATTCTAGGGTTACTAACAATGGCACGGCAAGCAAGGAGTGCCAGCGACGTGCAACCTGAAACACAAGTCAAACCTCTAGCATCCGCTTCTTCCTGCCAGCCACATCCCCACGTGATGTCTCACCCTGCCATCCTCCCTCCTTACTGTCCCCTTCCCTCACCCCCTCCAGCTACGTGGACGTGGTTCTCTCACCGCCGCACAACCCCACGCGCACGAAAGAGTGGATTCAAGTGCGGCAGTGCGGCATATGCCACTTCCCGCCACATCCCATGCCTCATCCTCTCCCACCGCCGCAACACCCTTCCGTTCCTCAACCTCCCCCCACTGTCCACAGCTACGTGGACGTGTATCTCTCTCCTCCTCACAACCCCACGCGCACAAAGGAGTGGATCCGCGTGCGGCAGTGCGGCATCCGCTACTTTCTGTCGGTGGGCGATCAGAGGGTGGTGGACAGGAGCTTCATCATCCGCCCTCGAGCAGAGTTCGAGGTGGGCTTTAAGACACTCGAGAGTTGAGGCAGGCTCCTCACGGCTGAGTACAAGGTTGGTCCGAGCGCGGCAGAGTGGCATCCGCTACTTCCTCTCTGTGGGGGATCAGCGTGTGGTGGGCGGGAGCTTCATCATCCGCCCGCGCGCCGAGTTCGAGGTGGGTGGGCTGCAGGAGACTGTCAACACTTTCAACGTGAGCTCCTCTCTCACAGCTGACTCCGGAGTGGATTCGAGTACGGCAGTGCCACGTGAAAAAAGGAGTGTTTTGAGACGTCTCAAAACACTCCTTTTTTCACGTGACTCCGGAGTGGATTCGAGTACGACAGTGCGGCATCCATTACTTCCTCTCTGTTGGCGACCATTAGCGACCAGTACACCCTCTGGACCAGAGGGTGGTGGACCACAGCTTTATCATCCGCCCCCGTGCCGAGTTCAAGGCGGGCTCTAAAGCTCTCCAGTCTGCCCGGTCGAATCCAGTGGTCCTATCATCCTATGTGGTGGCCGTGAGATTCTGTGGTGCTCTCTAGCCCTCGTTTACCTCTCTTTGCCGTTCCGCCTCTCTCTTTTCGTCCTCTAAAGCCATCCACCACCCACCCATTCTCTCGCCAATCCTGCACTTCCCCACTCCATCTTCCAGGTACCATCCGCCACCCTCCCCGGTCTCATCCACTGCTCATACGCGGTAGCAGTCAGCTTCTCATGAGACTCTCTGGTTCTCATTCCATACCCCCATTTCGCCCTCTCTTCCCCCCAGGTACCGTCCACCACTCTCCCCGGTCTCATCCAATGCTCCTACACCGTGGCAGTCAGCTTCTCACGCTGGTTCCTCTATCTCCACTATCCCCACCCAACCAACCCCCCTCCCCTCCCTCCCTCCCTACAGGTACCATCCACCACCCTCCGCAGTCTCATACAGTGCTCCTACGCGGTGGCAGTCAGCTTCTCACGAGACTCTGTGGTGCGATGCTCTCCCTCCTCCCCTTTTCCCCTTTCCTCCATTCCCCTCCCAGGTACCATCCATCACTCTCCCGGTCTCATCCATTGCTCATACGCGGTATCCGTAAGCTTCTCACAAAACTCTGCGGTTCTTTCCGTTCTCAACCTTCTCCTCTCACTCCTCCCACCCTCTTCTCTCCCCCTCTCCACCCTCTTTCGCCACTCCTGCACTTCCCCACCCCATCTCCCAGGTACCATCCACCACCCTGCCTGGCCTCATTCAGTGCTCATACGCAATAGCCGTAAGCTTCTCGCGAGACTCGGTGGTGCTCTCTAACGGCGACCTCTCAGTGTGCATCGACACCATCCACCTGGGCGAGGGGCGCAGCCGCACATACACGCAGATCAAGGGGCCGGACAGGCAGGTGCGTTGGGGAAAGGTCCTGAAGAACTGGTGTGCATCTGCAGCCTGACACGTAGTATGTGTTGAGACCATTCACCTTGGGGACGGGCACAGCCACACATATGCGAATCAAGGGGCTGGACAGACAGGTGAGTGCAGTGCACCCACATGTCAGTTGCTCCAATCCTTCGAAATAGGGTATCCATCCATCCATCCATCCATCCATCCATCCATCCATCCATCCATCCATCCATCCATCCATCCATCCATCCATCCATCCATCCATCCATCCATCCATCCATCCATCCACCCACCCACCCATCCACCATTCCTCCTCTGCTCCTCATCTTTTGAGAAAACTCAAAAACCACCGTGCCCCGTTCCTCTCTTTCCCTTATTTTCTTATCTATTCCCTGAGCTCCTTTTTTTTTTGCTGTGTAGAGATTCATTGTTCGCTGTGCCTCTTGCCTTCCAATGTAACCCTGACGGCGCTTACAGCAGCAACAGCTTTTTGAGAAGTCTCAACGCACCTTTTCCTCTCTGCCCTTTTCCATCGTGCAACAACAGACGGTGCTGACTGCAGCAGCCGCTCTGCGACTGGAAGGGCCATGGGTCACGGACGCTTATGTCGACATTGTCATGCGGCATGTTGGTACGCATTGTCATCCCCACTTGACATACATGGTTGTGCATCATGTAGGCTGGCTGATACGCTCTGAATCCATGCCTTGACTCGCCAGTGTGAAGAAGTGTTCAGATTGAACACATCGCCAATCCCTTACCCCATGCGGGGGACCCTTGTTTTCGTTCCCGTCCCCTCCTGCTTCCCTCTTCCAGGTGCTCCTCGTCTGCCCACCCCGCCCCTCTCCTCCTCCTGGGTGCGCTTCGAATCAGACCAACTCGAGTCACTCACCTCCTCTCCCTCTCCCTCCTCCTTCCTCTCCATCCCCTCCTCCCACCCACCCCTCTCCACCACACCCGAACCCCCTCAATCTCAACCCACCCCTCCCGCTTCTCCTTCTCAATCGCCCCTTCCATCCCACTCTGACATTCCTTCAACCCCATACCAGTCCCCTCTCCCTATCAGCATCTCCTCAGCCCTCTCTGCTGCTTCTGCGCCTCTCCCTGTGCACCCGCGAGCCATCAACGTGGGCTTGCCAGGCTCATCCGGGGGAGGTACAACTCTTGGGGGGGGAGGTGCCAGCAGGGAAGGTAGAGGTAGCAGTGGTGGGCGTGGGGAGGAGAGAGGGGTGCAGGAGGGAGGGGTGGCAGATCGAGGGGTGGAGGAGAGAGGGGTGGAGAGCGGTGTGGAGGAGCAGGAGCCATGGACGCGGTCTCCTACGAGGGCGAGTGAAGCAGCAGCGATGGCTGCCCCGGCATCATGGGGACTCACAGGCCTAGCGGACTCTGTAGGTCTCATGCACACGCAGATCATCCAACACGCCGTGTCTGGTGCTGAGGCTGAAGTTGAACTTCCTCCAAGTGCCCCTGCTGCTAGTGCAACTGCTGCGGAAGAGGGGATGGAGGCAGCAGGCGGCGAGGGTGTGTGTCAATCGACCTCCACCCTTGCAACGTCCCCACTCGCGCAGGGAGAACCTCTGCCTGCTGCTGCTGCTGGTAGCGACAGGCAGCAGCAGCAGACAAGCCAGCAGCAGAGAATCCAGTCAGGACTGGGCAGCCAAGAGCTTGGCAGTAACCAGCAGCGCATGGGGGATCAGCAGAGGGTGGTGCAGGGAGCACAGCAGGGAGGAGGAATGGCAGAGGAAGGGGCTGCGAGGAGAAGTGGAGAAAGGGAGGGACCAGGGCTGCAAGCGAGGGGAGTCGTGGCAGAGCGGAGGGGAGATGTGGAAGAGGAAATGGGTGGTGAGGCATCTGGAATGGAAAGGCAAGGCTTGGCAACAGCAGCACCAGCAGCAACAGCAGGTTCGGCATCGGCGTCTCAGAGGGCACGGTTCGACCTCATTCCCAAGCGAGAGCAGTTCAACTTTGACAGAGGGCTCAGCCTCGCTGTCATGGCCGTGCAGGTGAGATTCTGCGCACTGTTGAGCTCGCCGCACGCGCGACCTCCAAAAAGGAAACTAGGCTGGTGCATGCACGAAACTCCAACGATGGCAGATGCTGAAGCTTTGCTATGCTCTCTGGCAACTCAGAAAATTCTTCAGCACCGTGTATCTGCAGCGCTCTCAGCTCAAGCAGGGCTGAGGCAGGTGAAGGCTCAGCCTGGCTGTGGTGGCCGTGCAGGTGAGGACTCGCTAGACAATCTCAGCTTGATTTAAAACTGGCTCGAGTCTCGACTAGGCCAAGATTCAAAGCCATCTTAAATCACCTAATGTTCGTGTTTTCGGAGGGACTGAGATGTGTCAAAGTACCAGTGAGAGAGCCGTTGTGCCTCTTGTTGACATTAGGCGTCGCTTGCCTTTCTCAACTCTCGAGCTCACCTCTCCTTCATGAAACTCTGTTGCCCTATCCTCTCTCATGCAGAAACTGCTCCGCAGCAACGGCCCTCCAGTCATAGTGGGAATCGGTAAGTCCTCCCTCCTGCTCTATGCACCCTGCTCTTTGCTGTCTGCTCTCTCAAGGGTGTTTTGTTTTGCGTCTTGAAGCTCCAGTCATAGTGTGAATCCACATTGCAACCTCGCAATCTCCTGCGGCACTATCCACTCGTTTTCCCCCCTCCTCTTTCCCTCCCGTCGCTTCCCTCCCTTGTCGCCAAGACCAGCCTGGCTTATAACCTCGCCCGCCTGCTCTCCCGTCACCTCCCCTCCCTCAAACCCGCTTCCTTCCTTCATTTCTCCTTCCTTTCTCCCCCTCTCTTGGCCGCCTCTTCCTTGTTACCAGGAGGACCCAGCGGCTCAGGCAAGACCAGTCTGGCCTGCAACCTCGCCCGTCTGCTCTTCTGCGATCTCCTCTCCCTCAATGACTCCTTTTCCCTTCCTCTTTTTTTTTCCTCCCTTCCCTCCCTTCCCTTTCACCAGGCGGACCCAGCGGCTCGGGCAAGACAAGCCTGGCGTGCAACCTCGCCCGTCTGCTCTCCTGCGACCTCCTCTCCCTTGACTCCTTTTTCAACGACGCAGCTGACGGCACCAACTACGATGACGTGGCGGTCGTGGATTGGCCACTGCTGCGCCGCACGCTCCAGGATGTGCGGGAGGGGCGGAATGCAGTTACCCCCGTGTTTGACTTTGGCTCGATGAGGAGAGTGGGGTTCCGTCCCGTGCACATGCATGGGGATGGGCAAGGGCATGGCCGTGGAGTTGACGTTTTAACAGCAGCTGAATCATCTGCAGCAGCAGTGGCAGCAGGAGTTGAAGCATCAAGGGAGGCGGCAGGAGGAGCAAGGGACGGCAGCGGTGGCGCCAGCAGCGGAGCGGTGAGTACCTTGGGCCATCGTACATGATTTATGAGGCACGTTTCCTCAAAAATAGTACCTTGGACTGTCTTACGTGTTGGACGTGTGTTGAGATTTCTCAACGTTATTCTTTTGGCCGAATCATAAATTTCACAATCATGTGGCCGCCTATCTTTCTCTATCAACAGTTGGGGCCCGTATTCACACACACGCTCCGGCTATGGCTGATCTGAATAATTCTCACCGTATCCTGCCAGTCCTCCCTCCCTTCCCATCACTCCATCCCATCCCACGCCCTGCAAATCCACACTATGCCACGCCCTGTTGCGCTGCCATCAGCTGGTGCTGGAGGGAACGCACACGCTGCATCCCCTCCTGCAGCATCGGCTCGACCTACGCATTGCTGTGGTGAGTGGAGGATGAAGGTCTGCCATGCCTTGCCCTGCCATGCCATGCCATGCCCTCCCATACGTCTATGCCTCATCCTTTACCTACATATTTTGTTCCTCTCCTTCATTGCTGTTGTCCCAAAAGGACAAAGGAGCCCGCATCCACCTCTTTGTCACAAGTTTTGTTTGACCTGCAACGCTGAAGCGTGTCGCTATTGCTGCTTCCTGCAAACATGTGTTCATCCCACGTCATCATTGCCTGACAGGACGGGGGAGTGCACTCACACCTGCCATCACGAATTCTCTCCGACCTGCAAGCATGCAGCTGTCTGCTGTGGTCTGTCGCATGTGCGCCTATCTTATTCATCTCCATCATACTTCATTGCCTGCCCCAACCACAGGACGGGGGAGTGCACTCGCACCTGCCATCACGAGTTCTCTCCGACCTGCAAGCATGCAGCATGCCACGACAAGCAGAGGAAGTGGAGGCAACACTCTTCCCGCTCTTCCGCACCCAGATTCAGCCCTTCCTCTCCACGGCGCATGTGAGTTTGAAGGTTCACCTGTGTGTGTGCATGAGCCCGCCATCTCGAACAAGTCCAGGACCCTTCATCTGCAAGCCTACAACGCACCACATTCGAAACGTTTGCAACAGTAGCAGCAGCACGGGGCTCATCTCCGTCTAATTCTGACTCGGACTCACAAGATGTGGTGGAAGTGGTGGAGGGGGTGCAAGGCATGTAGCGCATGCACCCGTAGCCAAGCGAGCAGACAAGGCTTCACTCTAACAACTCCAGTGGTGCAACATCCTTTCAAATGGTCATCAGTAGCGACAGTGTGCATCCCTCGCCTTCCCCCTGCCTGCTGCCATGGCGGCCAGCTGCGCTGCTGCCACACTGCAAAGGTGGTCCACGGTTGACAGTGGGAGTGAAAGTCTGGCTACAAGTGGGAGTGAGGCTGGTGGCAGCCCTGATGCTTCACCATTTTTATGTTGAACATTGTAAAAACATGATCTTTTTTGTCCCTTTTTTGCAGACGCAAGTCTGAGGAATCAATTAAGGGACAAAAAGAGCTTGTTTTTACGTTGTTCATCGTAAAAATGGTGATACGTCAGGACTGCTTCCAACCTTACCCCATTTGCAGCCGCACTGTCACTTGCACTGTCAACCATGGACCACCTTCGCAGCGTGGCAGCAACGTGGCCGGCCGCCATGGCAGCAGGCAGGGGGGAAGGTGAGGGATGCACACTGTGGCTACAGGAGGCCGTTTGAAAGGACGTGGCATCACTGGGGCTGTCAGTGTGAAGCCCTTCCTACTTGCTGGATTGCAGGTTCATGCGTCGCACGCCTTACACCCCCTTCCACTACCCCCACCACGTCCTGTGAATCCGAGTCCAAGTCGAAGGAGATGGAAATGGGCCCCATGTGTGTGCGTGCGTGCGTGCATGTGTGTTTCTTGGCCATCTTCCCTTTGTGCGCCCATGTGAGCAACTACGAGTGGTGGACAACTTTGACCCCTTTCACGCCCGCAACGCCCCCCATTCATGTTTGGATCGGCTCTCATTATACACATTCATATGCACGTCTTCCCTTTCTGTTTCTTCCCCATCTGCTCTCTCTGTGTGGCTCATGTGCGCAGCTGCGAGTGGTGAACAACTTTGACCCCTTCCACTCCCGCGACGCCTCTCAGTTCGTCCTGAAGAGCGATAAGAAGGTAACACCGTATCATGCATGGGCAACAGGGAGGTGTGATCATATTGTTAGGCATGAGTGGACGAGTTATGCGACTTATCCAAAAACACGATGCCTTGCAGTTCGTCCTCAAGAGCGACAAAAGGGTAACACCGTACCATCCGTGGGCAACAGAGTGGTATGATCATATACGTACGCATGAGTATGCAAGTTATAAGATGTATTGAAAGATGCGGCACCTCTCAGTTTGGCCTCATAAGCCGACAAGAAGTTACCACCGCAGCAGAATGGTGGTGGTGCTACTATAGTGGCATGATCCTACAGGTAATGCGTGAAGGCCGGTGAATCCCCTGCATAGGTCGAGCATTGGTCGTGTCGATTGAAAGGCAGTTGGCTCAACAATCACCAACAGCGGCAGGTGGCTGTGCTTCACGGACGTCTTTCCGTACCTACTAAGGATGCACCCAGAGCAGCATGCGAGGGGGCCTTGCTAGAATCCGCTTCTTATCTTTCTTTGTGCCACACCACCAGGTTACTGAGGAGGACATACTGCGAGTGGTCGACGCTTCCACCCACCACCGGCGCCAGCTGTGCTACACAGACGTCTTCTTTTACCTGCCCGGGATGCACCCAGAGGGGCCAGTGAGGGAGTCTGATTGGATTCGCGTCCGCTGCTGCAACAACCGATTTGCCGTGCTTATACGAGAGGTTAGTCACGTGTGTGCTTGTATGTGAGGTGATGGAATGTGCTTATACGTTGCATGAAACCTAACACCCCTTCAGAGGGTCCTGTGAGGGAGTCTGATTGGATTTGTGTGCGCTGCTGTAACAACCGCTTTGCCGTGCTGATTCGTGAGGTGAGATTGCAAGGTCAAATTGCGAGCTCTCTTCCATAGGCATCTATTTCTACCTGCCTGGGCTGCACACAAAGGGGCCTGTGAGGGAGTCTGACTGGATCCGTGTGCGCTGCTGCAACAGCTGATTCGCCGTGCTTATATGTGAGGTGGGGTTGTGTGCTTGTACGAGAGGTGGAGTTGTATGATTATTCATGAAGTGAGACTGAGTGGTGTGCTTCTGCGTGCCTGTACGTTACATGGTAACTTACAAACCCCTTCAACACTTAATCCCCCAGCTACTTTGTCATTCCTCCCCAAGTGGAGCCTAGCATATGGCGGTTCCATTCTCTCTCCTGGTCCCCCCTCTCCTCGCTCCTCATCCTGTTCTCTGTCTTCAATCACCTGTGGCTCTCAACCCTACACTCCGTTAACTCTCACCCCTCCACCAGCCACTGACAGAGGGTGGTTTTGTGATTCAGCCGCAAGTGGGGTTTGACATTGGGCTTTCACAAGCCCTGTTTACATTACATTCACCGCTTTTCACATGCTGTCTTTTGAGGCGCCTCAAAAGTTGGGTTTTCACAAGCCCTGTTTACATTACATTCACTGCTTTTCACATGCTGTCTGTCACCACCACACTGCGAACACTGCTCACCCCTGCAGCCACTGACAGAGGGTGACTTTGTGATTCAGCCACAAGTGGAGTTTGATATTGGGCTCTCTACCGTCGCAGGGCTTGTCAGGCTTGGGTGAGTGGTGCACTGGCGTGGCGTTGCTGGCTGTTTTTTGTGGTGTGGTGGTAACCACGTTACCAGGTGATCAGTGCGCTCCGGTGGTGGTGTGTTCTGTGAATCATGTGAATCAGCCGCAATTACAGTTTGGGTGAGTGAGTGGCACAGTGGTGACGTTGGCTGTGCTTGTGGTGTGGTGGTGGTAACCAGGTTACCAGCAGAGTATCCAGATTTTGTACAGCTGAGCCCCAAGCCCAAAACCCTGGTGTCAGAGAGGTTCCCCATCTCCGTTTAAAGCTGACTCGTTTTACTGCTCTCTGGTTGTTCTGCTGCGTGCAGGTACCAAGCAGGGTTGTTCATGGAAGTCTCAGCCACAGTGTTCCAAGATGACCAGGTTAGCTGGGAACATCAGTACAAAGTAGACAGTCAAATGTAGGTGTTGGGAATCGAGGGTTTAACATGGGCAGCGCTGTGTGCAGATCAGGGCAGGGTTGGGTGGTCGTTGGTTCCCACCCATCCCGTTCCAATTGTTCTCATGTTCTCTCGTGCCGTCTGTCTGTAACTAAGTATCTGGCAGTCGTTGATGTCGTGTGTCTGTAGCTAAGGATCCAATCATCATGATGCGGTGGTGTGCTTTTGAGTCAACTCAAAAGCAGTTGTGATGTCATGTGTCTTCATCATCACGATGAGGTGGTGTGCTTTTGAGTCGACTCAAAAGCAGTTGTGATGTCATGTGTCTTCATCATCACGATGAGGTGGTGTGCCGTAACAAGGGTCTAACTCGGCATACGTGGGACCTGATGAGTGAGGACCCGTGGGACCTCACATACGTGCCAGAACAAGGGTCTAACTCGGCATCTCTTTGTGTAGATTAGGGGAAAGGGTGTGTGGGCGTTCCATCCCCACCCCACCACAGACAAATGTTCTTCTTACGTGTGCCCTCTCCTTCTGTACGCCTGCATCTCAAATGGGTCCATCACAACCGTCAGATCTCAGTGGAGGTGGTGGGAATCAAGGGTCTGAACAGGCGCCGCTTTGTGCATATGAATAGGGGGGTTCACTGTGGCCGTCCCATCCTCATGTGGTCGCTGTACTATCTCTCTGTGTGTTTCTGTGTCTCTATCTCTTCTTGTCTATTCCAGATCTCAGTGGAGATGGTGGGAATAAAGGGTCTGAACGGGAGGCGCTTTGTGCAGATCAAGGGCAGCAGCCGGGACGCCGTGGCTGCTGCAGGGCGGGCCATGAGACTGGATGGGACGTATGTTACCAAGGTATAGGACTCGGTTATGTGGGATGTATGCCAGCGCGGTATGGTGGCACTGGCTTTGTGCAGATCAAGGGCAGCAGCCGGGACGCCGTGGCTGCTGCTGGTCGAGCCATGCGGCTGGATGGGACGTACGTCACCAAGGTATGGAAAACGGTTCTGTGAGCTTTATATCGGTACAGTATGGCGACACTGGCTTTGTGCAGATCAAGGGAGGCCGTCGGGATACCTTGGCTGCAGGGCGAGCCATGCGGCTGGATGGGACGTATGTCACAAAGGTTTGTGACTCGGTTCTGTGGGATTTATGTCAGTATTGTAAGATGTGGTAGGGTGTCATCAAGGGGTTCCGTGGGGATTTTGATTCCCCCCTGCATACTGCGGGAAAGGCCTTGAAACTGGACGGAACAAGGTGTGTGCCTCGGTGGGCATTTTGATTCCCCCCCTGTGGGACTTGTATCTCTTGATGAGACTTCAACAAACTTATGCTACCGCATGGTGGCACTTTTTCTTGCAATTGCTTTTACACGCCCTTCCTCCCCCACCCTGTGACACGTGGCATGCAGCCATTCGTGGAGATAATCCACGACAGCAACCGAGTGTTCTTCTCAGAGTCTGTGGACATCCGTCGCAGCCAGCAGGCCGCCCGCCTGCACGCCTTGCTGCAACGGGTATCCCCTCAGGTGAGAGACGATTGGAGCTCTCAAATGTGTTCGTAAAGTCTCGTCTATCCACGTCCGTCGCAGCCAGCAGGCCGCCCACCTGCACGCCCTGCTGCAACGCATAACTCCTCAGGTGAGAGGCATTCACAGTATCTTGTCAGACGGAGCCATCAGCAGCACCGGTCTTCTCAGAGTCGGTGGACGTCCGTCGAAACCAACAGGCCGCCCGCCTGCACGCCTTGCTGCAACGCGTATCCCCTCAGGTGAGATGCTACATTCTGTGGAGAGTCCTTGACAGCGCCTCTCCTGACAGCAACCGAGTGTTCTTCTCAGAGTCAGTGGACGTCCGTCGAAGCCAACAGGCCGCCCGCCTGCACGCCTTGCTGCAACGGGTATCCCCTCAGGTGAGAGGCACTTGTGGTGGCTGGGCCTTTGCTCTCTGTTTTTCCACAGCTGAAGCCATCAGCAGCACAGGCCTTCTCACAGTCGGTGGACGTGCATCCCAGCCAACAGGCTGCCAACCCGCACGCCTCGCTGCAACAGGTATCCCCTCAGGTGAGAAACACGGTCCCTCTACAGCTTAAGTCAACAAGCCACCAGCCTTCATGCCCTGCTACAATGGGTATCCCCTGGGGTGCGAGGCACTTGGTGTGCTGCTGCGTGTGGCCTCCCAGATATGCTCTTACGGTCCCCTCTATCCACTTGCTCCTTCAGTCGAATCAAAGAAAAACAGACTAAAAAAAAGACAATTAGGCTACTGTAGGTCGTGTGTAGCCAAGAGTCTGTGAGCATTGTATCGGATATTGCTTTTGCTGGTTGCTGACTTGGTGCTGTCAGATCTTGGCAGCCATGCAATCATCTTCATCATCTCCCCCTGCCCCTCCGCACAGGCTGCTCCGTTGTTTCTTCCCAGCAGCACCACCACCACAAGCCAAGGCCAGCCACCCATCACAGCCAGCTGGCAAGGCGGTAACGTGCCAGCACCAGCAGCGCATGGCGGCACAGAGCATCGGAGCAAATACAGCATGGCTCTCGCAGTATCCATGCCACCGCCCTCTTACTCAGCTGTCCCTTCTGCTACATCTGATGCTACTGCCGGATTTGCTACAACTGGCACCACTACAGCTGGTGCATATGGTGCAGTGCCAGCCATGCGCACTGTTGCTGCTGCTGCTGCCGCTACAGCTGCTGCTGCTGCAACTACAGCAGGTGGTGGTGCTACAGCTGGTGCTGGTGGCAGTGGTGAGTCGCTGCTGCCTCCATCGGAGCCGCCGTCAGCTGCTGCTGCCACGTCAGCGTCGCAACAGCCAGCTGCCACGTCAGCATCGCCCTCGACCGCCAGCTTGGCAGCCCGTCTGCAGCTGCTGGACGCTCGACTCACCTCGCTGGAGCGAATGCAATTTCTCAACACTGTGAGTTTGCTGGCAGTGCAGTGGGGGGGACAGACGGGGGAGAGGGGAGGGTGGTGGGGTGTTGTGGTCCTCGTACTGCTGCTGGATGCTCGGCTGAGCTCACTGGAGCGAATGCAATTCCTTAACACCGTGAGTCTGCATTGAGTAGTGGAGGGAAGGGTGGGGAGAGGGGGAGCGGAGAGGGCGGTGGGGTGTTGTGCCTTGCATGCACCTGCTAGATGCTCGACTGACCTCGTTGGAGCGAATGCAATTCCTCAACACTGAGTTTGCGGGCAGTGCAGTGGGGGGGAAGGGTGGACAGACGGTGGAGAGGGGAGGGTGGTGGGGTGTTGTGGTCGTCATACTGCTGCTAGATGCCCGACTGACCTCGCTGGAGCGAATGCAATTTCTCAACACCGTGAGTCTGCATCGAGTTCGGAGGAAAGGGTGGGGAGAGGGGAGCGGGGAGGGCGGTGGGGTGTTGTGCCTTGCATGCAGCTGCTAGATCCCCAACTGACTTTACTGGAATGAATGCAGTTCCTTAACACCGTGAGTCTGCGGTCAGTTCAGCGGGGGGGAAGGGTGCGCATACAGGGGAGAGGGGAAGGCGGTGTGGTGTTGTGCCTTGCATGCGCCTGCTAGATCCCTGACTGACCTCTCAAGTCAAAATCGTGCGTTGCCACAAAGGGAACAATGCACTCTTCTGCGGTTCTCACTGTGGCAGTAACTTTGGCTCAATGTGGCTTGCTGTCCCTCCACGATCCGAAGCTCTCTCTTCCCACTCTATCAGGATCTTCTGTGGTCGCTTCTGCTATGCTGCTGTGTCACCCGCTCTCCTCGTTCAATAAAACTCTCGTTTTGGGTCGCCCCTCCACTACCCACACACTCGTCTTCCTCCCATCCCTTTCTCCAGGCTCTCCTGGGGTCGCTCCTTCTCTGCTGCTGTGTCGCCCTGCTCTTCTCCCGTCGCCCGCGTCGATGACCTTAGAGTGATCAGCAAGACCATCCAAGACCGTCACGCAACACGGCTATCACACTCGCTCCCTGCAATGATCCACCCACCACACAGCAGTTGTGAGGGGCGTCTGTGTGGGGAGGGGCCACCGCACATTGCCCTCATGGGAATGAATACATGAATAATGAATGTGAGCCGTTTGTCGTGCTTCTCTTGAAAGCATGGGCCATTGATACAGCAGCGTTGGCTGACTGCAACATTATGTTACCATACAAGGGGACGCACGCTGTATATAGTACTGTTTTATCCGAGCAAGTGTACAGTGCCTTCTTGTCTTTTCCAGACAACATATCTGTGACATACCGATCGCACTCTATACCAACTGGAAGGACTTCCTTCCTTTGTTTCACAAATGTTGTGAACGACGTTTTCCCGCGACCCTTGCAGTACTACAGCCACCAAGACTCCCTACGCACAGCTTTCCTGGCTCTGGCACATTGTCCTACAACAGCACCCCATCTAGAGCTGCTGCTTGTACAGTCTGTACGCCTTAGGTTGTACACTACCCTGCAGGTTTCTGCTGCAGGCGATTAGCCATCAGTGAAGCTCCAACCCTTTTCCAGGACAAGGATGTGCGGGTTGTAGACACACGCTGAACAAACTTTTCGTAACAGAAGTGCTACATGTTTCTATTCTTATTCTTGGACAACATAGTCGGAACTTAAGTGTACCTACATGCAGCTCTCCTGGCCCTCGCACATTGGCCTATAGCATCCCATCTCCTCATGCCCTGCTGCTTGTACTGATTAAACACCTCAGGCTTGACACACTCTGTCCACACGTTGCATCCTCCAGGTTTGTGCAGCATACAGTTTGCAAATGCATAACTCGGCCCGTTGCCCAAGTCCAGGTTGTATAGACGAGTCGTGAAGCCATGTGCATTGTTGTCAGCACACATACCCTGTGTGAGTTGCAGAGTAAGAAATAGCCGGTGATGAGAAGAGACGGAGTGGTAGGTTGTAACAGTGATTGTACATACTTGATTGCTGTGTGAGAAATCATGGAATTTGAGGAGTTCGCGGATGCAGCAAGGAAATTGCATAATGAGCTTAAGCAGGAAATAGCTGAAAGACAGGAGTGAACACTATTATAAGTTTCCAGATATTCTAAAGAAAATATGTCCAGCCTGTGAAGACCATGATACACTCTGGACTCCAGCTGAAGGTTCCCAGCTCTCCACACACTCAGTCTTTTTTTAAAGAATTAACTCGTTAAACAGCATAATCGCAGCCCTCTTTACCATTCTCCACCACGCCAATCCATGTACTGTAAAAACACCCTTCCACTATTCTTTCAGAGTAACTCCAACTCACCTGTGGGAATCGAATGCCGTTTTGCACTCCTGCTGAATCGCCCCAGCTCTCCACATACTCAGCCACAAACACCGCCTTGTTGCGAAGAATAAACTCGTTGGCGGTGTCGCAGCCATACTTGCCACTGTACCACTCTCCACCGCTCCAATCCGTGTACTGGTTGCACTCTTCCAGAAGGGCCCAGTCAAACAGATTGGCCATGTAAACAGGAGCGAGGGAGCCAGCGTTCTTGAGACCCACAGACATGCCGTACCTGACAAGTAAGGGTAATCATGGACATGATTAAAGCAACTGATTGATGTATTTGATAAGAAACGGCGGCGAAAGGGGGCGAAGGGGGAGGGGGAGAGGGTTTGATTCGATTGGAAAGGTGCGGCAAAAAGGAAAACGGAGGAAGCATGTGGGCTTTTCAAAACCCGGGTAAGTGTAAAATTCTTATAGGGAGGCTTATATGGCATTCCTGAAGAGAAAAAAAAAAACGGTACCGTGTGGATGGAACGGTTGGCATTCCTGGGGCAAGATCACTTACTGCACTGGCTCATATATTTGGTGGACTCATAGCAATTGGTCTGGACTGTAGAGCCATTATGTAGACTCAGGGGTTGGTTTGGACAGTAAAGTCACTCTTACTAGCCACTGCAAACTTTTCTGTGAAATTCTTACCTTCTACCTGTTTCAATACCATTTCTAGCCGAACCTGTACCAAATTTCCCACAGGTCCTTTAGCCAGCAGCGTAACTGAAGCAGCAAACAGGCAGACTCACTTGTGCACTGTATTCGCAATCCACGTGTTGAAGTTGATCTGATCCTTTCTTGTGATGGTGAAACGGCTGATGGCTTTAACCATGATGTTTCCGTTGTACGCATCCACATTGTCCGGCTCGATGCCGTCACACCCCTTGCGCTTCGCCAGCTGTCAAAGGGATGGGAAAAGCGATCAGAGTTTAGGGTTTCGGGTCGATGGGGCAAGTCAGGACTTGGACCACGAAAGACTGACGGAAAAGATGGTCTCTCACGTACTTTGCTCGAGCTATGCGTGTTTGATGCGCAATCCGCTCAAAGACCTGCTTGAAACTCTTCGTACCTGAATCCGCTTTTCCAGTATTTGACGCACAGCAGTCGTCTTCACGTCCAACCATCGCTCACCCTGCCATGCTTGCGAGCAGTCCTCGCTCTGCCATGAAGAAGAGCAGATTCGAAGGTAGAGCGATGAAGGGCTGATGTTAGAGACCGAAGCTCGTTACGTCAGCTCGTGAATGAATGATCGAGTTCCTGACATAAATCTTGGAAAAATAGTGAAAATAATCAACGTGTAGAAGCTCCTTGCATTCCGACTCACCTGACAAACCAATCCACCGAGAGTGGATCTCGGAAATTGGTTGTAGTCGCTGCGATAATCCTCGGCAGTCCCGAAGCTGAAGTAGCAAAACACCTTCTTTCCCATCGTTTTCAACCTCGATATAGTGCTCGCCGACACGCTGAACCCGTCAACATCGAATATCTTCTCATTATGCGACGATGTGTCGAAGTTTGTGTCAGAAATTTGCCAGTAGAAGGACGTTCCCGGGGTGGGAACGTACCATCCGTTGCTCGTGACGTTAACAGCGAGACAAGCGGTGACGAATGTCAGAGAGACGACCACGCGAAAGATTTGTGCGACTATCGACATGGCGGTAGAGTTGTAGTGTTTGAGAGGTGCCGAGGCGGTACTTCGTCGCGCGAATTGAGTCGTGCAGGTAATGTAAAAGGTGGAAAAAATTGGTAATCTGTCTTTGCCATGGCCAATGCATCTGTTTATAAGCGTTCAATCATCGTCGCCTCGGCGCTTCGGCTTGTGTGCCTGCCGAACCGCAGCGGGAAACAGCGATACTGTGACAGCCACTCGAAGCGCTAAAGGAACCTTCATGGCTAGCATAAACCAACAATCCATTTCTCCAATCCTCATGCCACGTGGCGAAGCGCGTTGTTCCTTTGATAGCGACGCTCCAGTGATCATGATGTTCTGTCTTCGCGTTGAAAGAATTATCCTGAATGGTAGTAGAAAATTATTGGTGGTGCGTGGTTAGTGGAGGAAGCCGATGAGCAAGGCGCAGGCAGAAGCGACGTCGCCTGCTTCGCCCTAAGTGCGACGTCGCTCCTAGCTGCACCTTGCTCTCGCTTTCCTGTTGCTGAAGCTTGATGTGGGGGGGTTGAAGATTGAAATGCAGAGACCCCCCAGACATGTAGCCGTTACGGTCTGACAACCGAAATTCATAATGGGTTGTACTGTACCTTATTTTGCCTGTGTGTACTCGAATAACTCAGCAACAATAGCGGATCCATGTGGCCCATACACTTCCTCTCAGGTCGGTTTCGGGGGGGAGAAAATTGTTGGTCGCCTGATTTCTTCCATCTCCCCATCGGCTGCATGATGCGCTGAATTCTGCTGCGTGTAACACACTCCTACAAGCTGCTCGCAAAAGGCGAAGAACTGGGGTTTGCGAACAACTCGCCCCAGCTAGACAATCGCGAGCTCATCGAGCGATATCTCGTGAGCTGGTTACTTCGGCGAGAAACGGCTTGCCGCATCTCGCAGCCCACGTTCGACGCCCTATGGAACAAAATCCAACTTTTGCTCCCTGCCTGTTATCCCAGCGACGTCGAGATCAGAGTCCAGAATTCAACAGACGTAGATTTTCTAGGAGAGTTTCCATGAAACTCGCTTCTGTTTGCCACGTGGCAAGGCGTTGCTTGGCTTAGGAAGCATGGCTGACGCTCGCTTGCGACTCGTTCCACCCGACGGCACACGCCAAATATATTATATATTCTCAATTTGTACTCTCTCAGTGTGTTCACAAGAAAGCCGATTACTTGACGGAACTTTGCTAAGCTGATACGATCGATACGAAACAGCTTCAATGGCCCTATGTCGCGTTTGTCCTAGCATCCTCGCCTTCCTTGCCGTTCTTTCAATGTGCCATTCTGGGAGAGCGAACGGGTGGTATGTGCCGAAACCAGGGACCACGTTCTTCTGGCAACTAAGCGGAAGTGACGCTGGTACTAATTACCATTCGTTTTCTTGTTCGCAATCGCTCGTTCGAAAATCTCCATTGCGTTTAGCTTCATGTTGCGGATCCTAGTATTTTCGCATTGTTAGTCACCCGTTATCTCTATCTCCCTCGTACAATGTACTAGAAATCATCACTGGCCTCGAAGTTCTGATTGTTTGCTCTTTTTTTTTTTTTTGGAACTTTCTAGACGTGGATCCATCAAACTCGGCGAAGGTTTACACCGTTGACTCCAGCTTAACTGCGAAGAGCATCGCGAAACTTCGCAACGCGGGAAAGGCGGTGATGTGTTACATCAGCTTCGGGACCGCCGAGGATTACCGCAGCGACTACAACCAGTTCCCGAAATCCGTTATTGGGGGACTCACGTGCAGGGTATGGTACCTGATGTTGACCAAATTTATAGGTCTGCAGACATTTCGGTTTTCTTTTTGCAGGTTCTTGCGAATCACGAATCGAATGTATTGCGAAACACTTTCGTTCTTGTCATCTTTGTGTCACTACTGCGTCTGAGCAGAACGAGCAGTGCACGGAGGTGTGGCCTGGGGAGAGGTGGTTGGACATCAAGAGCCCCATTGTCAAGACGATCATGGAGAAGCGCATCAAGGTGAGGCATTTGCAGCTCCCTGTCTGTCAAGCGCCTGCGATTGGAGAAGCGCATCAAGGTGAGGCATGCGAAATCAACTTGTGGAATTAATGCGATGCTGTGTTGCAATGCTGAACAACATTAAACCTCTGAGATGTAATGGCGTAGCTCTTATCTGCAGAGCTGCACCATGCTGCATCTCTGCACGGTAAAACTTACCACGAGCTCCTATGTCAGTAACTTCTGTCTGAACCTCCTGAATTCTGCATTCCATCCCCTTCTTGTTTCTTTATTGCATGTCAGTTGGCGAAGAGCAAGGGGTGCGATGGGGTTGACCCTGACAACATCAATGCGTATTCAAACAACATTATGGCTCAACCCATCAGCCGATTCACCATCACTGCTGATGACCAGTTCAAGTACAACTCATGGATCGCCAACATTGTTCACAAGTGAGTCATGTCGTCAGGTGTAAGCCTATCCTAGCACAATCACTGTGCCAATCCGCTCAATATCATGCCTCAACTCGTCAGCCAATTTACTATCACTGCAAATGACCAGTTCAAGTACATCGCATGGATCGCGTACACAATTCACAAGTGGGTCATGTCTTCAAGTTTAAGTCTTTCCTAACTTGGAGCTGGTGTAGTCCCTCCCCCGGACCCCTGCCCCTTTCCCCCCTCCACTTTACACAGATCCTTTCACTCTAGATGCTTATCCGCCACGCTTCCAGCCCCACGAACAATTCCCTTCTAGCCCAACCTATGCCCCTCCTCCCACCCTTCTTCCCTCTCGTCGTCACATGCTCCCTCCCCCTTCCCCCCTGAATCTTAGTGGTTCTCACAAACCAAACAATCGCTCCCAACAATCATAGTGGTTCACTCCCCCCTCCCAACAACAACCCTAAACCCCAACAATTTTTTCTCCTCCTCCCCTTCTCCCCGCCTCCCGCATCATGTACGGCATGTCAGTGGGTCTCAAGAACCCCAGTGCTCTAACCTTAACTATCAGATCCTTTTCCTCCCCGCTTCCCCTTCCCTCACCAGGTACGGCATGTCAGTGGGTCTCAAAAACCCCGGCCCGCTCGCCCCCTCCTTCATGGCAAACCTCTTTGACTGGGCGATCATCGAGAGCTGCATTTACTTCAGCGACTTTAGCAACAGCGCGTGGTACAAAGGCAAATACCAATGCGATTTTTCCAACGAGTTCATTGTGCGCAACAAGGCCGTGTTCTCTATCGAGTATAAGGAGCTCTGGGGCACGTCTGCGGGCCAAGTGAACGGCATCGCATTCCCACAGGTCAGTGTGATGGTAGCTAAACACAATATTCCCAGCATATGGTTAGCCAGACGCAAGGTGAGGGTCAATCAATTGCAGGGTTCGTGATGCCCTTCTCTGGCCAAATGCTTCTCTAAAGCATTTGGTCCCCTTCTTGCGCTATCTGTCCAGAGCATGGGTGCAGCCATCACATAGCTTCAACACCACTCTATTTGAGAATGAAAGAATATGAGACACTGCTCACCTCCTTCCATCGTTGTTCCACCTCTCGTTTATACATACCATGTGTTTGATCAGCAATTTCCATGCACTCAACTTCAGCCTTTCCAAAATGAAACTTCTGAGGGATTCAAATTTCACCCCTTCCCGCTCCTCTCCACTTTTTCACTCCCCTCTCTCACATCAGGCCATGTGTGCAATCAGCAACGCTCACGGCTTCAACACCAATCTCTGCAGCTTTTCCCTCGGCACCGGCCCTCGCTACCCCTTTGCCAACTGCCTTCTGCACAAGCCTGCAGGGTGTGACGATGTGTGGAAGGAGTGTGTGAAGCAGAGTGTGTATGCGCAGTACAAGCAGCAGGGCATGGCTAGGTGGGATGCTGTCGGGCAGTGCATGAGGGCTAGGAGAGCAGCTTGCAAATACAAGGCTTGAACAAGGAGGGAATATCATTTTCTTAAGTTCATAGCTGGGAGGGAGAACGCGTCGGAGAGACTGCAATAACTAGGGTTAGCCGGCACAACCATGTGTGTAGTGTAGTGTCATTGTACAGTTAGGCTTTTGCCATTGCTTTATTGGTTCAATTGTGGCGTACAGGTGTGAGCCACCGGTGGTGCGCAAATGGACCAGATCGGTCGGATCAACTGGGCTGGACAGGATTCGGAACTGGATTGGGAACCGGGTATGTGGGGTGGGAACCATATTGGACGTATAAACTGGGCCGGAACTGGGAAACTGGATCATCTGGGCTGGAATTGGGAAACCGGATCAATCGGAAGGGGAACAGGATGGACCGGATCAAAATGTACCGGATGTACTAGGTGGTATGGGGAGATGATGGTTGAGATGTTGGTGAAGGATGCCATATGCAGTATACGTAGTAAAGTGAACTCCAAGCACAGGAGGTAAAGAAATTCCCTACTGACGATGTAACATAGGACAGTCGATGTCATTTGGATAGATAGGTTGGCCTGGTTACCGTAGCTCAATATCGGAATGAAGGTTCTTGTTCTGCCATGCTTGCTGGCACGTGGATCATCCAATCATATCGACTATAAGAGATTTCGATTGAACAACCGAGATTAGAGGCATCTGCCATCCAGGAATCCATTGGATGTCCAAGCAGCTCTACAGTACGCTCGAGCGTCCAGGGAATCCTTCCTACGCACGTCCCATTGGAAGAGACGCAATTCTCGAGGCGCGCTGCAAACACCGCGGCGCAATTTTCGTCTTTGTTTCAGCCCGTCGTCACGCGACACGACGCTGCGCCTAGACCGATTAGCATGCCACGCCACTTGATGCTGGCATCAAAACACGCGTCCCATCCAAACCAACAGTCTGCCCCGCCTTGCCTGTCTGTCTGCCCAAACCCGAAACTGCCGTTCCCCTCAGAGCTGCTCCACTTCGGCTTCCCCAACCAAACACCAGAGCCGAGCCACCACCCAACCACCACAGGCAGCGGAGGCAACCGCGGAACCGCACCCGCAAGGTCTCCCCCATGCGCACCCCTCCGGACCTACTACACCTTCTTCTTGTTATTTTTCTCGCTGTCCGCCACGTCGCAAGTACGGTAAAGTGTGAACTTGTAGACCGTAATACCGAGTTTTCCCTTGGGTTTACCTGTTTTATCATGCACCCAAATCAAACCTGGTAGTTAGAGGAGGTGAAACAGAAGAAGATTCATTACTATGCAGGTATAATGGATAACAATATACATCTTGTATAACTTTCCATAAATGAGCAACTAAAAGAAGAAAGAACAGGCTTTTGAAGAAACCGAACCACTACACTACAAGATCTATGCAAAGAATATACAAGAGAGTTTACAATATATCCAATGGAGCTAATGAGCCCAGGATATAGCCGAGAGAGCTGTATCTATGTATCTATTGAGACAAACTCTCCACTCCATATAAGAGTGACTTTGATTTATCTTGAATAAAGGAGTTCTTCATAACCTCTATTTTTTCTCTTTTGTCATAGTTATGTGCCCTAGAATTCCTAGGTGAGCAGCTGTGATCTTGCACACCATAAGCTTTGGCCGAAACTTATTTTGCTCAAACACCACTTTACATTTATATGCATTTTTTTTGCGTTGCATGGAATATGCTATTTTGTAAAACCAACCCCTATTGTTTTTTCACCGTGGTTAATGCGGGAAGATCGCCCCCTTTTTAAAGAAGTAAATCTCCAAGTATCCAAATCATTATAGATTTCTCAAGAAGTAGAACTTTTTTTGGAGGTTTTATTTTAAAACATTTTTAGGTTAGAGATAGTAAGACATTTCCAGGAAGGGTTTTACTGCAGACTGACGTATGTTTGACTATAGAAAGTATGTTCACTGACAAGAAAGAATCTCTGGTTTAGCATTGTGAGAGGCTTCAAGAGGTAGCACACCGCAGGTTGGATGACAGGGGAGTTAAAAAACGGTATCACGACTATATGAAAGTTTGGGTGTAACTCTGTCTAGCTTCCGCCGCCATTCGTCACCACAGCTGCCCCTTACCAACCACTTTCTTTCCCGTCATTCACGGGCTCAACGCGCCCTTTGGTGTGGTTGTCGAACAACCACCAGCCAAACCCCGAACTTGACACACCAAACTCCTACTGACATTTATGAGTAGGTAGGTAGTGTTCTCTCAATGAACTTTGCGGTCTCGAATTTCACAACAGAATGAGCGATGGTCAATCCTTGGCGCTGGTTTTGTCATCATGATATTTTCTTGTGAAATGTGTGTTGGGGCTGGAGGTTTAGTGCAACAAAGGTTCAATGAATCACGGTGCGCTCAAATTTCGAGGCTTCACAGAACACGCCCTCCGCTTTTTTGAAAGCATTTCAAATGTTTCTCGATTTCTCCGACGAAGTTCTGTAGAGCCCTTACCAGTACTGTTTTTCTTCGCATAATATTTAGGCCCTGTTCGGCAGGCATTAAAAAACCGGTTCCCCGTATGGGCTACATTGAAGTGACCACCCTTGAACCTTCGTTGATAAGCGCGCAAAAGGTTATCTAGGCTCGATATAAGCGGATCATCGCCGAACCAGACAATAATGGAATGCCAGCCGAGCACCCCCTTTAACGCTGGCATTTTTTCACAAGAGGAACCTTCCTCGAACCCTTTTTCTCAGGCAAACTGTCCATTTTCTCATCCGCCGCACCATGCGGCCTCGAGGTCCCGCACCATGCGGGGGATCATTGATTCGGGGCAATCTCACTTTGCCATGAAAAAAACAGTCTGTTTCTTGGGGCCATTTTTTCCCGAAGTTTCACTGCAGCTACAGACTGTTTCTGGGGCCATTTTTTGGGGGCCCATTAAAAATGCCCATAATGGCGATAATGGCCATAATGCCTGCCGAACAGGGCCTTAGCGTTCAGGGTTTCCACTTACGTTCCCTTTCTTCGTCCCCTTCCAGAGTCACGAGAATAGGGACTAGGGAGGGTGCACTGAGGATCGGCCTTGGTAAATAAATAGAAGCGAAATTGCTCGTTTCCTCCGTGAAAACCGTCAGTGCGGTGCTAGTTCAGGGCTCGGTACTCAATTTTCTTGAGCCACATTGCACAGAGCTCGTCAATTGGTGCTCCCTTCATAGGTAGTCGTATCTTGAGCCGACTCTTTACTCAACTTCAAACGTCACCTGTCTAGGAAACGTAATTAGGTAGTTTGTACTGAGACCATGGCGGACGTAGACGTAGCCGGTCTAAGCGCCGGAACCACGCATACTGGCGTGACCGGCGGCGGTAGCGTGCCCACTGCGCGCCGATATTCTCTAGGCATTGTGAAGCCTGACGGCGCGGGGGGAGATGCCGGCGGCACGAAGGTGCTGAGCTCAAAATCGGAGCTTAAAGACGCGCTGACGGCGTTTCAGCAGACGTTCGTCATGTGCGACGCGACGAAGCCCGACAACCCTATCATGTTCGCCAGCGAGGGGTTTTACCAGATGACGGGGTACACAGCGCAAGAGACTATCGGCAAGAATTGGTGCGTATTACGGGGGTTACCAATTTATGAAGCGCAGCAATTCTATCATGTTCGCCAGAGAGGGGTTAAATCAGATGTGTTACGCAGCGCAAGAACTGGTTAGTCTCACTCCGTTCTATTGTTTTTAACATCTCAATAACAGTGATTTGGTTCGCATAGCCCTTTTTTTTTTTTTTTTTTTTTTTTTTCCACCGGCACATTGAGCGTGCGTGAGAGAGACATGACATTGCGTTTTGACGACACATAAGTTTTCACAATGAAAGAGGTCGAAGAGGGGGCTTCGTTTACGGAGTTCCCAAGGCAGAGGTGGCGGAGCTACGCGCAGGGTCGTGACGGGGGGGAAAGCGGTTGCGGAGAAGAGATGGTGGGGGTAGAGCTAGCGCGGGCTGCTCTTAAGGTCCGCTTCACTTCCGTCGTTCCCCCAACTTCACATTCTTTTCTCCCTTCCTTCCGCCAGTCGTTTTCCGCATGGTATGGAGACGGACAAGGCGGATACACGAAGCTACGCTGCGTGCGGTAGTGGGGACAGGAAATACCTCTCCTCAATCCTCTCCTTCCCCCCTCCCCTCCTCTTCGCGCTCCTTCCTCTACTCCCCCCCCCTCCCCCACTCCGTTCCCCCCCCGGCGCCGCGTTCTCCGCTCGGCGCCCTCTCTCGCGCAGTCGTTTTCTGCAGGGCGCGGATTTGGAGAAGGCGGAAATTGCGAAGCTGCGCGCGGCAGTGGCCGTGTGGGAGAGCTGGTGAAAAGTATGCTGACCCGCCTTTCTTTCCCACATGTCCTCATCCCCCTCCTCCCCCTCCCTCTCCCCGCGCGCGCGCAGTCGTTTCCTGCAGGGCGCGGACACGGACAAGGCGGAGGTCGCGAAGCTGCGCGCGGCAGTGGCGGCGGGGGAGAGCTGGTGCGGTCGACTGCTCAACTACAAGAAGGACGGCTCGCCCTTCTGGAACCTTCTCACCGTGTCGCCCGTTAAGGACGACAATGGGACGGTTGTTAAGTTCATCGGGTGCGTGACTGTATCGAGTGTGATTGTATCGAGTTTCTAGGTAATTGCTCGTCTTCCAATAGGACGGCTCGCCCTTCGGGAACCTTCTCACCGTGTCGCCCGTGAAAGACAACAGCGGAACGGTCGTTAAGTTAATCGGGTGAGCGGCTGAAAGTGATGTGTCGCCCTTCTGAAGCCTTCTGACCGTGTCGATGATAAAAGTTCGTTGACTCTCTCGACGCATTGCCGCAAATGCCAGCATTGACTCGTATATCAGCGTTTATCCGCAAGTGTCACTATCCATCCGTAAATGCCAGAAGTTTTTTTTTATCAATGTCAGCGTTTGTTTGCCGGAAATGTCATGTCAACATTTCCGTCAATGCCAGCATTTCCGTCAATGTCAACATTTCCGTCAATGCCAGCATTTCCGTCAATGTCAGCATTTCTGTCAATGCCATCATTTTCGTCAATGTCAGCATTTCCGTCAATGGCAGCATTCCGTCTATGTCAGCTTTACCGTCAATGTCAGCATTTCCGTCAATGTCAGCATTTCCGTCAATGTCAGCATTTCCGTCAGTGTCAGCATTTCCGTCAATGTCAGCATTTCCGTCAATGTCAGCATTTCCGTCAATGTCAACGCCCCGAATAACTGCTGACGTTGACGGAAATGTCAGCATTTTTCTGCAAATAGTTCCAACATTGTTTCGTCAATGTCAGCATTTATTTAATTTTCCAGCATTTTCATACCGATAACCATACATGTTTGCACTTGTCCGTAAATGTTAACCCATAGCACCGGAAGCAGCAAGTGCATAACTCTCATATTCCCCTTCTTCACTCCCTTTCTCCCTCCTTTCCTCCCTCTCCCTTCTTGTACCCTCTTTTCCCTACCTGCAACATGCAGGTGGACGCGACCATTTACACCTCTCACTACCTTTCTCCCTTTCCCCCTCTGTGCCCGCTTCCCCAACCCCAGCATGCAAGTGGAGGTGACAAAATACACGGAGGGCGCAAAGGACAAGGAGACGCGCCCCAACGCGCTTCCCGTCTCGCTTATTAAATATGACGGTACGTTTCGTTCAGAGCTTTTCGTTTGTGTGTATGTGTGTGTGTGTGTGTGTGTGTGTGTGTGTGTGTGTGTGTGTGTGTGTGTGTGTGTGTGTGTGTGTGTGTGCTGGGTTTACCCCACTCCCCTTTTCCTGAGAGGAACCGGAGAGAACAGCGTCTGAGCTGGCGGCGAAGGTGGGAACCGTGTTGACCGGAGGTGGGAACAAGTCTATTCGCCTACTTGGGTCCCTTACCTCCCCCTCTTCTTTCCACCACCCCCCCTCTTCCACTTCCCAACACAGCCCGCCAGAGGGAGGAGGCGGAGAGCACAGTGTCAGTACTGGTGGCGGAGGTGGGGAACAAGCCTCCACTCTCTTACCCCACTTCCTTACCACGTCCTCCCTCTCCCCCCCCCCCCCCCCCCCCCTCCTTTTCCCCCCTCCGCCCCCTCCTTTTTCCCCCTCCCTCCCTCCCCAACACAGCCCGCCAGAGGGAGGAGGCGGAGAGCACAGCGTCTGAGCTGGTGGAGGAGGTGGGAAACAAGCCTCCGCACCCCTCCCCCCCCGCCCCCCTTCTTGTTGACCTCTTTCCTTATTACCCCCTCCATTCTCTCAACTCTCGTTATTCCCCAGCCCGCCAGAGCGAGGAGGCGGAGAGCACAGTGTCAGTGCTGGTGGCGGGGGTGGGAAACAAGCCATACCCCTCTATCCATGTAGACCCCTCATCTTCCCCCGTTCCACCCCTTTTTCCCCCAACCCCTTTTGGTTCTTCCCCCAACCCCTTTTGGTTCTTCCCCCAATACAGCCCGCCAGAGGGAGGAGGCGGAGAGCACAGTGTCAGAGCTGGTGGCGGAGGTGGGGAACAAGCCCCTGCTGGCGGAAGGGGGGGAGGCGGAGGGCGGAGCGCAGCCCCCCAAGGCGGAGGGGGAGGGGTCGGGGGGAGCAGCGGTGGGGGCGGATGGGAAGAGCGGGCGTAAATCAGGACTCATGTCTCTGCTCTCGTGAGTTGCACCTGTGTTTGACCCTTTGAGAGGGGGGAGGGGACGATTCTTGTCCTGTCTGACACGCTTGTCCCATGTGGAAATCCGGGCTTATCTCTCTGCTCTCGTGAGTGGCACACCGACTTGTTTGTCGCATGGGTCGCATGGTTCTTCCATCATTTCTGTAACCAGCTAGTTGCTTAGGTTGTGAGCCGGCAATGGAGGCGGTGGAGGAGGAGGTCGGGGCCGACCACAAGGCAAGGAGGGGGAGGGCTGTCCTTTGCATTCTCCGCTCTTTCCCTCTTCCCACTCTCCCCCTCCCCCCTCTCCCTCCCCCCTCTCCCTCCCCCCTTTCCCTCCCCCCCTTTTCTTCCCATCCGCGCAGCAAGAAGGAGCGCTCTGAGCCGGCAATGGAGGCAGTGGAGGAGGAGGACGGTGGGGACCACAAGGCGAGGAGAGATGGGGGCTTGACTAACCATGACTCCTACCCGATTCCCTTTACCCCCTGCATTTCCGCACACACAAACAGCAAGAAGGAGCGTTCGGAGCCGGCAATGGAGGCAGTGGAGGAGGAGGACGGGGGGGACCACCAGGCGAGGAGGGAAGGCTGTCCCTCATACTTACTCTCTCCTTCCATCCCCTGCCCCTCCTCTCTCCCCCTCTCGCAGCAAGAAGGAGCGCTCAGAGCCAGCAATGGAGGCAGTAGAGGAGGAGGACGCGGGCGACCACAAGGCGAGGAGGGGAGGCTGTCCGACATACGTCCTCGCTCTTTTTCGCACCACTTCCCCCCCTCTCATCTTTACAGCAAGAAGGAGCGCTCTGAGCCGGCAATGGAGGCAGTGGAGGAGGACGCGGGCGACCACAAGGCGAGGAGGGGGCTTGACCTGGTACCCTCCTATAAGCAGCTCCCAACCCCTCCTCCCCCCTCCCACACGCTAACAGCAAGAAGGAGCGTTCGGAGCCAGCAATGCAGGCAGTAGAGGAGGAGGCTGTGGGCGACCACAAGGCGAGGAGGGAGAGGCTGTCCATCATACGTCCTCGCCCTCCTTCGCACCACTCCCACTCTCCCCTTCCCTCCCCTCTTTCCATGCAGCAAGAAGGATCGTTCGGAGCCGGCAATGGAGGTGGTGGAGGAGGAGGACGCGGGCGACCACAAGGCGAGGAGGGGCACCTTTGTACTCTCTTCCCATCCCTACTTTCCCATTCTCCCGTTCCCCTCTCCCAGCAAGAAGGAGCGCTCGGAGCCGGCAATGGAGGCAGTGGAGGAGGTCGCGGGCGATCACAAGGCGAGGAAGAGAGGCTTCATACTCCACTCCCATCCCTACTTTCCCGGTATCCCCTTCCCCTGTGCAGCAAGAAGGAACGCTCTGAGCCGGCACTGGAGGCGGTGGAGGAGGAGGACGCGGGCGACCACAAGGCGAGGAGGGGGCTTGACCTGGCGACCACGCTGGAGCGAATCCAGAAGAACTTTGTGATCACGGACCCGCGCCTGCCTGAGAACCCCATCGTGAGTTGATTGCAAGAAGATGAATGGGTATGAATGGGTTAAGGGCGGTGCTTGATGGTGCCTGTGGTGCAGTGGTTGAGGGCGAGGAGGGGGCTTGACCTGGCGACCACGCTGGAGCGAATCCAGAAGAACTTTGTGATCACGGACCCGCGCCTGCCTGAGAGCCCCATTGTGAGTTGACTGCCGGAAGTTGAATGGGTTTGAATGGGTGATGAGCGGTGCTTGATGGTGCGTGTGGTGCAATGGGTGAAGGGAGGAGAGGCCTGGACTTGGCGACCACGCTGGAGCGAATTCAGAAGAACTTTGTGATCACGGATCCGCGCCTGCCTGAGAACCCCATTGTGAGTCCAATTTGGCTGTGGCTGGTTTGATCAATGTGGCTGTGGCTGGGAGGGATGGTTTGCCACGGCTGTGATGAGTAGCTGAGTGGCTGGGAGTGATGGGAGTGAGCAGAGGCTTGACCCGGGAACAGGCTGACTGGAGCTATTTCATAAGTACTTTGTGATCACGGATCAGTTATGTGTCTTTGCTTGACAACCCCATTAAAAAATGTAATGCCTGATCACTCTATTCCGAGTTTGCGTGTCTCTGCTTCCCATCACGAACTTGTTTATATTCCGTGACCCTGTCTCTTTTAATGCGCTTATCAATCCTCTCTCAGACCACTCCTTCCCACCCTCCTCATCTGAACCATCCTCCCCGCCCTCCCCGCCCTCCCCCGACCTCCCCTCCCTCCCCGCCCTCCCACTCTCCCCTCCCCTCCCTCCCAACCTCCCCACCCCTCACTACCCTTTCTCACTCCCCACCCTGCCCTGTCCACTCTCCTACCTCTCCCTCTTCGTCATTGTCTCCTTCGTTGGCAGATCTTTGCATCCGACGATTTCCTTGAGCTCACAGAGTGCTCCCACGCTCCGAGCCCCAACCTCCCAGCCCCACACAACTCCTTGCCAGCTCGCTAAGCAACAACTCCCCTCCCTTCCCCACTCCTCTGCCATCCCCTCTGCGTGGGCAGATCTTTGCATCCGACGATTTCCTTGAGCTCACAGAGTACTCCCGTGAGGAGATTCTGGGGCGCAACTGCAGGTGAAAGCACTGTTTAGAGTTAGGGGTTCCAAGTTTCACTTATTACAGTACCGGTACTGGAAGGGCTTTGAGCTCACAGAGTACTCCCGAAAGGAAATTCTGGGCCGCAACTGCAGGTGAGGGCAGGGTTTCGGGTTTGGGGTTTGGTATGTGAGGGTTCAAAGCGTTGGGTTTAAAGCTGCTGGTAAAGGAAGAGACTTGCTTCTTTGAGCTGACAGACTGGTTTTCCTGTGTGTGTGACCTTGTTTTCTCATGGCATGTGCGGTGGTGGCATGTGCGGTGGTGGCATGTTCGGTGGTGGCATGCGCAATGGTGGCATGTGGGATGGTGGCATGGCAGGTTCCTGCAAGGGCCTGACACGGATCCCAAGACGGTGCAGAGGATTCGAGATGCGATCAAGAAGGAGGAGGATATTACAGTGCAGCTTCTGAATTACACTAAGTCAGGTGAGTGGAATAGCACGCCCCCCTCTTTCCCCTCTCTCCTTCCCCCTTCTCTTTGTCATCCCTTTTGTGCATCCTGTCTAATTCTCTGCCACTATGCATAGCTCCCCTCCCCACTCGTCTCATCACACCCCGTCTGCCTCTCCTCTATGCCTATTTCATCTGTGCCCTCTTACCACGCTGCGTTGGTGCTGCAGGCAAGCAGTTTTGGAATCTCTTCCATCTGCAGGCCGTGCGCGACAACAAGGTACGTGGCAGTGCAGAGCGGTGCAGAGTGGTGTAGAGTGGTGTAAGGTGGTGCAAGTGGTGTAGAGTGTTGTGGGAAGTGTGTTTTTGTATGCGAGGAGTAGGTATCTGTGCACACATGTTTCACCCATTTTTACTTGTCTCACCTCTGTTCACCTGTTCCACCTCTCTCCATTTATATCTCTCCTCAACAGGGCATGCTGCAGTATTTCGTTGGAATGCAGCTGTTCAACTCTGTTCACCTCTGTTCACCTCTTGCCACCACTGTTCACCGCTCTGTCTTCCTCTAACAGGGCATGCTGCAGTACTTCATTGGAGTGCAGCTGGACACCTCCCAGTATGTCGACCCATACATCCACGGGCTTCAGGCACCTCTACTCACCCCTGTTCACCCCTTTTCACCTCTTCTCACCCCGTTTCACCACCTCTCACCGCATCTCACCCCAACAGGGCATGCTGCAGTACTTCATCGGAGTGCAGCTGGACGCCTCCCAGTACGTGGACCCCTCAATCCACGGGCTTCAGGAGAAGCTGGCTAAAGAGGGAGAGAAGATTGTGAGTGCCGCGAGTTGCCATGCATGTTGGCATGTGTTGTATCCGTGCACATGTGTGCCTCCCAGTACGTGGACCCCTCAATCCACGGGCTTCAGGAGAAGCTGGCTAAAGAGGGAGAGAAGATTGTGAGTGCCGCGAGTTGCCATGCATGTTGGCATGTGTTGTATCCGTGCACATGTGTGCCTCCCAGTACGTGGACCCCTCAATCCACGGGCTTCAGGAGAAGCTGGCTAAAGAGGGAGAGAAGATTGTGAGTGCCGCGAGTTGCCATGCATGTTGGCATGTGTTGTATCCGTGCACATGTGTGCCTCCCAGTACGTGGACCCCTCAATCCACGGGCTTCAGGAGAAGCTGGCTAAAGAGGGAGAGAAGATTGTGAGTGCCGTGAGTTGCCATGCATGTTGGCATGTGTTGTATCCGTGCACATGTGTGCCTCCCAGTACGTGGACCCCTCAATCCACGGGCTTCAGGAGAAGCTGGCTAAAGAGGGAGAGAAGATTGTGAGTGCCGCGAGTTGCCATGCATGTTGGCATGCGTTGTATCCGTGCACATGTGTGCCTCCCAGTACGTGGACCCCTCAATCCACGGGCTTCAGGAGAAGCTGGCTAAAGAGGGAGAGAAGATTGTGAGTGCCGTGATTTGCCATGCATGTTGGCATGTGTTGTATCCGTGCACATGTGTGCCTCCCAGTACGTGGACCCCTCAATCCACGGGCTTCAGGAGAAGCTGGCTAAAGAGGGAGAGAAGATTGTGAGTGCCGTGAGTTGCCATGCATGTTGGCATGCGTTGTATCCGTGCACATGTGTGCCTCCCAGTACGTGGACCCCTCAATCCACGGGCTTCAGGAGAAGCTGGCTAAAGAGGGAGAGAAGATTGTGAGTGCCGTGATTTGCCATGCATGTTGGCATGTGTTGTATCCGTGCACATGTGTGCCTCCCAGTACGTGGACCCCTCAATCCACGGGCTTCAGGAGAAGCTGGCTAAAGAGGGAGAGAAGATTGTAAGTGCCGCGAGTTGCCATGCATGTTGGCATGTGTTGCATCCGTGCTCATGTGTGCCTCTCAGTATCGACCCCTCCATCCACGGGCTTCAGGAGAAACTGGCTAAAGAGGGAGAGAAGATTGTGAGTGCTGCAAGTTACAATAATGCTGCGTGTTGTATCCGTCTGTACGCATGTGGTTAGCGACATGTCTGCAGTTCACTACACAAGCTACACAATCTCGTTGTGGCGGGGGAGAAGTGTTCGAGTTTCGCATATTGCGATGTTGCACCTGTGTGGTTACCGTGATAGCTTCAGCTTCTTTCAGTTTACCCCTCGTTACCCGGAAAACTGTGGAAGCAGCCAACAATCTGTAGGGCGCAGTCAGGGAGCCTGTTACCCTCTCCCACCCTCCCACCTCTCATTCACCTGCCCTTTTCCTCTCTCCTCCGCTGCCACTCATTCTCTTTTGTGCTATGTTTTATTCCCCGGTCTGTCCCCGGGCAGATCGTGGAAGCAGCCAACAATGTGGAGGGTGCAGTCAGGGAGCTCGCTGACCCTCTCCCTTGCATGTAGTGCTCCCTGTCGTTGACTTGCCCTCTCTCCTCCCTGCCTCCTCTCCCTGTGTGTGTGTCTGAACCCCCCTTCACCCGGCAGGTTGTGGATGCAGCCAACAATGTGGAGGGTGCAGTCAGGGAGCTCGCTGACCCTGGTGCTGTGAGTACAGTCTCCTCTCCTCCTCGCTCTCTCCTCCCTCTTCCCCATATCCCTTTCTCACTTCCGTCACCTCTTTAGTCCTTCCTCTCCTCTCCTCCTCTCCTCTCCTCTCCTCTTCTCTCCTCTTCTCTCCTCCCCTTCCCTCCTCTATCCCTCTCCCCATCCTCTCCCCCCCCCTCCCTCTCCCCCTCCTTCCTTCCTCCTTTTCCACCCTTGTCGCTTTCTCCTTTCCTGTTCTCTTTCCTCCCCCTCTTCTCCCCTCATCGTTCTCCCTCACTCCTACCTCCCTTTGCACTTCACCCTCCTTTCTACCGTAGCTCCTCCGTCATCCACCACTTCCGTCCTCTCCTCTGCTTCCACTGCTGCTTTTCATGCCCTCTTCCCCTCCGAGATTCCTCTCACCTGCTCCACCAAGGGCCTGTTCACGTGGCACCTGTGGAAGTCAATCGAGTCAACGCAAGTCAATCACAATCCTTCCTCCTCTCCCCTCCCCTACTCTCTCTGCCAGGCCCCTGGGGACCTGTGGGCGGTGCACACGGCGCCAGTGGCAATCAAGCCGCACAAGACTGGTGACCCTGCGTGGCAGGCCATTCAGGAGGTGAGCTGATTCGTTATGTAGAAATATATGCATTATGCACTGTATAAAGTATACGTTTGTGTGGATGTACATTTTCGCTTGTGCTTGCACTTGTATGTGCGCTTGCTTGCTCTTGGACGCGTGGAATTTGAATATCACTTTGTGTCATCTGTTGTGTGTGCGAGTGTTTGTGGGGGGGGGGGGGGGTTGTGTGCGTGCGTGCGGGCGTGCGTGCGTGTGTGTGTGTGTGTGTGTGTGCGTGTGTGTGTGTGTGTGTGTGCGTGTGTGTGTGTGTGTGTGCGTGCACGCGTGCATGCGCATGTGCGTGCGTGTGTGCGTTCACGTGCTGCGCCCACCAGGTGATCAAGAAGGACGGCAAGCTCAGCCTGAAGCACTTCCGACCAATCAAGCCTCTGGGCGCTGGAGACACGGGCAGGTGAGCGGGCAGTTTAGGGACGTCCGGTCGAGCTTAGAAATTGTGTGTGTGTGTGTATGTGTGTGTGTGTGTGTGTGTGTGTGTGTGTGTGTGTGTGTGTGTGTGTGTTGTGTGTGTGTGTGTGTGTGCCCATGCTCATCATTTGCCCCCTCCCTCCTCTCTGTTTCCCCCCCTTTCCCTTGTCCCCCATCCAGCGTGCATCTGGTGGAGCTGAGGGACACGAACCGTCTCTTTGCAATGAAGGCGATGGACAAGGAGGTGATGGTAAACCTGTGTGCTCCACTCTCTCTATGTGCTCTCTCCCTATCAGCGTGCATCTGGTGGAGCTGAGGGACACCAACCGCCTCTTCGCCATGAAGGCGATGGACAAGGAGGTGATGGTGAATCGCAACAAGGTGCACCGCGCCTGCACGGAGAGGGACATCCTGGGGCGCATCGACTTCCCCTTCCTGCCCACGCTCTACGCCTCCTTCCAGGTACGCCCTCCCTGCCTCCTTCCAGGTACGCCCTCCCTGCCTCCTTCCAGGTACGCCCTCCCTGCCTCCTTCCAGGTACGCCCTCCCTGCCTCCTTCCAGGTACGCCCTCCCTGCCTCCTTCCAGGTACGCCCTCCCTGCCTCCTTCCAGGTACGCCCTCCCTGCCTCCTTCCAGGTACGCCCTCCCTGCCTCCTTCCAGGTACGCCCTCCCTGCCTCCTTCCAGGTACGCCCTCCCTGCCTCCTTCCAGGTACGCCCTCCCTGCCTCCTTCCAGGTACGCCCTCCCTGCCTCCTTCCAGGTACGCCCTCCCTGCCTCCTTCCAGGTACGCCCTTCCTGCCTCCTTCCAGGTAGAGCCTGCACTGGGTAGCGCCTAGAACAGCAGGTGCCACCTGGGAGGTGATGGTGAATCGCAACAAGGTGCACCGCGCCTGCACGGAGAGGGACATCCTGGGGCGCATCGACTTCCCCTTCCTGCCCACGCTCTACGCCTCCTTCCAGGTACGACCTGCACTAGATAACGCCTAGTATTGCAGGTGGGTGGGGCCTTGAGCGGCACCTGGTGCATGGGGGAGCATCGGTAGAAAAAAACAGATTTCGGAGAAGCAGTAGGGGTGTTCAAGACTTGCCGCTTTCTCCTTCCTGATTCTCTCCTCTCCGTCCTTCACCCCACATCCCCCCAGACCGCCACCCACGTGTGTCTGATCACGGAGTTCTGCGCGGGTGGAGAGCTGTACGGCATATTGGAGAAGCAGAAGGGCAAGCGCCTGCCCGAGGCTGCTGCGCGCTTCTTTGTTGCTGAGGTGCTGCTCGCACTGGAGTACTTGCACTGCCACGGTGGGTTGATTTACACATGGCATGTTACCATGCATATGGAATGCATGTATGTATGAGTGGCTGATGGCTGTCAGGCTGCTGCGCGCTTCTTCGTTGCTGAAGTGCTGCTGGCACTGGAGTACCTGCACTGCCACGGTGGGTTGATTTGATATGTGAATACTGCAGGGTTCAGGGTGTAGGGTCGAGGGAAGGGCAAGCGCCTGCCCGAAGCTGCTGTGTGCTTCTTTGTGGCTGAGGTGCTGCTGGCGCTCGAGTACCTGCACTGCCACGGTGAGAGGGGAGGGGGGGTTGTGTGTGGTGCAGTGCACTGGGGTGTGGCGTGGACTGGGTGTATGTGGGGTGGTTCCTGTGGCCTGCTGCGCGCTTCTTTGTGGCTGAAGTGCTTCTGGCGCTGGAGTACCTGCACTGCCATGGTGGGTGGGTGGGTGCATGGGCTTCCAAGTCAAGGTGGGTGTGTGAGTAGCATGCAGTATGTGGCTGTGTCTGTCAGAAGTTCTGCTGACGTGCCATGCTCGCTGTCTTCAAACCCGAAATCATACCTGGAAACTCAAACCCTGCGTCTTCATTCCGTTATTTACCTTTTGACTCATTGCAGAGAAACTGAACGTGGCAGTGGTATATTGTTGACTTGAAGCCGGAAATTGTGTTGGTGCAGGAGTCAGGCCATGCCATGCTCACTGGTCTCTACCCATATCCATGTCCTTCAACCCACACCCATGATGCACAACAGGAGTGGTGTACCGTGACTTAAAGCCCGAGAACGTGTTGGTGCAGGAGTCGGGCCATGCCATGCTCACTGACTTCGATCTCTCCTTCACCACCGAGTGCAAACCCAAGGTACGTGCTTCTCCTGATTGCCTGCATTGACTCTGGTGACCTGCGTTGACTTATGGGCTGATTTCTATCTCTCCTTCACCACCGAGTGCAAACCCAAGGTACGTGCTGCTCCTGCAGAGCTGGAGCTGCTGCCCGTGCTCGTGGCCCAGCCAGAGGCAGGCAGGGCACTAGCAGAAGCAGAATCACTCTAAATCACCCATTTTCTGTACCGATTTTTGCCCATTTTCAACCCCATTCGAACCAACCCAGCTGGAGTTCCCCCCTGTGCCACCCGATATCGAGAAGCGCAAGAAGAAAGCCGCTCAGGTGGGGTGCGGAGGAGCAACCAAGGGTCCTTCCCCTGCAGAGCTGGAGCTGGAGCTGCTGCCCGTGCTGGTGGCCGAGCCAGAGGCGAGCAGGGCGCCAGCAGCAGCACTCTAATCCACCCAACTCCTGTACCCTTCACCCAAGGGCCCGTCCCCTGCAGAGCTGGAGCTGGAGCTGCTGCCCGTGCTCGTGGCCGAGCCAGAGGCGAGAAGGGCACTAGCAGCAGCACCACTCTGATTTCTGTACCGATTCTTGCCCATTTTCAACCCATGTCAACCCCATTCAAACCCACCCAGCTGGAGTTCCCTCCCGTCCCGCCTGACTTCGAGAAGCGCAAGAAGAAGGCCGCTCAAGTCGGGTGTGGCGGCGCCACCAAGGGACCGTCCCCTGCCGAGCTGGAGCTGGAGCTGCTGCCCGTGCTGGTGGCCCAGCCAGAGGCAACAGCAACAGCTATTACAGCTGCTTTTTACCCAACTCCTGCACCAATTCTCACCGTTTTTCACCCTGCTGAACCCCACCCTGTGCATTCACCAGCTGGAGTTCCCTCCTGTGCCCCCGGATTTCGAGAAGCGCAAGAAGAAGGCCGCCCAAGTCGGGTGTGGCGGGGCAACCAAGGGCCCATCTCCTATTGAGCTGGAGCTGGAGCTGCTGCCCGTTCTCGTGGCCGAGCCAGAGGCGACGAGCAACAGCTTTGTGGGCACGGAAGAGTATATCGCTCCGGAGATTATTAGTGGCACGGGACACAGCAGCCCCGTTGATTGGTGGACCTTCGGTGAGTCCGCTTTGTGCTTGGTTCTGACTAGTGCGGGCAGTAAGGTGGAAATCCGGCCACACAACCCCCGTTTCAATCGGAGACAGAGGCGACGAGCAACAGCTTTGTGGGCAAGGAGGAGTATATCGCTCCGGAGATCATCAGCGGTACCGGCCACAGCAGCCCCGTCGACTGGTGGACCTTCGGTGAGTGGCCCTCGTGTGTTGACGTGGTTAGTGTCCGGCAAGATGGTGGGGAGGATGCGGTGGAACAAATCTTCATTTCAATGGGAGCCAGCCAGAGGCGATGAGCAACAGCTTTGTTGGCACGGAGGAGTATATCGCCCCGGAGATCATCAGCGGTACTGGCCACAGCAGCCCCGTTGACTGGTGGTCATTTGGTGTGGGGCCCCCGTGTTTGGATCCAGCTAGTGTCGACCTTCAGTGACGGGTTTGCACCCTAGTGCTCGTGGGTTGATGAATGGACGCTGATTACTGAATGCATGTATGTCCTTTCCGGCGAGGTGTATGTTGCAATTTCATATCGATCCCCCCTCACCTCGCTCTCTTCGTTTCGGAATCTTTTCGGAAACCTCAGATTTGTTGTGCAAGGAATCTTCCTTTTGGAACCTTAGCTGTTTCTCACACGCCGTGTTCCCATGTTATCACTCCGTTCTTTCCAGGAATCTTCCTGTACGAGCTGCTGTACGGCCGCAGTCCCTTCCGCGGGCGCAACCGCCAGCGCACCTTCACCAACGTGCTCACTAAGGACCTCGCCTTCCCTGCTAACCCTCCGGTAAGACTTGTTTGCACTGACCAACAGTCACCAGGTCACCTCGCAATCGCCAGCGCACCTTCACCAACGTGCTCACCAAGGACCTTGCGTTCCCTGCCAACCCGCCGGTACGTCTATGGTTGGGTTGGCATTACTCCGCATAAAACAGTCACCACCAGCGCACAGTCATCCATTCATCCACTGCCAGGTGAAGGACGAGGCCAAGGACCTGATATGCAAGCTGTTGCAGAGGGACCCAGCGGACCGCCTGGGCTCAAAGGGAGAGCAAGTTTGTTCTGAGGCCTCTCATAGCGCACCTATATTCAAATATTCATTAATCCCTGAACGACAGGTGTCAGATGAGGCCAAGGACCTGATATGCAAGCTGCTGCAGAGGGACCCATTAGCTCATCAGCAGCTCATCAATTTCCCCCCCTCGAATTCCTTGCCTTAATGCCCCTCCCTGAACGACAGGTGTCAGACGAGGCCAAGGACCTGATGCGCAAGCTGCTGCAGAGGGACCCAGCGGACTGCTTGGGGCCTAAGGGAAATCAAGCTTGTTTTGAGACCTCTCATAACATACCTATTTTCGAACATTAACCAATCCCTTAATGGCAGGTATCGGACGAGGCCAAGGACCTGATGCTCAAGCTGCTGCAGAGGGACCCAGCGACTCATGAGCCCTTTCAACCCTGTTGCCTTCCCACTTTGCCTTCCTCCCCTCGGCCCCAAACCACCCACTGCCAGGTGTCAGACGAAGCCAAGGACCTGATGCACAAGCTGCTGCAGAGGGACTCATAAGCTCATTATCCATTTTTCCCCGTGCTTTCTTTCCAACCACCCAATCCCTGAACAACAGGTGTCAGACGAGGCCAAGGACCTGATGCGCAAGCTGCTGCAGAGGGACCCGGCGGACCGCCTGGGGGCGAAGCACGGTGCCGTTGAGATCCGAGCCCACCCCTTCTTCAAGTCGATCGAGTGGCCGCTCATTCGCAACATGGTCAGTATGCGCTTTCCTTATGTGTGCATTCTCACACTCTTACACCCTCTCACACTCAACTCTCTCACGGTTGCTTCCTTCTCTCGCTTTCTCACACGTTTCTACTCTCCCTTGCAACTTCTTTCATTGCTATCCTGCTTGTGAGCAGAAGCCACCGCAGCTGGACGTGCCAGTGAAGGCAATTTCAGCAGAGGCAGAGGAGGGTAGGCCGTCAACAGCAGAGGAGGAGATGGACTGGGATGAGAATGAGGCCAGGCCGTCCACTTCACTTGACTATGGCTACTGACCTCACTTCGTTGCTTTGCGCGGGGAAATAATTTGTTTCAGTAGAAACAGCAAATGCTTTAATTATGTGTGCATGAATGTTCTAATCAGTTTGTGCAGTAGTAGGTTAGCTTGGGGAGCACATCTGTAGTGGGAAATCATTGTGGTTGTGTACATGAGTTACTGTTATGTGTGACCATTCTTTTAGAAAGTACGACTGGAATGCCGAACCGCACCAGAAATGGCCCAACCGAATGAACATCGCTCGACCAGGAACTGGTATTGTGCTGCAAATGGGGAGGTTTACACCTTCCGACATCGACCAAAGCAATCTCCTCGAGATTTTGGCATGTCGCGTCTGTTCACCTCGATGCACGCTTTCCGTTTCCGTCCTAGAGCCAGCCAGGAGTTAGAATGGTTGAGTAAGGGCGTGTAAAATCGGGAACTCCAAAAATTCGGCCATAATCCGTCGGGCCGTTTCTGCGAAAGTAACCAGTTTGCGACGTTCGTTTCTCAAGTGGCGACAGTCGTTAATTTCGCAAAAAAATTACGAACTTGATGGCTGTTTAGAATGTCGACAGGAAAACGACGCAGAGTCGACTCCAAAACGGCCAGGCAGTCGACACATTGTGCGACAGTCGCCTGCGACGTCGTACAGTTATGTCTAACGACAGAATTTGTGATCTCGTCAAATGAAAATTATCGTCGTCAACTGTGCGACCCCGTCGTACATTCTCAAGTACTGTAGTAACTGTAAATTTTACAAAATTTCTCGAACCGGCCTGCAAAGCGGCCACCAAAGTTGTAAAATCGCCAAAACTGTACATGGTGGCTGTAAAAGAGTCGACCGTGATTCGGCCACCTCGTCGTTGTTCGCGAAAAATATGACGACCATTTGGTCGTCGGAAACCCGGCCAGACCCCATTTTCAGAATTGCGCGGGGATTTTACACGCCCTACGGGTGCGTCAGATCCGTTGTCGGAATAATCCGGCCGGCCGGAATTGGCGAACGTAACACATTTGCGACATTCGCTCATTTTTTCGTGCGATTCGCCATATCCGGCCATTTGTAAAAAATTTGATGGCCGGTTCAGCATTCGACAAAGTTCCGACGTGCAGTCGACTCGAAAGTCGGCCAATTTGTCGACCTGAGTTCGCTACAGTAACTACGCGACGTCGCAAGCTAGTGCGACGCAACGTGTCACACAAATATTAGATCTGCGACTCCGTCGCACAATCCGGCCACCCTGGCGAACTGCTAATCTGACACGTTTGCAAATCGGCCACCAAATGTGTCAGAAGTAAATGTGGCTGGATATTGATGGGAAAGTCTATCCAAGCTCCTGACTTTCAGTTTTTTTCTCATATTTAGCCCTATGTTTACTCAAAAAGCACCACTTTCCATTATTTCTCTCACGCGAGGCCCAAAGTATGTTCAAAACTGGTCCTGCGGGGCGAAGTTTTCGACACGTGTCGTTTTGTTACCAGCTGACGCACTTCCACTCTGAACTAACCGTTTGTCAGGGCAATTTTTGCGTCGGAAAAGTTTTTACGGGACAAAAAAACATAAAACCCCTAAAGGACCATTACACATTTTCGGGAGGGAGCAACCCTAAACACGGGACCTGCTAGGTGTTTAGGGTTGATCCCTCCCGCGAATGTGTCCTGGTTCTCTAGGGGTTTTATGTTTTTTGCCCCCGTCCAAATTTTCCATGCGTGGAAGTTCGTCAGATGGTGTAACAAGAGGACACGTGTCGAAAAAATCGCCCCGCAGGACCACTTTTGAACATACTTTGGGCCTCGCGTGAGAGAAATTCTAGAAAGTGGTGCTTTTTGAGTAAACCTAGGGCTGAATATGAGAGAAATCTGAAAGTCAGGAGCGGGGATATACTTTCCCGATATTGATCGCTGGGAAACTATATCACAGATCCTTACTTTCGGATTTCTCTCATATTTACCCGCAAGTTTACTCAAAAAGTCCCACTTTCTGGGATTTGGCTCACGCGAGGCCCAAATTATGTTCAAAACTGGGAAAGTCTATCCCAGCTCCTGACTTTCAGTTTTTTCTCATATTTAGCCCTATGTTTACTCAAAAAGCACCACTTTCCATTATTTCTCTCACGCGAGGCCCAAAGTATGTTCAAAACTGGTCCTGCGGGGCGAAGTTTTCGACACGTGTCGTTTTGTTACCAGCTGACGCACTTCCACTCTGAACTAACCGTTTGTCAGGGCAATTTTCGCGCCGGAAAAGTTTTTACGGGACAAAAAAACATAAAACCCCTAAAGGACCATTACACATTTTCGGGAGGGAGCAACCTTAAATACGGGACCTGCTAGGTGTTTAGGGTTGATCCCTCCCGCGAATGTGTCCTGGTTCTCTAGGGGTTTTATGTTTTTTGCCCCCGTCCAAATTTTCCATGCGTGGAAGTTCGTCAGATGGTGTAACAAGAGGACACGTGTCGAAAAAATCGCCCCGCAGGACCACTTTTGAACATACTTTGGGCCTCGCGTGAGAGAAATTCTAGAAAGTGGTGCTTTTTGAGTAAACCTAGGGCTGAATATGAGAGAAATCTGAAAGTCAGGAGCGGGGATATACTTTCCCTTCAAAACTGGTCCTGCGGGGTTTAAATCTCGACACGTGTCTAGTTCACACCAACAATTTTTGACGGGGCACAAAAAATATAATACCCCTAGGGAAACGGGACACATTTCGGGAGGGATCAACCCTAAACACGGGAACCCGCCCGGTGTTTAGGGTTGATCCCTCCCGAAATGTGTCCTGTTTCCCTAGGGGTATTATGTTTTGTTTGCCCCGTAAAAAAAAAATTGGTACGAAATGGACACGTGTCTAAATTTTGGCCCCGCAGGACCAGTTTTGAACATACTTTGGGCCTCGCGTGAGCAGAATTCCGCAAAGCTGGACTTTTTGGGTAAACCTGGGGGTAAATATGAGAGAAATCTGAAAGTAAGGATCTAGGATATAGTTTCCCTTGATCGCTTTTGAAGTCGACCATGTTGTCGACTTTGGCGAAAGATTTAGTCGACCAAATTGTCGACCAAATTCCAGCCAAATCACCTCGTAACGGATCTGACGCACCCTAAAGCATCAAGCGACTCCGGATTCTTAATGACGGCTGCTGATATGGGTGCTGTGCATGTCCCACGACATTTTCGACATAGTCCAGAGTTAATGGCGTCGACGCGCGTCCAGCCTCCTTTGCCTTGTATGGGTTGTATAATAAGTCGGGCGCGGTGTTGGCCGCTGTGGTGTGCTTTAAGGGAAAATAGCGTGATAAAATGCTCCCTGGAATCTATCGCTCCGTGAATGGTTCTTTTGAGCCTTTTGGCTTGGAAGATTGCCAGCGTATTCTCAGGGCTGCTGCGAATGGCGAAGCATCTGTGGTTGTTGGTCATTCCACCATCTTTTTGGGGACCATGGAAGAGGTGACGCCAGGCTGTAGACGGCACCGCATTCTGATGGTTCCGCATTTTGAGCTTGACAACGTGAAACACCTCTCCACTCCTGTGGGGCGTATGGTAAGTAATTTCAAGCTTTCGCCGCCCGAAGATTCTCGAATTTAGTGGTCATGTTGTGGTGACTGGTGTGAGCAGTTCTGGATACAAGTTCTTATGGAGATCCTCTCAGAGGCTTACCTCAGAGAAGCAGTTGAAAGAATGGTGGAGCCTAACTATTACGTTGACACCATCAAGCCGAGGCACAGGTTCACCAATGATACTTTCCTTGTTGATCAGTTCGCGAATACCCTTACAAGCCTTTCTTTACGTGATGCTGAGCATATCCTTGGTAAGTAAAACCCACGTGGATACGGTAAAACTGTCTATCATGCAAGTTTTCACCTTTTGACTTCCATTTTTATCAATTATTCTGACGAGCGTGAACCTTGTTCCTGACTCCTAGGTAAGGTTTTCCAGAAGTTTGCTTCAGGAATGGTGGGAAAAGCTGAGCTGGTCTTTCATGGAACTCCTTCCAAGAACGTCAACTCAATTATGGCAACTGGAATGGATGCAAATTGTCGCCGTAGTACTCCACTTGGGGATTGGTTTGCCAAAAGCTTGAGTATGCCCTTGCAGAAGGCATCAGGGTTCAGTGGAACAGGCACTGTTATTGTCTTCCTGGTCATCGTGACAAGTGATGCATTGGTGCATCACTACAGCAACGCCTATGTTATCCTCAATAACTCCAAATATCAGCTGCCACTTGGTACAATTAGTGTAAACAGATACCAGTAGAGCTGTCAGGCGTATATGCAGAGCAGAACATTGCGGCTATCAATGAGTCTATGAATTTGTAATGTATAGTAAGAGTGTTGGCTGTATAATAACGAATCAAGATAGCTTGAAAGCTACAATGACTGAAACTAGGTATGACTTCAAGTCAAGTTGCAATCACCAAGCCATTCTGACACGGAAAGATACAATTGCTGCCAGCAAGTAACTGATGTAAGCAGAAAGATTCCGATTGACCTGATCCTGATGCCCATACTGATGCATTGCACATGCAATTCACCGTCTGCCACCTTACTTCAGTTGGACTCTCCTCTCCTTCACAGGCTGCTGGTGCTCGTCTACCAGCAATAGTTGCTCGTGCTCATGTGCTCAAACCTCGACAACCCCCATTCTCCCATTCACTGTTGTAGTGTCTTCACCTCCCCTCCTTACAGCTGCTGCAGTTGCAAACGTGTGACGAGCAACGGGAGAAACGAGTGCAGACAGCGTCTATTACGGGAAGGTCTTCAGCAGGTTCCAGTTGCATTGTTTATCCCCACGCTTGTGCGGAAGCGCTCGAACTTTTCCCCCCTCTATTCACTGTTCACTTACTTTACCCCCTCTATTCCTTTCTCCTGTCTAATACGGCACGTTCTTGGGAAGGTTCCAGTTGACGTTGTTGCTCATCCCCACGATCGTGCGCAAGCGCTCAAACCTTTGCTGCCCCTTAGCCGTTGCATCCCTCTGCTTCAGCTGCTGCTGCTGCTCCGCTGTTCGCCACCCCAGCTGCCGCGTTGCCAGCCCCATGGCTCGATACCTGCAGGGAGAAATTAGAATGGACGCGATGTAACATATAATTGAAGCAGAAGTGAAGCTAAACCCTCCAAGGGGTTTGACAAGCCACCCCAGTTGCAGTGTCGCCAATTGATGCTAAAAAAACACGTGTAATAAAGTTACAAACAAAAAAATGAAAAACCCGGGTGCCAGCTGTCACTCACTTGGCAAGCACCGACGCCATGAGGTGTGTGTTGCTGTCTCCAGTCGGCCTCGGCCGCTGGCGATAAATTCTGAGGCGCCTTAAAAATCGTCTCACAATAAGGGACTGAAAGAAAAGACACTCAGTTGGCAAGCACTGATGCCATGAGGCGTGTGTTGCTGTCTCCAGTCGGCCTCGGCCGCTGGCGATAAATTCTGAGGCGCCTTAAAAATCGTCTCAAAATAAGGGACTGAAAGAAAAGACACTCACTTGGCAAGCACTGATGCCACGAGGCGTGTGTTGCTGTCTCCAGTCGGCCTCGGCCGCTGGCGATAAATTCTGAGGCGCCTTAAAAATCGTCTCAAAATAAGGGACTGAAAGAAAAGACACTCACTTGGCAAGCACTGATGCCACGAGGCGTGTGTTGCTGTCTCCAGTCGGCCTCGGCCGCTGGCGATAAATTCTGAGGCGCCTTAAAAATCGTCTCAAAATAAGGGACTGAAAGAAAAGACACTCACTTGGCAAGCACTGATGCCACGAGGCGTGTGTTGCTGTCTCCAGTCGGCCTCGGCCGCTGGCGATAAATTCTGAGGCGCCTTAAAAATCGTCTCAAAATAAGGGACTGAAAGAAAAGACACTCACTTGGCAAGCACTGAAGCCACGAGGCGCGTGTTGCTGTCTCCAGTCGGCCTCGGTTTTTGGCGATAATATCTCGCGAGATCCCGCGAGCCAATCACGCGCTTCGTGCCGCAAGCACCCTTATCCGCGCCCCTGCTCCCCTTGCCTGCTGCTGCGTTGAAAATGATGAGCTCCATGCCTCCGCTGGTGAGCGCCACATGCGGACGAGAGTCGTCAGCCACCATGAGCTCACGGCTCGTGCCCTCCTCGTAACTGGTGGATGGGGTGAAAGGGTCAGCAAGAGGGAGAATGATGAGCTCCATGCCCCCGCTGGTGAGCGCCACATGCGGACGAGAGTCGTCAGCCACAATGAGCTCACGGCTCGTGCCCTCCTCGTAACTGGTGGAGGGTGACGAAGGGACGGAAACACAGGGAAGAATGCGAGAATGTGACATGACAAAGTCGCGGGAGCAGAAAAGGAAAGCAAAAAAATCATGAAGATCAGTAAGGCGTGGGGGGGTATGTACAAATTGGACAGAGATGGCTGAGATTGAAAGATGTCGCTAAGCATTGGAAAGAGTTTCACTCCCATGTGCAAGTAGTTCCCAGGTACTTTCCTTCCCTCTTTTCTCTAGCAGTAGGGCTCATTCAACGTCCCCCTTACATGGGCTCATTCAACATCCATGTGCAAGAAGTTTTCAGTGTGGATCGATGCACTTCTTCACAATGCAATCCTTGAGAGCTTGCGCCCTCCCGTAAGCAACTCACCACAAAAACTTACTCCACCGAAACCCTGAACCCGCCTCACCACTAACCCAATGACGCACCCGGTGCTGAAGTCGTGGAAGTCTTCAAGCTCCTCCTCCGCCACGCCTGAACCATCTCGATACCGCAGCTTGGCATGGCTCTTCGCCTCCAGATGCGCCCTCACAGTCTCAACCGAGCTGAACTGCCATGCGTCCTCCACACTCTGACATAAAACCCGAAAATCAAACTCTTGACCCGTAACCGCACCTGGTGCTGCAGTCGTAGAAATCTTCAAGCTCCTCCTCCGCCACCCCAGACCCGTCCCTGTACCAATAGAGAATTTTCAAAAGTGACCCGTCAACGTACAGCAGCTTTGCATGGCTCTTCACCTCCATATGCGCCCTCACCACTAAACCCTGGCCCTTGAAGCCTGAAGCCTGCACAAGTGACTCACCTCAAACTGAAGTCGTAGAAGTCTTCAAGCTCTTCCTCCGCCACGCCTGAACCATCCTCATACCGCAGCTTTGCATGGCTCTTCGCCTCCATATCCGCACCCAAAGCCTCAACCGAGCTGAACTGCCAAAACCCTCTACACTCCAAACCCAAAACCCCGAACCTTCAACTACTGACGCACCTGGTGCTGAAATAATAGAAATCTTCGAGTTCTTCCTCCGCCACGCCTGAACCATCCCCATACCGCAGCTTCGCATGGCTCTTTGCTTCCATATGCGCCCTCACAGTCTCTACCGAGCTGAACTGCCAGAACCTTCTACACCCCAAACCCGAAACCCCAAACCCTTACCTCCAGACGCACCTGGTGCTGAAGTCGTAGAAGTCTTCAAGTTCTTCCTCAGCAACCCCCGAACCATCCCCATACCGCAGCTTGGCATGACTCTTCGCTTCCATACGCGCCCTCACAGCCTCTACTGAGCTTAACTGCTAGAAATCTTCACACGCTGACACAAAACCCCAAACTCTGAACCGCAAGCGCACCTGGTACTGAAATCATAGAAATCTTCAAGCTCCTCTTCTGCCACGCCTGAACCATCCCCATACCGCAGCTTGGCATGACTCTTCGCCTCCATATGCGCCCTCACCGCCTCTACCGAGCTGAACTGCTTGCTCCGGTCGTCACACCACAGGCACATGCGCCCCTGGGTCACTTTCGCCGCCAGGTACTGTAGCATCCCTTGCAGGTCCGTGAGGAACTCTATATCGGGGATGAAGAACCCGTGGTGCCTGTGCATGTGCTCTACACACTCGTCCACCCCACCCTTGTTCTTCTTGCCGCAGAAAAAGCACTGGGATACGTCCCACTCGCCTCCTCCCTCTCCCTCTCCTTTGCCCTTCGCCTCCCCTTCCTTTCCTTCTCCCCCTTTGCTTCCCTCTCCCTCCTCCCCTCCCTCCTCTCCCTCCTCTTCTCCCTCCTCCTCTACCCCGTTTCCTCCCTCCGCCAGCAAAGCAACTGCCTCCTCCTCATCCACCTCTTCCCACTCCTCTTCCTCCTCCTCCTCATCCTCCTCCTCTTCTTCCTTCAACCCCTTCCCTTTATCTTTATCCCCCGCACCCGTCCCTCTCGCTGCTACCACAACCGGCTTTGCCTCGACCCTCCGAATTACAGGCCTGGAGGGGTCCAAAACCCCAGAACCCTGAACCCCCGCCCCGATAATGCCTGCCCCGGTTGCACCTGCTCGCGCGGCCGCCACAGCAGCAGCAGCCTTGGAAGCGTGTAGCTTGGACCGCAAATGACTCGCATGAGCTGATTCGCTATTGTACTTCTTACTGCAAACCACGCATTCGTATATCAACCACCCGCCAGCTGCTACTGGCGCTCCCCCCCCTGGCGCAATCCCCCCCGGCGCACCTCCGCCCACGTCTCCCCCTGTTGCGATGTCCCCGGAAGCGGCTGTAGCTGCTGCTGCCGCCGCCGCCGCCGCTGCTGCTGCCGCTGCGACCGCGCCGCGCTTCCCCCCGGACACGGCGGCGGCGGCTGCCGCTACGGCCTCCTTGCGCTTCTCGAACCACTGCTCGGTCACCCCGGGGAGACCTGCTACCTGGTAGAAAAGGGGAAGAAGAGGAGAGAAGAAGAGACGAAGAAATTCGTGAGACGTATCGCCTAGGGGTAAAAATGCCCAAGAAAGCCAGCCTCCTATCGAACCGCGACTTAGTCAACCTGGGGAGACCTGCTATCTGGTTGAAAAGGGAGCGGAGAAGAGAAGAGGAAAGGAAGACCGGGAGACGCATCACCCGGGGGGGCAAATGTTTATGGAAAAGCGGCCTTTCTGCGCTTCTCAAAGTATCGCTCAATCACTTCTGCTCTCGCAACGCACCTTTCGCTTAAGGTTGTAGCGGTGCCAGTCGGAGCGATAGTGCGCGTTACGCGTCGGTCCATCGTCGAACGACGCGTTACACGCGTTGCACTGCATGGTTCCCTACTAGCTCTCGATTTGATCCCGATTTTACTGCCGGTCCCGCTGAAAGTGTAAGTGCTTTAACAACACCCACTGACGACCACTTAGCTACTCCCGATTCGTCGGCGGATTTTAGATAAGAGAAGCAAGACGCCGGGACCCAAACGAATTGATTTCAAAGTCGATTCTGAAGAACTGTATAAAATGCTCAGCAAGATGCCGGCACGCTAACGGACCACGCAGCCACGCAAAGCTGCGGCAGCAATCACTGCCACTAGTAATCCGCAACGCTAACGGGAATCTATGGATGTACAGAGTTACAGATAGAGTATGCGCTTTGGAAATCTAAAGACACGTTCCAATGGGGGAACTAGCTACTTATATGCTGCAAAGGTGACCAGAATGGAAGGATCCTAGCAGGAGACCCAAAACCCAGCAGAAGGTTCTACAATCAAGGAGGCGAGGCAAGAAAGGAGCCGACCCGAACCGAACAGAAATTGATCAAACCGAAGGAAGCGCCACCACGGGTTTTTCAAAACCTCGGTCTCTTGTTTTCTCGACAAGAGGTGACTTTTTCCACACGGCTTGAAGCATCCCTACAGAACATCAACAGCCAGACCGAGCAGCAAAGCATATCAAATAATTCCATACAGCAATATGTTTTAATGTATGATTGCTGAAAGGCTGAAATAACTGCATGAAGGCTATAGACTGATGGATTCAGCATTTGGGGATTCAAAACATGGTTACCATGGTCCATGCACTACGTGATTCTGCCAACAATAGGTATCTCTTAGCACACTTCAATATTGTAATTAAGTGCACGGACAAGTGACTGGTCACATTATCACTATCCCAATCCAGGGGAAATGAATGCACCGTGCAGCTTGCTCAGTCCACCTTAGCAACCTCTCCTCCTCCCCCTGGCACTGCTGCAGCGCTCTCCGCCATCTGCTCATTCATGAACCTGGGGAGACAAATGGGAAGGGAGGGAGAAGCATGAATGACAATACTACCAGTGCACCATGCAATCCAGTTCTCTCAGTCCACCTTGGCCACCTCCCCTCCTCCCCCTGGCACTGCGGCAGCGCACGCACTCTGCCATCTGTTCGTTCATAAACATGGGGAGAGAAGAGAGGCAGGAAAGGAAGAGGCATGAGTGATGATGATGCCAGTCAATGCACCATGCAATGCTGTTGTCTCAGTCCACCTTGACAACCTCCCCTCCCCCTGGCACTGCAGCAGCGCTCTCCGCCATCTGTTCATTCATAAACCTGGGGAGAGAAGAGAGGTAGCAAAAGAGACGCGTTGGATAGTTGGGTTTTATATCATTAGCCTTACTTAGCATTGATAAGTTAGCAAGCTTGTCCTTGGATGACTGTGGAATGTAGACCGCCAAGCAGTTCAGCACTGGGTGGTTGAATTGAATTAGAGAATTGATGTAGCAGGATAGTCAAGCTTGAGATAATTAGTCTTACTTAGCAAGCTTGTCCTTGGACAACTGTAGAATGTAGACCGCAAGAAACGTTGTCAGGATGAAGGCTGCAGGCGAAGCAACGGTGGAGGGGGAACAGAAATTCCGGGCGAAAAAGGAGCAATTTATGAGGAAAGGTGGAAGGCGGAGGAAACTGTGAGGAATGAGAGGGGAATGAGAGGGTGTGCATGGTCATTGGGGGATGAGAGGCAGGGAAAGAGGGGCGGCGGAGAAAGAATGCGCTTACTTGAGGCAAAGAGCACGAGAAGACCTGCTGTGACGTCCACCTCTGCATACTCGAGCCTGAGAGGAAGGGAGTGAAAGGTCAGAGAGAGAGGCAGAGGGGATGCGGGAAAGAGCAAGGAGACAGCGATAAGACAGAGAGCACGAGATGACCTGCTGTGACGTCCACCTCCGCATACTCGAGCCTGCGGGGGAGGGAGTGGTGCAGAGGGAGTGAGAAGCAGATGGAGAGACGCAGGGAGGGTGCTCAAACCAAACCACCATACACATCACAAACTCGACCCAGAAAACCGTACACGCACCACCATCCCATTGCACCAATCAAATCTCACCACGTGTATTTCATAAGCACGTGCTTGGGCCAGTGCGACTCGTTCCTGAAGTCAAGAGCCAGTTGATGATGAGAATGCTCCAGGTCATGTGGCATTTCCCCATCCCACCTCATCTCACAATGCATCTCTCTCCATCCCATGTCACCGCATGCCATCTCACCACGTGTATTTCATGAGCACATGCTTGGGTCAGTGCAACTCAAAAGCCAGCTGATGATGGCGCTCCATGCCTGGTAATATTCCACCATCCCATCTCACCTCACAATGCATCTCTCTCCATCCCATTGCACCGCATCTCACCACACTGCATCCCATCTCACCACGTGTATTTCATGAGCACGTGCTTGGGCCAGTGCGACTCGTTCCTGAACTCAAGAGCCAGCTGCCGATGCCGCTCCAGGTCTGATCATGGTGTGGCACGGATGGCATGGCATGGCACGGATGGCATGGCATGGCAAGGGATGGCATGGTAGGGAAGGGAAGGGAAGTGGTAGGGAAGGGAAGGGAATATCAAGGCAGGGAGGGGCAGGGAAGGGCAGGGAAGGGCAGGGAAGGGAAGGGTAAATGAAGACAGGGAAGAGTGGGGAAGGGAGGTAAAGGCCACCTGGCGATGGCACTCCGGGTCTGAAGGTTGTGCAACATAACATGGTATATCAAGATAGGAACGGAGCAGGGAAGGACAGGAAAGGGAAGGGTGAAAGGCGTAACAAGGCAGGGACTGGCGGCGAGGGGAGGTAAAGGCCATATGACAATGGCGCTCCAGGTCTTCTGATGGTGGTGTGACATGGCATGGCAAGCCAGGGAAAGGCAGAGTATATCAAGACAGGGAAAGGGCATAGAAGTGGAAGGAGGGGCATGAAAGCGCACGGAACGGCATGGAAGGGAAGGGAAGTGCAGGGAAGGGAAGGGAAGGGAAGGGAAGGGAAGGGAAGGGAAGGGAAGGGAAGGGAAGGGAAGGGAAGGGAAGGGAAGGGAAGGGAAGGGAAGGGAAGGGAAGGGAAGGGAAGGGAAGGGAAGGGAAACAAACATCAACCACATACCCCACGCATACTCACATGCCCCACTCCCCCTCATAGTGCACCTTCGCCTGCACTCCCCCTCTAGCCTTCCTTACCACCACAATCACATGCAGTTTACAGTGTAATGATTGCATTGCATGGCCCACTACTCACATTCGTGCGGCAAGTTGTGCACCTTCGCCTGCACTCCCCTCAGGTCGCCTGCAAAGTGGGTCTATATGGATCGAGAAAGAGAGATGAAGAGAGATTGGATTGAAGTGGAGTGTAAGTGGAACAAAGAAGAGAGGCAGAGAAAAAGGGTGATGGGGTTGAGGGGGGTCCGTGGGAAGAACTGTCTCTAAAACGTTGCGCGGCGCACAATCCCCTGAGTCCCCTCTCACAACGCAGAATAGGCATCAGGCAAGGGGGAAAGGCAGGAAGAAAAGGAAGGAAGAGAGGCATGGAGGAGAGGCAGACGATTAACAAACGTACCATGGACCTGAATGCCTCGTATATTTCAATTCAATGCTAGGGTAACCTTGATCGTACCCACGAGGGCACTGGGTAACCTGGATTGTACACTCACTAGGGTGACTTCAATGAGCGGCACGTTCTGGCTCTTCCGTCCAATCACAAGCAGCCACGGCGTCACAAACTTCTCGTTGCCCACTGACAGAGACCTGCGAGAGGGTAGAGGAGGGGGGAGAAAGGGGGGGGTGGGGGGGTGGAGGGTTGGGAGATGGAATGAGGCACCAGATGACAACAACAATTTCAGCCATGCGGTTACAAACTTCTCGTTGCCCACTGACAGAGACCTGTGAGGGAGTGGAGGAGGGGTGGAGGAAGGAGAAGAGGTGGGTCAAAGAGGGAACAGAGGGCAGCTGCGTAGACAGCACGACACACAATCACAAGCAGCCACGGTGTCACAAACTTCTCATTGCCCACTGACAGCGACCTGCGAGGGAGTAGGAGGGGCAGACGAGAGATAGAGGAGGGTGGGAGAGAGGAGGGTTGGGGGATGGATGAGGCAACAAAAGACAGTAATTTCAGCCACGCGGTCACAAACTTCTCATTGCCCACTGACAGCGACCTGAGAAGGAGTAGGGGAAGGAGGAAAGATGGGTGTGTGGCTGTAGAAGTGTGACTGAACTGGAGTGTCACGTGCTGCAATGGAAGAATAACAAAACCCATCAATTCTATTGCAAACACTGCAAGTGCTTCGGAAATTCGACCGAAAGGTGCAACTCCTGCCCAAGGCATAGCATCAACAGTCAAGAGTGTCACACTCCTGCACAGAGCTACGTGTTGCAGAAAGAGCATACTAAGCGCAGAGTGGAGAATCATTCGTGCATCTTGTGAAATTGTGACATTTTCATCAATACAGAACGTACATTTTATACGAGTGTTCTGCCATCTCGAACCCCACATTTGAGGCTCCTCAAAAGTACGCATCTTGTGAAAACTATATAGACAACTTACATCTTATACGAGTGTTCTGCCATCTCGAACCCCACAGGGCGCGGAATAGGAAGAGCCACCTGGGACACGGAATGGGGGAAGAGGGTGTAGGGAATATGGGAGGAGGGGGGGAGAGAGTAGCGAATGGGGGTTTGACAGGGAACGGTAGTGGGCAGGGAATGGTAAGGGGCAAGGGAGTTAAAGGCCAAAGGGAGCTAAATTTTATGTGTAGTTGCCCCTTTTTGTTAATGTCACTCACTCAGGCGACTCACTCAACCCACTCACCCACCCACCCACTCCCCCACAAATGCACCGGCATATGCTCACAACTGTCACAATGGCTTGATTGTCACCCACCCACCTCTCGGTGACTTTTCAGTCGACTCAAAAGCCACAACAGCCACCGTGGCTCGATTGCCACCCACCTCTCGGTTGATGCCGAATCGTGGGCAGTGCCGTCCAATGGCGTCGTGCCAGTGCGTCCGCATCTGCGGATCCAATCAGCGCGGTACACGTGGCAAGGGGAACGGGGGAAGGAAGGAGGGAGGGGAAGTAATATAGGGAACAGGATGGGAAGTGGGAGGAAAGGGGAGAGAGGAGAGAGGGAGCAGGATGCGAACGAATGGGAGAGAGGCGGGAGAGGGATACCACGCATACGTTGAACAGAATCACAGGACTATTATATCAGCCAAGTACGTTTGACGGAGTCAGAGCGCTGTGGGAAAAATCTCCGTTAAAGACAGAGTCCGTTAAACGCGCATTTACACTGCCGTGTACTTGCCAATGGCAAGTTGTCCCCCATACGATACGAAGAGGCGAAACGCGCCCGGATTTGGAAAATTAAGAAGGTTCAACGTCCCCCAGCCGATTCACGGTAACGGAGCTTACATTATTAAACTGGCCTTTCCTGGCCAGCGGCACGTAGTCTCCCACTTGATATGCCGAGGCGAGACGCGCCATTGTAACCAGGGCTACGACGAACGGTAGCAACATCCTCCTTATAAGCTCCATCGCGTATAAGATCTCTACGGACGGTAGTGAAGTTCACAGATTGTGGGCAATCCCTCTACGATCCGCACCTCAAGTAAAAAAGATGGCAAGTGATGTCGCGCGAAGCAGCTGCACTAATCGTAACGAAGAGCGGCAGCTACCAGAAAAATAAGTGGCTACAAGCTATTAAACAAATTCGCAAATAACGGTTGGAACGCCTCTAGGATGAATTCACGAGAAGGGACGGACCATGAAGAGAAAGGACATAGGCTACTACGAGGCTTGGCTTCTGGAATCTAGGCTTTCTTTGATTCGTTTCAGGGAAAGTTTCCTTCAGAGGTTGACAATCAGATCCGAGTTTCCGCAGGGCGTGTTTGTGTAGCAAGTTTCAGCCGTCCCAGACAGTAGTTGTGAACATAAAATGGAAATGAACTGCACCGTTACGAAACGTACAGAGGCACGGTTACCCGGTATCCCCCGACTAAGTGTCGATTTGAATTCTATTTAATAGATTTAAAATGTTAATTAAATCAACATCTAGTGAGTGCCAGTGGTCTAGTGGTAGAATAGCACCCTGCCATGTGCCCGGTGCAGACCCGGGTTCGATTCCCGGCTGGCACATCGCGTTTTACATTTTGGTTCAGATTTTTTTCGCACACTCATTGTACTGTGTTTCGTGAAAGCAGAAAATTTCGTCAATTTCTTCACGATTCCAGAAGCACTAACACTCCGTGTAAGAAATTTTCTCGAATTCCTTATTGGGGTTGACTGCTGCGCGTACAACCCGATTTTCGGAGTTCGCACGATCGGGCGATTTCCACGCTGCCGAAGCTCCTCGCGTCGCCTTCGGCATTCCCATCGCCAAACCTGCACCCAACCTCGCTCTGTCAGAATAACTGAACGAGGAATGAATGAACTAGCAGTGAAATGAGTACAAGTACCTAACCCTAGAATTGTGTACCCCCTATAGGCTAACCCACTGCAGCCTAAACAAGCACAACACATATAATGTTTGACACACCCCCATAGGCAAAGTGGGGGAGAGCAAGGGGTCACAAGACCAGTCAAAGCAAAGCAAAACAAGCTCAGGGTGGATCTCAAGGATACCACACAAATTCCGAGCACAAGCAAGTGGTCACAAGACCAGTTCACATGCAGGTTGATAATATAACAAGAGAAACAGTGATAACAACCTAGCAAGTGTAAACATGCAGGCATATATATAAAGATCACAGTACAAGCAGAGTCAAGAAGTAAGCAAGTGAGGTCCAGCAGGCACAAGAGGGTGGGAGGGGAGGGAGAACCCTGGGAAGACCAGCAACAAGGTCCCGTTTGTGCATGGCCCGAAGGCGCTGCACAGACGGGTGACCTAGGCGGTGGTGCCAGAGGACAGTCTCATGCGCCAGAGAGCGACACGAGCAGGGGGCGGACAGCTGACCTGACGCAGACGCAGACGCGGACGCAGCTACCTGAGGGGACTCAGTGGTCAGTGTGTACAGGTCCGACCCCGGCTGCCGAGTGAAGGTAGCCAGGTGACGGCCCGTCCGAGCACACGTGCAGTGGGTCACGCGCTCGTAAGCAGGGGTGAACTGGTGAACACCCCCGTCCTGGAGCGCACTACCTGCCACCAAGTTCGTAGAGAACGAGGGGAGGTAGAGGCCTGACAGTGTGCCTGACGGGACCGCAGGACAAGGAAGGACAGTGGAGGAGGTCGCAACGACCGGACCCCCAGAGGGGTCAGCGAGGGAGACAGCAACTGGCCGAGCAAGCGGCTCAAGGACAGTGCGGTCACGAAAGAAACAGCGAGAAGCACCTGAGTCCAGTGTGAAGGTGTGCAGTGCCGCAGTCGACTCAGTACCAGGGGGCACGGACTCACTAGCACCTAGAGCAGCAGCCTCACCAGGACCTGGGGCAGCAGACTCACTAGCACCTAGAGCGGCAGCCGGACTGGTCAGAATGCCCGGGTCGGGCGGAACACGCAAGTACTGAGCACCCTCTCCACTAGTAAACATCGCATACATGGCAGTGAGAATAGCATCAAAGTCTAAAGCCCAGATATCAACTCCCTTCTTCTCCAGATCAGCCCAGCGGGGCAGCTCAGTGGCATCAGGAAACTGGGCACGCCACGCGTCAGTAAGGCGCGCGAAACAGCGCTGTGTGGGATGCGGCCTCCCACACTGCTGGCCAGTGCGGTCACCAGTGCGAATGACGTACGTGCAGGTAAAGCCACGCTGCGCATACCACTCACGGGCGGCCTGAAGCGACGGGGCGGGCTGCTGACTCTGGCCACCGCCAGCGCCTCCACGACCACCACCGCCGCCGCCACCGCCCCGGCCACCTCCACCCCTGCCGCCGCCACGACCACCTCCGCCTCCGCTGCCGCCTCCGCCCCTGCCACCGCTCCCGCCGCTGCTGTCACCACCCCCACTGCCGCCACTAGCCTCTCCAGTCGCACCTCCACCGCCACCGCCACCACTCCCGCCTCCCCCGCCGCCACCTCCACCCTTGCCCCCTTTGCCCCTGCGGCGCCCGCTCGGAGCAGACGCGGCCCCGACCTTCTCAGCACCGAGGAGGTCGACAGCAGCAGCAGAGGCGACAGAGGGGAGGAGAGGGGAAGGGGAACACCCCTCAAAGAACGGGGTGCGGGGGTCGCCACGAGAGGTGCCTACAGCGACGATGCTCGCCTCAGCTGCAAGCAGTTCCTTCTCGAGGAGGGCAATGGTGAGTTCAGTGGGGGAGCGAGAGAGGAAGTGGTCCCTGACTGTGCGCAGGGAGTCGGGGAGGCGGGTGACTATGTGGTAGAGCGTGATCCAGAGCGGGGGGGGGTTGCTGGCAAGGAACTCGTCAGGCATAGCAGCGCGAAAGCGGGCCTCACTGGTCCTGAGGTGGGTGATGAGGTCAGCGACTGTGCTGAAGGAGGCCAGGTCGGGGAACAGGTAGGGGAGGGTGAGGCGGCCTAGTGCGGCAGAGGCAGGTGAGGAGTAACGAGCAACTACAGCAGTGTACAGGTCCTTAGCAGTCTTGTGCTGGCCAAAGTGCTCGCGCTCATCTAGTGGCAGGGAGTTGCGAATAGCGAAGCGAGCGTGGGCGTCACGAGTCTGCCACTGTGAGCGCTGAGTGCTGTCTGCAGTGGTAGGAGGGGCAGTAGCGTGACCGAGGGCATGATCGTACAGCGAAATATCCTCCTTGGCAGTGAGCTGTAGGAAGAGGTGCAGGTCATCTAGCCAGGTGTCAAATTTCACTGGGCGGCCCTCAGCATCGAAAGCAAGCACGGGAGGACTGGCCATAGTGGCAGCAGTAGTAGCAGTAGGAGCAGTAGTAGTAGCCGTAGAAGAAATAGGAGGAGCAGCAGTATCGACGGGGCTGCTGGTACGGGCGGCGCGGCTCGGTCTGACGGCGCGGCTCGGTTCGGGCTGCGCGGCTGCGCGGAGCTGTTAAGCGGGGCAGTACGGGGCCACGGGGGCCTCTAAGCGGGGCTCGACGGGGCCGTGGGGCCGCTAAGCGGGGCGCAGCAGGGTCGCGGGGCCGTGAGGTGGCGGGCGACGGGGCCGCGGGGCCTCTAGGCTGGGTTCGACGGGGCCGCGGGGCCGCTAAACGGGGTGCGCGCGGGGCCGCGGGGCCTCGAGGTGTGGGTCGACGGGGCCGCGGGGCTGCTACACGGGGTGCGCACGGGGCCGCGGGGCCTCTAGGTGTGGGTCGACGGGGCCGCGGGGCCGCTAAACGGGGTGCGCGCGGGGCCGCGGGGCCTCTAGGTGTGGGTCGACGGGGCCGCGGGGCCGCTAAACGGGGTGCGCGCGGGGCCGCGGGGCCTCTAGGTGTGGGTCGACGTGGCCGCGGGGCCGCTAAACGGGGTGCGCGCGGGGTCGACGGGGCCAAGCGGGCCGGAATCGGGGCGCGCGCGGGTGCGACGGGGCCACTAAGGGGCAGCGTGCGGGGTCGACGGGGCCTTAAGGGGCCGTACACGAGGGCGCACGAGGGCGCTGAGGGGGAGGCGCTAACGCAGCACTCCGACAGTAGGGCGCACTAAGGCGCTAGGAAGCAGTTAGTAGAGGTGGGCCCGAAAAAAAAACTTAGGTCCTAGCGAAGGACCTGCTCTGATACCATGTCAGAATAACTGAACGAGGAATGAATGAACTAGCAGTGAAATGAGTACAAGTACCTAACCCTAGAATTGTGTACCCCCTATAGGCTAACCCACTGCAGCCTAAACAAGCACAACACATATAATGTTTGACACGCTCGTCCGAGGTTTCCTCCTAGCTAGGCTAGCCTACATTAGTTCTCGCATTCATTGTATTCTCAGATTCATTCAGTCACAGTCTCGTTATTCGTTTACCTGCGCACTCTCTTTTACAACTCATAACACCTGGTATCAGAGCTACTTTCCTAGTTCATGTTAGAATCTAGAATAGAACGAGAATGGATGAACTAGCAGGAAGGTGGGTACAAGTATGAAACCCTAAGTTTGTGTACCCTCTAAGGCTAAACCCACTATAGCCTACACAATATAAACATACAATGTTTGACACACCCCCATAGGCGAAGTGGGAGACAACCAGAGGGTCACAAGACCAGTCAAAGCAAAGCAAAACAAGCTCAGGGTGGATCTCAAGGATACCACACAAATTCCGAGCACAAGCAAGCGGTCACAAGACCAGTTCACATGCAGTTTGATAATATAGCAAGAGATACAGTGATCGCAACCTAGCAAGTGTAAGCATGCAGGTATATATATAGAGATCACAGTACAAACAGAGTCAAGAAGTAAGCAAGTGAGGTCCAGCAGGCACAAGGCCTAGAAGAGTACAGAAGCGCTGATGGTCACAAGGCTGAAGCGCCTTGGTGAACACATCAGCAGTGTTGGCCTCAGTGGCCACATAACGCAGACAAAGCTGACCGCGCTGCTGCAGCTCTCGAGCAAGGAAGTACCGCAGGGCGATGTGCTTCGTTCTGTGCTCCAGTCTGTGCTCCTCACACAAGGCAATGGCAGCCTTGTTGTCGACGTACAGCACTGGAGGAAA